TAACTTACTAAGAACACCATCGATCGATGATCAAGACTAGGGCGCATGGTATGCCTCTACCTTTGCAAATATGGCAATCGCAATGGAAGGAGACTTCCATCTTGCGCTTTAGTGTCTACTCGGAGATGGATTAACTGTGTGTAACCGCGGTTATATGCCTGCCTACCACCCTTTCCCTGCGTCCTTCTCCTTCACGCACGAGCACAGAGAGAAGAGAGAGAGCGGTCTGTACAAAAGTATAATATATACTATCGTCCGTCCTTATCACGCACATCCGAGACGAAGAGAGCCTTCCGCCGCAACTCGCCCCCACTTAGTTCCGGCTCCCTACTTCACCAACGACTCGGCGAGCTTCTTCGGTGGTGGAGAGAGTGGGAGTGAAGCGACGTCGGCGATGGTGGTACAGTACCGAGACGGTGATGGTAGAGCGGTGGTGGTGGCGGCAATGGTGGTGGTGGTTCATTACACGGCTCCGTAACACCTTGGCGCACAGTACTCGCTGCACCTGTGAGGAAGTGTGCGGCGTTGCATACACGCGTCCCGATAGGCCACGTTACTCTATACAACGAGCAAGAAAGCATATTATGTACGTAGGCACACCGCGCGCGCGATCGGGGTTGAAGGAAGGCGGTCCGAGGAGACAGGTGCGAGCCAATCGGGAGGCGCCATATGCAATTTCCCTTGGTTCACCCTCACTCGCTCCCCCGCACTCGGTTCCCCTTTTCACTTTCTCCCTCTCGGTACCTTCGTGCCCTCTCTTCTCCCTCCTGTTTCTCTCTCTCTCTCTCTCTCTCTCTCTCTCTCTCTCTCTCTCTCTCAGTATCTCCTTTTCCTCATCGCTTCCTTCTTTCTCTTTCTCTCTCTCTTCTTCGTCGGTTCATTTTATCTTCGCTCACCACTGTTAACTTATTGTTTGTTAAACGAGACTGACCCGAATACAAGATCTTCATGTTCGCCATCGATTCGCCGCGACTTCGCGATGTAATTCGAAATCGAGAGAAGAGCAACGACCTACATTGATTCTTCAGTCATTGCTCTTATCGATCAACTCGCTTCGTGTCCGACAGCCTCGACCTTGTACTCGGCGAAAGAGACACGCAAGTAAGAATTCCTTTCATCTGACATGTGATCCGCATTTTCCATCGCAAATGACTCCAGAAGGAATAATGGGAAGACTAGAAGTTAACAGCATGAAAACAGCCATCTTCTTATTTAAAATAAAACAATAATAATCAATAGAATATTATAAACAAATTTATTTATAGATCGAACGTGTCAAAAATAATGAGGGCGTAAAAGAAGATAATATAAAGATTTATAACTAACATATAAAGATTTTAAACATGCATCTACGAAATAATACTCTATTGTATGTATAACAAACGGACAAAGATCTGGAAGGACAAAAAGATCCTTAGACATATTTCTTTACAAAAATCATTAGCAAGATATATGTCATACAATTTATCTTTTTAAAAAACTCAAAACTTTAAGAACCATTAAACAAATATATATGAGTTTCTTATTTATGTAACTATAAATCATAGATTTTTGGTAAAAACATACATCAATATGTTACTTACAATACTATTTTATTGTATGAGTGATTTGCTTTCTTAATGAAAATTTTCTATGCTTTCTTTTTTAAATCTGGAAACATGATTTAGCAGCACAAAGATATTCTTTGCACGTCATTTCCTTTTTGTCATTTTTTATTTGTTGCTATTACTAGGAAACGCATTAAACTGAAAATTAAGCTATCTATCTTCCATAGGAAAATTCAATTGTAACTAAATTGTAATTTCATTCAAAAGTATTATATTAATTTGTGAAAGATGTTTTTTTATTAAAGTCTTCTAACGTTTACGAATAATACGTTTCGTGCATTTTCTGTACAATCCAAGCGAATAGTTTAATTTTACATATTGTTGATATCGCAATATGAATTTTTTATAAAAAGATATAATTCTACTGTGTATTTTTATTTAAACTTTTTTTCTTGATATTATTAAAATATGAGGGGTGAATAAATTCGAAAATGACCAAAATATTAAATTTTTCTTTTTTTTTTTTTTAGAAAAAAGGATATTATTTACTGAATATTTTGAGTTACATAAAATTATTTTAACAATAAGATATGTAAGTGTAATCGCATCAAAACTTTTTTACACATTGTTCTATATAAAATTATGCGTCTTGACGTATTAACAAATTTATTTGTAGATCAAAAATATCAAAATCGAGATAATTTGAATGAATAGATAAGAGGGAACATTAATATAAAGATTTCAAAAAATGTACTCGCGAAGGTAATTCTATTATAGATATATTAAACGAAAAAAAAATATGGACGTATAAAAAGATTTTTTTATCTGTTTTTTTTTTAAATCTGTTTAAATAAATAGAATTTATTGCAGAATTAAAATAGAATTGGAAGAGAAAGCAATAGATGTAATATTTGAAACTGCATTGCAAAATTTATGAAAGAAAAACGCACATCTATGTAATATAAATTCTGCCAATGCAACTAGTTCCGAGCAATGAGTCTAATTAATTATAATTAATCGTAATACACGTTCAGGGACATACTCTGATAATCTTGCTTGATATAACATAATCGAATTAAATCTAGTTTATAGATATCGCGGATAATCTATTGAGAGGCTCTATACTCGTAACTGAAAGCTCCAACGACCACACCCAGCGACATGCCTTTGTTCCGATAAAATTTATGACAATAAAATGTACGACCAACATGGACACGTTATGTCTTTCGGACAATTTAGCCATCGGTGCGAAAAAAAGCAAAATATATACGAACTCCCAGGAAAGCCGAATATTTTTGGAATTGGTGAAACCTTGAGTTTTAATTAGAAATTTTCATTTTTTTTTAATACGTCCTTTCATAATTAATATCGAAATATTTTCAAAGTGATATGATTAAACTTTTCTTCATTAAGAAGTTTTGTCATGTTTTTGAATTTTTTTAATCCTACGAAATAACGGAATGTTAAAATATACATATATAATATCACTATTTAATTATTTAAAATTTTGCAATTTTTGTTTCGAATTCTTTTCCTAAATGCTTTGTCTTCGAAGCACGAAAAAATTTTAACAAGTGCGCACTTGCAACGAGATGATACCGTAGAAAAAATCGCGATGGATCTCGATTGTGAAAATTTAACAAAGGTCATGTGCGACATCGATTGTCGCGTAATTTCGTCACGTTATCATTTCAAATTACAACGAAAACGACCGATACAACCGGATGCAGTTTGTTGTCGGAATCGCTCTTGTATCCGCAATTCATCGCGCGCAAAATGATTGCAATCTATTGTTCGCCGCGGCGAGCGCAAATCGGTGCCACGATTCTGCGCCATCCGGTTGGGGAACATTTGGAGAACAGGAGGGTGAAACGTGAGGATATATACATTGGTATCACAAATCGAAATCAGCTCGACAGCACGACGGTAGAGACTCGGCGCGCACTGGATAATAATTAATAACCCGACGGTGAGTGGTTCGCACAAGCGCCGCCTTCTTCTCTCTCTGATTTATAAATCAGACCGCCTTCTTTATATCATAATCGTAACGGGGGGTAATATGCCGACGGTAATGGAAAGTCACGTTGACATTCTGAGAATGTGGGAAAATGTGTGGGTGTGAAAAATGAGTATCTCCTGGGGTGCGGCTTTTGACTCTTAGGGCTTTCTTGGCTGACAGGCCAATCGGAACGAAGAAGAAATCTTTACAATTGGTCAATTTTGAAATTTTCATAGTTCAAAGAAATATCTTTGTACATAATTTCTTATTTATGGTAACACTATGGAGGGGAAACGTCTTAGTAACGTGTTAGTCGAAAATTTCTGAACAATTCTGATCAGTTTGTATTTCTTCTGCGTTCGTACATGTTTGAGCAAGTTTAATAATCATTCTTATACTACTAGGATCTACATGTTACATTACGGTAAACATTCAATATAAAAATTTTCTCTCTAATTTTGGTGAAACTCATATATTTTATATATATTTTATACATATTTTGAGTCAGAGAAATAAAAAATACGTACTAGTAATACAAGTAATAATAAAAATAATACTATAATATATTAAAATAATATGTAAAATATTTTTAAAAATATTTTGGTATAATTTAGATAAAGGGAATTGTTCAAAAAAGTTGAGAATAATAATTAATCATCTCGATAAAATAAAAAGCAAAATAAAAATTAGTTTTCTCGAAATTTTATATCTCTGACTCGAAAAAATTGGAAAAGAAATATTCTATAATGAATATTGAAATTGTGAAATTTAATATTTACTTAATTTGTAATTTATCTTTATGTTTACCTATTAATTCGTTTTTTATTTTTTCATTTGTTTGATTTAGGACTTGACAATTGGTGCATTTTCGAAATTGTAGAATGCGTGAAGAGAAGATAGATCTTAAAATATCGTGTGCAAAATGGAATATAACATATCCACTACGATTACGCAAGGAAAAAAAAATACTTTTGTATGATAACCTAAATGATTTAGCTGCGTCTTTCATCGTATCAGAATTATTGGAACTGTTACGTTAGTATGCATATATAGAAATAAATATTAATAAGCATATATTTATATATATAGAATTATCCAAAATTGGAAAATAAGATACATGGATAAAAATATGAGTTATGAGAATTTAATCTCCCTTTTATAGATTAATAACACGGATAGTAAGCAGACGTCGTCAATCATTCGAAGGGTATATTAACGATCCGAAGGATATATTTTTTCGACCACTGAGTTAATATCATTCATCATTAGCGTCTCTAATGCCTTATTTGCCTCAGAAACGATCTACTTTGAAGAGTAGCGTTATTTTTTTAAATTAAATTTATTTTTGATCTTTTGGCATCATTTCGAGCATTACATATTTATTACTATATTCAATTAACAATATAAAGAGAAAATAACTTTGTTATTTATGATTTTTCGTCGTTATGTTGCAGGTGAAGAAAATGACTTCATATCAGATGGTGAGGAAAGCGGTGGTGGGGCAGGAGGTGAGGAAGCCGTGGATCTCACCGCGGCGAGATCTCATCAGGGCGACGAGGACGATAAGGATGCCGACGATCCGTTGGGCGAGGACGAAGAGGACGGCGGCGACGAGCAAGACGAGCAATACGAGGACGAGGAGGGTTCGCGAAAACAGATTCGCCATCGACAGGACGCGGAAAACAACAATAGTTTTGTCGGGAGTGGCTCAACCTCTGCTGGAATATTTCCACCTGCCGGAACTAGTCATGTCACTCTCGAGGCCCTTCAAAATACGAAAGTTGCGGTCGCGCAGTTTGCTGCCACCGCCCTCGCTGGTGGAGTCGATAGCGACGCGGCATTACAGGATTTGGCCTTTCTACAAAGTACGCTGTATAATCTTCAGCATCAACAGGTACTCCAGCTGCAGTTTATCAGCCAGCTTCAGCAACAATTATCGATCACTCAAAAGCAGCCGGTAGCGCAACCGTCATCGATAGAGCCGGCCGATAGCAAGGAGGCTTCGTCATCTCCCATCATCCATCCGAAACCATTGTCGAGTCTCACATCACCACCTACTTCCCGGCCACCGAGTCACCATCATTCATCACCAGCGCCACTGACGCCGAATATACTTCAAGAACGACCCACCTCGACGAGTAGTGCCTCTTCATTGAATCTACCTCTGTCTTCATCCGGCACTACATCGACTACCGCTACGACTACCAGTAGTCAAATCTCGCTGTCGCATCAAATGCCGCCGCTTTGCTCGATCAGCTCTTCTCTCGCCGCGTCGATCATAACGAACAACGATCCACCGCCGCTTCACGAACCGAACACGCTGGAGATGCTGCAAAAACGTGCTCAGGAGGTGTTGGACAACGCGAGTCAAGGTCTATTGGCTAACAATCTGGCCGATGAGCTTGCGTTTAGAGGCAGTAAAGGCTCACGGCTCTCACCTTACGATTCGAAAACGAGCGGCGGTCGAGGCGAGCCCTTCTTCAAGCATCGATGTCGCTTCTGTGGCAAGGTCTTCGGCAGCGATTCAGCGCTACAGATCCACATACGATCCCATACAGGTGAGCGACCCTTTAAGTGCAACGTCTGCGGCAGCCGATTCACCACCAAGGGCAACCTGAAGGTCCACTTTCAGAGGCATACGGCCAAGTTTCCACACGTAAAGATGAATCCGAATCCCGTTCCAGAACATCTAGACAAATACCATCCGCCCCTCTTGCAACAAATTGCTTCCGGGCAACGGCCGATATCCCCGCCGCCGCCGCCTCTCTCCATTCATCATCCCTCGTGTCATCCGGCACGTAGGGAGCACAGTTTCCTACCACCACAGCCGCCTTTACCTCTCAGTCTCACTTCGCCTGGCATGATCCTTTGCCGATTACCGGTTATTAATCACCGGGACGATCAGGATGTGCCGGAAAACCTTAGTAAACCCGTAACCGCTGCCCCGCCAATGTCTCCTACTTCCCCCGCTGCTATATCGAACTCTCATCATTCCTTTCACGACAATCATCAACAACAACAACAACAACAACAAAAGCAACAACTCGAGCAGAGAGAGGAGATAAAACTCGAGCAAAGATCGCCTGGACAGGACCAGTATCAGCACCGACCGATGAGCCAGGAAGACACTGGACGCATAACCCCGAAGAGAGAGCCCGAAGAGACGGACGAACCTGTGGAAACGGAAGACTGTGAGGATTTTGAAGAGACTACGAGGCGATCTCTAAATTCACCTTCATCCTTGGTGAACCCGTCGTTTCAGCCGCAAACATATGAGGATTGTAGTATGGATAGCAAGATCAGTGGACGGCTAGAGGGCGATGGGGAAATGGAAATAGATGAAGAAACAGAAGAGCAACCGGAGAACCTCTCCGGTAAGGGTACGATCAATCGTTTGCCCCAACAGATGATGGCATATCCCGGAGCATCTCCAGCTAGTAGTAGCGCGAGTAGCGGTAGTCTTCAGACGTCCTTTGCCGGGATTCTATTCCCAAGCGCCCCGGCTCATCATCAAATACCTCCTCATCTTTCGGTGGTTTCTACAGCTGCGCAGACGCCGACCGTCTCCGCAAACGAGATGATCGATCCGGCTAAAGATCCAGCGATTTATTCCAGCTTGTTACCGCGGCCAGGTAGCAACGATAATTCCTGGGAAAGCCTGATTGAGATAACGAAAACTTCGGAGACATCTAAATTGCAGCAACTAGTCGACAATATCGAGCACAAACTGAGCGATCCTAATCAGTGCATCGTTTGTCATAGAGTACTCTCGTGCAAAAGTGCGTTATTAATGCATTATCGCACTCATACAGGGGAACGTCCATTCAAGTGCAAGATCTGTGGTCGCGCATTTACCACAAAGGGTAATTTAAAAACTCACATGGGAGTGCATAGGGCTAAGCCACCGCTAAGAGTGTTACATCAGTGCCCGGTATGTCACAAGAAGTTCACGAACGCTCTCGTACTTCAGCAGCATATACGCCTTCACACCGGCGAACCTACCGATCTCAGTCCAGAGCAAATTCAAGCCGCAGAAGTAAATGAGTTTCCGGGTTGTTATCCTCAACCTCAGCTTTCCTTTTTTCCGCAAGGATTTGCACCAATGCATCCGACCAGTGCTAGCTTTACCTTAGGATTCCCTGGATCTAGGCAGCCGACTATTGAGCAACAATCGCACGAAAATGACGTCGATTTGAAGGACGAATCTCAGCAACAAAGGCAAAGATTTATGGAAGAGCATAGCGAGGAGATGGAAGATCAGGATGACGAGGAGCAGGATCGCAGAGAAGACGACGATAGGTGTGAGATGAATCGCGATAGACATAGTGTCGAGATTGAGAAAGAGCAAGAGCATGAAAACGAGGAGACCGAACATAGAGACATGATACTTCCCATGTTTTCAACTTCTTTGGCGGCTCTCGAAAACCAAGTAAAGACCATCACGACGACGATCGCGACGACCACGATTGCGAATGCAGCCAGATCGCCGCCGTCCTTTCACCGATACAATGGTAGCGAAAAAAGCGACAGCTCGCCCATGTCCGGTGCCCCGCTTGATTTGACACCTCGCGCTTCGTCCACTCCGGCGTCGGTGGCTTCCACGTCGCCGACACCGCCGCCGCTGCCGCCACCGTCCCAGACTGCACCGACGCATCATCCGTCGCATCCCTTCAGCATGTTTGCTGGATTGTTGCAAGCAGTCTCGTCCGCACCCACTACCAGCACGCCAGGCACGTCCAACATAAATAGCGTCACGTCGATGAGTGCGGTCAACCCGGGAAGCGCTCCCGGCAGTGGACCTCTAGCCTCGCTAACCACCTCAGCTGTATTAGCCGCATCATCGACTTACAATCCACTCGGTCTAGCTGTCGGAGGGCCAGCAGGTAGGCTCCAAGTCATCAGAATCAGCGAGCTGCGGTTCCTGCTACACCTTTTCCCGCTGTCCGATGATCACACGATTCCATCTTGCTACGAATTACCGAGTCCAAAATCGCATTCCACTATACCTCCTTCCGTGTGTGATGACATATTTGGCTTATCCATGTCTCATGCCGACATCCTCTTTGCGGTGTAGCCGGACCTAGCACTCCTACTTTCCCGTTATATGACTTTTTTATTTTTCTTATTAATTTTATTATAACAATCATCTTTTGATATCTCTTTATCTTTTTTTTGTATGTCTGCATCATTATTTGTTATTTTTATTTTATTGTTACTTATTTCATCGTTTTGTCTTTTTCTATTTTTTTCATGCTGTCTCTTGCAATAATACTTATAGAATATGCCTCGCCGCTTTGTCTTGATTTTCTCTAGTTTTACAACAATTTCTGCTTTTCATATTCATGCGATATCATGATGATGCATACAAACACAGATGTACAAAAAAATTTTTATCATAATTAGAACCAAATTTCAATTTGTTATATCTTATTTAAATTTTTTTTTCTTTTTTTTTTTTCTAGAATTGTTAGAACTTTTAGCTTTAGGAAACTAAATGAAGAAAGAGATTCCGTATAACATCTTATGTGCATCCTGGACATATTTACAATAATTTGGTTATCATATCCTTTGGGAATGGAATGTTTAAAAGGAAAACAATAAATTTGTGATTATATCAGAAAATATACGAAAACAATGTTGTACGCAACTTTTTAAAATGTTGAATGAAAAAATCTACAATGATGGAAAATATTTTGCAATTAATCTTTTCAATTGTGAAAGTAATAAGAAGAAAATCTGAAGCAATGTATTAATAAACTCTCGTTAATTTAATTATTCGGAGAAGCCTCGAGGAAAAAGACAAAAATTAACGGATAATGAAGCTACTACGATGTGAGGTGCCTAATCGTATATTTATGTGAAATGCTATCAGGCATATGAAGCTGCCATCTGCGCATATCATCACGCAATTTGCCTACTATGATAGAGGGGACATGATATTAAAACATAAATACTGATACTATGTACATAAAAACTTGTGATAATCAAATTAATGAAGTGAATTGAAAACTCTTTTGTATATTGCAATTTTTAAAAATTTAACATGTAATAATAGTGTAATTATGTATATATACACATGTACATATGTACACATATGTACATATTATACATATTATATACATCTATTATATAATATATATGTATATATATGTGTGTATATTTATATGAATTATAATAAATAACGTGGAATATATTACAAAATATATTTCTTGTGTCATGCAGGAATCTGTGCTATAAATATAGGAAGCATAGATTGCTTTTATCCTATCTATACTGTAAGAAATCCTAGCGAATAAAGAGGCTAGTAATAATGAAATTCGCTTTTCTTTTTTTAATTGGCATAGAATATACTTTCTTTGTTTTTTCTATTTCTGATAAAAAAGAATATAATTTGTTAAATATTTCTACTTTTCTGATACACTTCTATATTGAACTTGTTTATGAGTATTTTATGCTTTCTATAACTATATACAACACACACATACATACAGTTACATATAAATTCATATATACATATATGTACATATAATGGCAGCGACATATAATCTTATTATTGAATTTTATTATTGAATTTGATTTACATAATTATGATTTCAATAATTTTGACGACAATATGATAGTGATTTCTGAAGATATTTTGAATACTGAGATCAGAATGTTAAAAACAAAAAATTGCATTATTTCTTTCAATTAATTAAAATATGATGATGTAAGAAGATCTTTTTTAAAAATAAGAGATATAATTTTCAAAAAGATAAATCTCATCTTTTAAAATGCGGTGAATTTTTATTTATATTTGTACGTTAACGTTTTATTTTGCGAGTATTTCAGATATTTACGTAAATTATCTGTATTATTGTAAATTATATTATCCCTAAAAATGTTGATATGATTAATAGCACATCAAAGTTGATCAAAACGTTGTGATAATGGATTATTGTACTGTTTTATAAACTATAAAACACCAACGTAATTTCGAGAGAATATATATATATGGTTCGATATAATAAGTGATCTTATAATACATTGAATTTAAAGAAGAAAGAATCAATTTCTGTGCGACGAGATGTTAAACAGCACAATCGCTGTTTGATAATTTTTAAAATCATCGCGATTTTTTCAAGTATAATATTGATAAAAAGACACAGAAAATATTGACAAATATATTGATAACATGATACTGATGTAATTTTGAACACAAAAATTGATATCTGTACGAAAATTATTAATTGTTTTAAGTTATACTTTCAAATTGTAATTTGATGGGAATATTTTATTTTTTATTATATATATATATATATATATATATATAAATAATAAAATATTGTTATATAATTTAGTATTATTATATAATAATAATTAATAATTTTTATAATAATTATTACATTAATTTACCATAATAATTTTTTATAATAATTGATAATAGTAATAATATGCGTGATTGTATATGTGTGAGTAGGTAATCGCAGTAGTTTTTCACTTTCAAATTATGAACATTACTAATTTACGTATCATAGAAAATAATGTTGTCCCGTTTTGGAGATTTTTTAAATAACAGATTTTCTAATCAATTCAAAGGTTTCAAAGTAAGAATGTTAAGTTAAGGAAATGTATCATATTATATATAGGCTTATCTCTAATATTTTATTATATATTCTTTTAAATAAATTTTTTTTGCCCTTGAGATATTTCTTTCAAAGTGTTATATTTATGAAATGCTTCATAAATTCTTTGAGACAAATATTCTCTCTCTCTCTCTCTCTCTCTCTCTATCTTTCTCTTTTTAAAGTTAAATTTAATTTTTCTATAAATTAATTTTGTATTATAGGTAGTATTATATTCTTTTTTTGTATTAGAATTAACAATAAGGTAAAGATTCTCTTTTGAGATAAATGATTTATTGCAATTTTTATATTGCTTATTATGATACAGTACCGGTAGTGTATTTAATCTATTTTTCGAGTTGTTGTTTTCACTATTGAATGAAAAGTTTATTGCTTAGTAACTTACATACTTAGTATTAAACATTTGATTAGAGAGAAATATGTGTGCTTTGAATTAAGTTATCCTCAAAAAACATAAAGATGCTATATTTTTGGCCGGTGCTGTATATTATGACATTCTTTAAAACTCATTTTTGGTTATTAAAACTAAAATTGTGAAACTCACATTAATTTTATGTATTTATGTATTATTAATTTATTTTTATCAATTTTTAGTTTTATCAATTCGTCTCACATACATGTACATATATACACGCATGCACACATATAATAAAAATTAATATAATAAAAAATCATAGTATAATAAAAAATTAATCTTTTGTAATATATCTCACTTGATCTCATTTTGCGTTACTTATTCCCATTCTCGTTCCTATTTTTTCTCTATTCGGTATTTTGATTTTATTATAATTTTTTAATTTATTTAATTTTCTATTATTATTTATAAATAATACAATAATTAATGTATCAATTATTTTTTTAAATCCTTTAAATTTATGTTTTAGATATATATTAGAAAAGATACACAATGCAGGACATCAATATCGAACAAAAATACATTAAAGTAAAAAATATCTTCAGCGGAAAACATATATATACACATACATTGTATGAAGAATTGACTCAAAAATGTAAGGAGATACGATCTGTTACAGTACGTGGCAACACCACTTGCAAATTCTGCTACAAGACGTTCGCATGCCAATCCGCGTTGGAGATACATTATCGGAGTCATACGAAGGAACGACCTTTCAAATGCACTATATGCGACCGAGGTTTTTCCACAAAGGTAAATAAAAAAAATCTACTTTTTATTTTGAAAACGATTGTCACTGATTATAATTAATAATTAATAATCTCTCATTCTCTTTCCCGCTCTCTCTCTTTCTCTTTCTTACGCTTGTAAGATGCCTCAATTCCCTGCGATTCACTTTTCATATAGAAAAAAATCGTTGATCATGACCAATCAATTCGATGTATTGCATCTTATTTAACTCTTAAGCACTAGTGTAGGGCGTTATGTGATGCTCTACGTGATACTTTTATAAGATTTATGGCACGATTTCACATGAAACGCGAGGAATTACTAAGAATATTAGAAGATATATTCATAACACTACTACTTGCCAATGCTTAAGGATTAATTAAGAAGTAATTAATAAAATGTTAGAAAAAGATATTGCATTCTTCGCATAAAAAACTTCTCCTAAGCTTCATACGACATCTATTCATATCACTTCTATATTCTTCTCGTCTGTTCTGCTATACTTTCAGAACGACGATTCCGGTCAGCAAGTATGTTCCTGCGCGGACCAACCCTTCGCCGCGAAGGGTCCAATCCCCCCACAACCCAATCCCCAATACCGCTCGTACCCGGCGAGACCGGCCGCCGGAAATCGTGAGAAACCGAAACGCAGGCGGCGGCGGCCTGAGGAACGGAAGAACCGGGGGCGGACAGGAGCAGGAGGGGGGCGAAGGCTGACGTCTGTTTATCCTGCCGTCCGCCTGCCCCCGCTGATGCCACCCGCCCTCGGACTTCTACCCTCGGACCACGTCTTCCTGGTAAGAGCCTCTCAAACAAAGCAAGCGTACATGCGCTCGTCTTGCTATCTCGTATGATCGCGATCACATCTTGACCAAGTTGCAATTATACCTTTTCGCGTATAATAATATCCGCGTTCTTCCTTCAGGTAAACGACCTGAAGTAGCTCGATCGTTTGGCCGAATGATAATTACATTGAAGAGATAAGATGTGCATATACTCGTGCATTAAGAATCAGATTATAATGCAAAGAAATGCAAATATATAATAAAGGGAAATTATACCTCGAGGAAAAGAATTACCTTGGATTTAATCAAAATTCTCGTGAAACGGATAGAAATATCTAACATGTTGTGTACGCGAGATAGGTCATATTTATAAAATAAAAGTTTAATATATATAAAGAGCTTAATATATACTTATGGCAATCAACTTAATCGTAGTAGTTCACGAACCGCTAATATGTTATACATAAGTGCTACACATGAATAACAATGCTACGATTGTTCTTTTTGTCTCTCTTTTTCCTTTCTTTCTAGGGATCGCCGTCAATTACTTAATTAAATACAAAAAAACGTGTTTTGATGCGTAGGGTAATATGAAGCAGCACATGTTGACTCATAAGATTCGCGATATGCCGCCGCATCTATTCGGCGATGCAAAGCAACAGCAGCAGCAGCAGCAGCAATCACAGCAGCAACAGCAGCAGCAACAACAGCAGCAACAGCAATGTCAGGATCATGAAACTTCCAGGAGCCCAATGTGCACCGATGATTCGAGCCTGCCACCCCCGCCTCCACCGCCGCCACCGCCTCCTCCGATGCCACCTACGTCAATCGAGTCTGCGATACCAATAAAGAGATCTCCGCCGGAAGGAGATTTACCGGCGCCAAAGAGACCAGCCAGTAAGTACATCGTTCACTAGCTTTCGTAAAGAGTAAGGACTCTATTTGCTTCTTCATCGAGCGTCATACGAATTCAGCTTCGCTTGGCAGATTCTGTTTCATTGCTAATCGCGGCTTCCCTTATTAACCAAAATAGTTTGAAATACCCGATGCTGCTTTGCGCTTTTAGTCTCCTCCCTTATATTTCCTATCTGTCATCTCTATGTGTCTTGATGTTTCTATATATGTTGGTGAAGGATTACATAAATTTTCCTCGTTTCTTTATTCAATTGAATTTCTTGGATATTATATGGTGGCACTTTATATTTTCATGTCCGATGTTCCATCGTCGCACGTGAAAATATTATTGAAATATTAGAAGCAAAGCTTTAAAAAAGCCGCTAAGTCTATTTATGCCGCACGTTTATAGTTTCCACAATCTGTAGCCTCAGACTTTTACGAAATGCAAAGAACGATTCTTAAGTCATCATCGTCGTACATTTCCATCACGAAGTCAGGGTCAGTTTAGCGAAAACCGTTATATGTATTTGCAGGCATGCCGAGCAAGCACTTGTGCCAGATTTGCAATAAGAATTTCTCTTCGTCTTCGGCGCTCCAGATCCATATGAGAACCCACACTGGCGACAAACCGTTCCGATGCACCGTCTGTCAGAAGGCGTTCACCACCAAAGGCAATCTTAAGGTATAATACATTAATTCTTCTATATAATTGCCACCGGAAGTCTGAGTCTCTTTCTTTCTCTCTCTTTCTTTTCTATGAACTCCCGATAATCTTTACTAACACCAGCTAGAGCCGCTATCGCTTCTACTAACGCCAAAACGCGTAGTCGCAAATCGTTCGAGCTCGATGAAAGATTAGCGCCCATTTCATTAAAATACTGACGCGAATATCGCTTTTAACCGTTTCCTTTTATTTCTCTATCACACAGGTACACATGGGCACCCATATGTTCACCAACGGAACGTCACGTCGAGGTCGACGAATGTCATTGGATCTACCTCCTCTGCCAATCACGCCCAAGGACTCGGAATTTCTGCAACGACGACCGGACCTTTTTTACCCATATCTTCCCGCACCATTCCTTAACGGCGTCCAGCAGAAGGTAAATATTCATTAAATATATTGATATTGTTTGAGATAAATGGCTATTTCGCCAACGTGTACAAAAATAATTAGTGCGGTAAAAATTCTCGATAAGCATTTTATTATAAATGTTGATGAGTTCGTATCGCAATAAGTCACAGGAGCTTTTTTTCTTATCACAATTTTTTGCGCAAAAAGTTTTATTGTCCAACTTAAGATACTTAATGATATTATACAAACGATGAAAGTATCGAAAGTGTTGCAGAGCCACAATTAACGATCGTTGTCTATTTTCGTTTTTGTAGGTAATTGCCTTCGAATAAACCTAACCCCACGGCGTGCATTACTTACAGCTGAACGAGATCTCGGTGATTCAAAGTAACAACGGATTGCCTCCTCATTCCTTGGGCGCGGGCAAATACGCGGCGAGTCTATTCGGCTCGGTGTACGGGGCCGGCGGGGGCGGTTTTCCCTTGGATAAGCAACCGATGGCGCCAACCAGTAACGGACCTCTGGTGGACGGCAAATCCGCTATTCCATCCGGTTCCATGCTCTTCCAAACGCCATCGCCCACGCATTCGCCCGGCGCGCCATCGTCCAATGGCGGTAATCAAAACTCGATTAACGTGCCGTCCTGGACGACTGGCGACGCTCTTCAGCATCACTTCGATCGAGAGACACCAAGCAGAAGCGAGAACGACGCCACGCCGCCCACCGCTGCACGTCTACCACCGCCACCGACGAGGGGAGAGGGATTAGCCGCGTGAAACTTAACGAATACATATCTTCCCATCTAGTTATACGAAGGAAGACGCGACCGGTTACTCACGGTGGCCGAATCTCCGCCGAGTAATAAGAGGCTGAGCGCATAACTCCGATTAGCGAGAGAATTTTTCCAGACTGAATCAATTTAGAGAACAAAGAAGATTCTTCGCGCGGTGAGCGAATGACGTGCAAACTGCGAGCAATCTTGGACTCCGTCCCTCCGTCCCAATCGGCGAAAGTTTCCCGTCGACTTATATCGCGGTTGCGAAAAATGAAAGGGGCTCGTCCGGAACAGAAGTAGCGGTTTCCGGTCTTGCGATAGTGATCCCCGGCGAATCCCGATCAGGAGGGGTCACATTGCGACGCGACTATCTTTTCTATATGGTGTTTCCGTGCATTTCAAAACGGAGGACAATCTTCTAAGGACTGAGATAATCCACTTACTTGATATTTCCCCACGTACGCGAATAACGACATATCCCTTCGCCCCTCTCTTCATCATCTCACTTGTTCCGATAGTGGTCTTAGTATCTACAAACGAAGACACCATGTTCCTATTATCGCGCTAGTCTTAATGCATAAAGCGGGGGTCGATAGGTGAATCAGATCGATATGGCTTCCGAGTAGGCTATGACATCGAGAATTTCTCACCTCGATTCGGAAACTCTCGATTCGCGTGACTCAATCGCGTCATCGCGTTCATCATCGTTTATTAAAGTCGAAATGTCACATCGCCTGCCAGCTATTGGCGCGGGCCGATGAAGGTTTAAATATTATGTTCCACGCGCATATGCGATCGAGCCACGTTAGTGTACGTACGTATGTAACATGTACGATTCTGGACGTCGAATCCCTTTGTACGGGGGATTCGGGGGAATCCCGGCGCTAGACACGGCGCCTAGACTGAGCTCGGCTCGCGAGAAAGGCGAGCATTAGCGTATTGGAGCCGCAAGACACGTGGCGTCGCGTCTTAACGGGTCTCCCCGACACAATTTGACCGTCCATTCGCGATAGCGGTGGTCACCTCTTTCCGGGTCATCTAAGGCTACGTTATAAATATATACATATACATAAAAATTATATATATTATAAATACAATATAAATAATTATATATATGCATATATATATATGTATACATAAACGAAATATTATATTGGTATGACAGAGGGAGTGTGAATTGATTGTGCGAATTATATACATGCGTGATTGTATATGTGTTGCTTCCGTTTGTTTACCGTGTGTGTTTGATAGAAACGAGAAATTGGAACACAGAACAAATGCGAAAACGGTAGGACATAGATGTAATTTAGGAGGCGGGCCCGGCAGCGCCCCTCGCTGTGATATGAGAGGAGCAGCCTGCAATCACTAAACCAATGTACTTATATCTTGTATCATATAGTATTATAATAATGATAATATAAATTTATTATACGTTTACACACACACACGCGCATGAACGGACGCAGGAGGTACGACATGCGATGTGTTGCTGCAAGTGTCTGCGAGCGCCTCGAGAGCCAAGTGTGACTAATTAATAACACCTAGTACTATTACTAATTAGATGTCCATCCTTCATTGTACGTCATCGGCGATGTTTGCGTTGTCGTTGTAAATATTGTACCGTGCATCGCCCGTAATATTTATAAAACGTCTATATAACGTTATTCATTTTTACGAAGAAAAAAAGAGAAAATCGCAATTGGTCGTGGCGTCAAACGCAAATGCTTTTTAAAACCTGCGGAAACTTTCAAAAAAACTCGGTTATTTTTTGTTATTTTTTAATTTTGCAAGTGACTCGAAACAAATTTATTAATATATATATTTATAAATATGAGAGAGACTATCATTGGCTATGTTTTAATATATTTTTTTTATGTGAATGTAATTATATTATATAAAAAAGTTAATTATATGATTTAATAATAATTTATATAGAAAAGAGAATTTTAATTATTAACCTTTTATCTGTGATTTTTTAGTAGATATGTCATGTAAGTAAAATACAGATAACATTACTACGACATTCGACACTGAAACGGTATGATGTATGTATATATACATAACGAAGCATTTTTTTACATTGTTTGTGCGTATTCGACTCTTTTATCAACACGCTGCAAATAGCCAGTAGTAACTTGATATACTAGTATAAATCATCATTATCATCTATATTGTTATATATTAAATCGATTACCGAAGCATCGCCAATGAACACGTATTTACCATACATTTGCAACATGTATACTAATTTATGATTTATTTATTACTCACTTGTTTCGCGCGCGCGCGGAGTTTCGATTCTGGTATCTATCGTCTATGTACATCTACCGTATAAAGAATGTAAATCCGCGTAAAGAATGTAATTCTTTACATAAGTAATACCAAATGTGTGTAATAAAACTGCATGTAACACACGGAACAAATATTTTTTCTTAGAAAAATACTATTGAAAAATACTACTAAATATTTTTTCCTAGAAAAATACTATATCAAATATAGATATATGCAAAAAGATTATAAAGCTTTCGTCTTAATAAACTCATCGAATTTCAAAATTATTTCTCGCATTGGCAGGGACAAAAAAACAAAATTCTTGCATAGTTTTATTCCTGACAAAATTTAATAGATGAAATATTTCGACAGATATGGAATAGTCAAATATTATCTTGCGTAAAGACGAATAATTAAATTTACATATTTGAAGAAAAATATTTGTGTGGTATAATTTTATATATACATTTATGATAAAAAGGATTATTTATTGTCATTTTAAGCACGTTAATTTTACTTTCGAATGATCTTTCCGTAAAAACGTAGCCATCTAGACACATTTTATACTCTCCTCTCTAAAATTCGTGGAAAATCCGCGTGTATATCAAATGATATCGTGATCAGTATGACTGACATGGGATAGAGTTTTACGTGTAATCAATCCTACATGTGTGTATGTACATATAAATTAATACTATAATAGCTTCTATGTATGTCATCCTGTTTAAGATGAAAACCAGCCTACCTGTAGTCTTTGAAGCGAATATTACATAATGCGTGCAACTGAACATACATTCATCAGCAGTGAATACTTTGTCGCGATAGACTATTTCACCTGATTTTTCTCGTTAATGACAGAGAAAATCCTAGAAGGATTCATTGATTATGACTTTTGCATCGATTAAGCGTCTCTCTCATTGCGTAATATTACAAAAAAAAAAAAAAGAAAAAAGCATGCAAATGCCACTCTCGAGACGAGATTTACAATCTACCGTTTCTTCTAGGGGCATGTCGCCTTCGCTAGAAATCAAAATCGCTAATAGCTATTTATCACTAGTACGCAATACGTGGTCGTTGGTCCGCGATAAAACAAATAATATCGAGAAACTTGTGAAAATTCTCCATAATCGAGATATAATTTCTCGATCAAGGATAAGAAAGAGCGATTGAACTTAACGCATCGAAGCATATCGACGTTTTGTACTTATCGAAAATCAGATTATATTTTTACGTTCGAAAGACATACTAGAAAAGAGAATAAGAAATATATCGCCGGATAATAATCTTCGATGTGTAAAAGTGATTACTAATAGCGACGCTGTAAATTATTCGTATATAGAGAAAAAAAAGAGAAATCCAAGTTCGATGTGTGAATTATCAAACATTTCGACGATCGATCTTATTGACCTCTCATTTTTAATCAGCTGATCGCCCTAGTTATTTTACAGTGTCGTAGACGATTTTTTATGAATTTCTATATTTTAAAATAATACAAAAATAATACATCTTTCCGTCTATAATTATAATAATCTACAATTCGAAGAGGAAGCGGGGGGAGGGACGAGAAACAATCTTTCGAGGACGAGAGGCTCGTTTGCCACGTATGTTTCGCGATGATTTACGACAGAGAGTATACGTAAGATATTATAAAGATCTCTGCGAAACAGACTAATAATATTTCTTTCTTTTTCTCGAAAAAGTGTCAAAGGCTCGGCCTTTTGCGAGCGTCACGAATAAAATTGTATTGTAAATAGCGAATGCGCGGCGAATAAATGGTCCATAAGTATAGCAAAGTAAGTAGGGTATCGAAACGAACAGTCGATGTACATTTTAAGTGTATTACCAAAATTTTCGTAATGTAACGATCGACATGCATTTAAGAGGCGCGCATACGTCTCTCTCACTCTCGTGTGTACGTCATATATAAATACTTACAGGTGCGAATGGAATATATGCGAGAAAAAATGATCCCGATTAGCCATCGGCTTGGCATTGTCCGAGAGAGAAGATATTGCTTGTACACGATTTTGAGTTACTGTAAATATTGTATAATCCATGTATAAACACGACTGTATTAGATAAAAGACCTATCATTGTAGTTAAATGCGTTACGGATCATTATAACTATATCACTTCAACAATAAACCATTATTATGACGACGAAATGGTGAGATTTAAATCAGCGACTGTGTGTCTATAGATTCTTTCTTATATATGTATATTTGCGGGATATTCAATTATTAAAATACTACGATCTTTATACAATTCTTTTCTTGAAAAAAAAAAAAATACACGGGATCTTTGACTTCCTATAATATAATATCATTGTTTCACGAGTATAAATTTTAATGATGTTTTCATATTTTATATCGAAATTTTTTGATCTGAAAAGTAATTAGAAGGTAAAATTTCGAAAAGCCAAAGATCAAGAAGTGTATTCTTAAGATTTCACATATATACAAAGGAAGACGTACGTACTTTAAAATGTTCTCGCTACCTCTCGTTTTCGGATTTTGTGGCCGATTCTTCTTCAGATAATGTTTAATTATATAATTATAATTATTAATTTTCACACACGCACTATCTAATCACATGCACTATCCTTTATTCCAACTTTCGAACTGCGCACTTGAAAAAAACGTCCGATTTGAAACGTGGCGGCAGAAAAAAGAATGAGAGACGCTATAGAACGCTTTTACTACGTCATATACTAGCGACGCGTACATCTATTTTGGAACTACATGGCCAAACCACTTTTCGGTTCCATGATAAAACAGTTAGTTGGTTCATGTCCGTGCTACATTTATAAATCATTTATAAATCTACAATTTATAAATGAGAAGTACATAGACGTAATTAATATACTTTGCTAGTGTGATTTCTTTTCCATTCAAGCATATATTATAAACATCAATGTATGCTATTAATGAAAGTTTATGTAATGTACATGCGCGTGCATAAGATTTGAAAACATTCATGGATATTGACTAATTTATGTCCATGTTTTTATGTCCACAGAGAGCGTAATCATTTTCAGAGATCATCTGAAAACGGGCCATATCTCCCATTTTTCTCCTTAAAATAAATTTCTTTTTCATTACATCATTTATCGTTTATTAATAATATGATTTATAGCTTTATCAACTATTGATAAAATTAAATCTATTATAAAAATATAATATCTATTATTAAAGAAATATAATATTTATATTTCTTTTATCTCCTTTTTTACTTTTTAAAATATATTCTATATGATAATATTGTTATCATTTTTCTTTTTCCTTGAATTATTTTGTCTTCTGTTTCTTTATCTGTTTTACAAGAATGTGGTTAAAAAATATGTAGCTCTATATTACTATAATATAATATTTTTATGGAGAGAGACTTTTGCCTTGACTATTAGCATTATTAGACTAAAAAAAATTATCAGTAAATTGTAATGTAAATTTTATCAGTACATATGTATTATTTTATAACACAGTTCTTACTGTTATCACATAATGGAGGATTGAAAGAGTTTTACGTGCATATATATATATATAAAATACAATATATAAATATAAAATATCGCAAAATATCTAATATAAAAATACTCACATTTAGTCAATTTGTTAATGTATATTTATAATTAACGTTTTATTCATATTTTATAATATATTATATATATTGTGCTTCATATTGTGTAAATAATAAAATATACGAATTTCTTACATCAATTATAAACACACTAGATATAATTCAAATATATTTGACATTAAAATTTCAAATGTTGAATGAAAAATAGCTAGATGTGCAAGAGTTAATTTATTATTTGATTTAGAATTTATGCAAATTAAGTTGATTAAAATGTTAATTTTTTATTTATAGTTATTAAATTTACCGTAAGATTGTTTCACGGTTCAACTTTATTTACTGACACGAAGCTATACAATTATCAAATCGCTTATTGATTGGTTCGTTCATAATTGCTCTCGATTTATCAATCATGGTTAATGAAACGGAAACTTTTATAGATGCCATGTTTATCGCGATATATATATATACAAAGTCTAAATCTATGTACATTTCAATGTGTTTAATATGCATAAGATGTAAAAAAATTCTTGAAAAAACTTATAATTATAATTAAAAATATAAAAAAGAAATCTACGATTGAAATATGTTTCGAAAAATTACTTGATAATTAAGCAAATTATAACATGATGATATAATTCTAAATCTCGATGATTTTCAAGTGTAAAATTGTTATAAGATATTATAAATTAATACTTATCATTTAGACTTAAGATAACGTAGCATGTACATTTATACACAAGAGATGTAAGATAAAATCTATAATGTTTCCTAGATAACACAAAAAGGCCAAAAGATGTCTTAAAGAAGTCTAGAGGACTTTAAGTCGTCTTTTAAACATCTTTTGGACACGTGTGCTATCTGGGTTGTTATTCAATTACATCATTCACTATCGCGATAGTTATGTTCATATTCTTTCATCTGATATAATATTAAAATCCTTATTGCAATTTAATTCTTTTCAAGATTTGGATGATATCGATAATTTGAATTAAAAAAGTTAGATAATAATTTTATATCAAATAGAAAGAATTTACTTAATTATAATTATATAAAGGAATTAAAAAGAGAGAAAAGGAAAAATATAAATATAATATATTATATATTATATAATAGATATAATGCATCTTGTAATGCATTTTACGCTCGAAACGCATATGTTATATTTCGAAATTTCTTATATTCTATTTTTTTTCACCAGTTTAATATAAAAAAAATTTGCTGTAAAAAATATTTTTGATATTCCATTTATTCTGAATAAAACTCCGTTAAATTGAACTCCGTTTTATTATATAAAAATAGCGCAATTAAGATTCAATTTAAATATCGAGTCTGGTGATCTACTTTGCGTAAAACGAAACCAGTTGCAATTCATAGATATCGCGATAGCAATTAGGCAACACTGGCCAATCACACATTGATAAACGTCGATCGTTGATAAACGACGACCATAAATTGGCACTAACAATAAGAGAAACGAGACCTGCACAGGCATCGAGTCTCTCTGCACAGTAGAGTTCGAAATTTTCTGGCGATAGAACAAATAACGAACGCTTCAAGCTTTACATCATTCGGATCGATCGGCTAGAAGATATACTTCCAAATGGATAAAAAATAGTAAAGTAAAATTAAGTAATGCATCAAAGAGACAAAATTGATTACTCCAATTGACGATAAACACTAGTCTCGTTTGAATTTTTGTCGATGTTTGAACTATTCGAGCTATTCAATCTTTTTAAATCTGCCAAGCAATAACTTATTTCGTTATAAGTTTGAACTTTCTATATAAATTAATTAAATTTCATTTGAAGTTGTAAATTAAATTAAATTTTATTCAAAGTTATAAATTAATATAAAATCACATCGGTGAAGCGAGAATAAAATATGAATAGCGATATTTACAGATTAAAGTCATCATCATCAGATCATCATCTTGTACTATTTAATTAAAGTGAAAGTAAAAGTGAGAATACTTTTTTTAATTTTTTCTTTGGAGTGAAAGAATAATATATCTTTTAAAACTTGGTAAGTGCTAAGTAAGTAAAGTTTGCTTAAAAATTTCATTAATTCTAAGAGTTTAATTTTAAGAATTAAGGATTAGTTATTAAGTTTTGTACTTTTATAAATAATTAATTAATAATTTATGAAATGAAAACTGTATATAAGGGGTGTAAATATTTATGTTGCATGTTATCAAAAATATTTTCTATTTTAAAGATTCATTATATAAGGGCAATTTTAATTGCTTCTTCCTTCTTGAATTTCAATCGCATAATTATCATTTCATAATTACGATTCGAGGATGAAAAAAACAATAAAATACTTTAATATTGATCTTGCGTGCGCCTTATGTGAAATTAAGAAGCACGTGCGTGGAGAAAAGTCAGATTGTGGAAAAGTATGAATTAACATTTATACTTGTGTAGAAATAGCATACGTCAGTATTAATACATTTTGATTTAATGAGTGCAATATATACTTCCTTAAGTGCCATTGTAATATACATATATATTGTAAATTCCTCCGTATTATAACAAGTAACATAATTTTGTTGCATTGTCATTCGTGCGATTCTGGCTCGATGTGCGCGCTGGTCTCCAGACTCGCTCGTCGCCGGAGAAGCGCGCGCGCTTCGCTATCGACCGGAGGGACCTCCTGGACCTCCTTCTCGTCTCGACGCGTCTCGCCCAGTCTCGGCTGGTCGCGACGCCCGCACGCACTTTCGGTGGAAACCAGGACGCGGCAACGCCTGCCGTGTGAATCATCTCCGAGGATTGACCGTCGAACGCTCCTCTCGCACGCTGATGACAGATCGAAATCATCGACGCCGAAGATGACAACGGGGGAGAGGTCGACGGAACGGTAGCCGATCAGTGCACTCTCTTCCACCGGTAGGCAAAGAGTCTGCATCCACCCGATTATTCCCTCTTTCAGCGAGATTTCGGATTCTACATGGAATGAATGCGAAGGATACCGCGATAGATATTTAAGAGTGCAACGAATCGATATCTTGTCGCTGAAATTTGAAGTTGCACGATGAGAGAGGATTTTAGAATTTGTTATCTCGGTGTTGCCCCTGAAAGAATGGTAAATCACTCTGATTTGTAAATAATATATTACGCTCAGAAATACCGCGTGTTCTATTCGCAAAGCTGCAGTGGATGAGTAAAAACAGCTGTTTGAGAGTTTCATTCCTCCAAGCTCACATGCGTCAATACGCAAGGTTGGACCGAATGTACGTATATCTTACTTCAGATTCCGCCCGGCAAATATCAATATTAATCGCATGAAAATTAATAATGAATAAAGAAATAAATCGCCTTGAAGTTTTCATACGTAAAAAGTTGCTACAAGTTTATCTTATTTTCAAATGGAATAAAAAGAGAAAAATGGAAATTATTAAATGTATTCTTATTAAAATATTCTCCTAGACTTATTTATTATAAGATTTGAATTTATAATAGCATTTCAAATGGAAAAATAAAATAGAGATATATAATAAAATTTTCAAAAATAAAATTTTATTTATGAATCTTTTTGCTTCAATGTGAAATCCTCTTCTTGCGAAAATAATTGAAAATAATTCTGATATCACTACTTTCTGAAACTTTTTAACTTCTAATAAATAAATATTTCTGTAATTAAATAAATTAAATCAAATAAGTGTAATTATTTGCAATTTTTGTTGAAAAAAATCGATTACATTTAAATAGTTTATATAGTTTAATTAAAAGAATTCATCAGATAAAATACTCACTGTAATATACAAAATACTAATTATACGATATAATTATTCTATATAAAATGTTAAATATATAAAATATTTAAAATATTATTCATGTCCGGAAATGATCTATAATTCCATCTGCCGCAGGAAAAAACACATCTAGAATATAATGTAACCATGTCGATGATTGTTTCAGGAGTATAATCAGTGGATATACATCCCCTGATGCCGTTGGACATAATATACAACCAAGTAGATGTAGAAAGAAAATGAGTGAAGCGCTACAAGGAGATATGAAAAAAAGAGACAGAAGAGAATTACTTACCAGGTCCCATCCGTAGATGATCGCGTGAATTCTTCATGCGTTGCAATTAGTTAATTGCCATCAGAAAAATTACAGCGATGGACCTGATATTTGCCTGTAAACGGCCACTTTAATTACTGAATTAATAACATATCGACCGAAAAATCGATATCTCTAGAAAAGATAGACGGCCGAAGAGTAGAAACGCTAGATACGAAGAGTATGAAACGCTAGATATGAAGAAATATAATTCGATCTAATAGCATGTCGCGCAATGATCGATTTGATTAATAAGAATCAGAACTGATCTCGGAGAAGAGCAGCCTAATAGCGAGATTTATCATTTGTAGCATACGTGCGAGAAATAGGAACGAATCGTGATTAAACCGAAACGCCCCTTGAATATTTGCATGCGATATTACTCATGCCAATAGAATGATAACGGTAATTCGCAATTAACGTGCCAAAAGTCTTCCAGATCTCATACTACAACCAAACAGGCGAACGTCAATTTTTCCTGGATAGCATTGCAAAATACGTGCATTATCTCATGATCTCGTAATCATTATCAGCAGTAAATTTATGGACCATACGAACATATCACGACCTCGCAAAAGAAATATGTATTTAATGCGACCGGAAGTTTAAAGGAAAACGGGAAAGATAGAACGAGAAACGCGCCAATTTTTTTGCCAATGTTATCGATTCATATTTATATAGACAATCGCTAAACGAAAGAACTGATACCCAAATAAATACGTTTGCGCAATTTGCGTTCTGGCATTCGCATTATATTATACAACGGACTAACTTCCATAAATATTGCTCTATGTTCGATCCATTTGTTCGATGCGCTTCTTAATTATGATGAAGCTCTGAATAATTGCATCTGTGGAACGATACACAAGGACGGTGCACATAAGAAACCCATGAAAAAAGACTTGAGTTCTTTGCGAAGAATGATATAAAAAAATAGAAGGACCAAGAGATTCTGCTCAATATAATTTTATCTCGTAAGCTGCTGCTCTCTGTGAGAAAATTTCGATAGAATAACGGCGAGCAAAGAATATAAAAAATAAGAGAATATAATTAATAACGCATTTTCTCCTTTTGTATATTAGATGTAAACAAGATAATATGCATATTTTAAGCGATTTTCAAGATCCGATTTAAGCTAATTCGCTAAACAAATATTCACTCCATATGTGATATCGATGTCAGCATGATATCGGTCCTTATCTTATCATAGAAACGGATGCGCAAGACATAATGTATATATTGATAGTGCAGTTTTACCTTGAACATAATGTATGTATTGATACAGTTTTATCTTGCACCTACGAAAGTGTTTGATGTATGCAACTGCTGTGTTATGCGTGAACACCAATCTCTTGAAGAGGTAAAGATATATTTTATTTCCAAAATACGTCAATAATTTTTCTAACATACAGATGCGCGTGATTGCATAATGAGTTATTTTCCTTGTCAACACTCAGGAGATTATGTAATAAAAATTAATTATTTATAGGACGTTAGAGAATTAAATCGATTTTTCCTTTTCTTTATGAAGGATGACCGCATAATATGTCATCTATTGATTTTATGTTTCATAATTGCATTTTTTATTTACGAAAGGTAAGAAACTCGGCTATATATTGCTTGTCATAACAATTCTTCTTAATTTTATTTTTTCTGTCCGAAAATTTAATTATTCTACAATAAAATTGTGAAAAAATTTACAACATATTCAACAATTTCAATTTAATTTATAATACTTGCAAAATTGTAATTCTTTGCAGAAATTTGCAATTGCAATCTCTAATTTTATTTATATTTTATTATAATGTATTTGTATATACATAATCTTTAATTAACTCTGGTTATTATTTTTGGTACTTCCAATATAAATTTTATCCGCTTAGAAAAATATCAAGATAAATCAGTCAGCCTTTTTATAAGAAACTTAAGAGTCAATTATATTCTCGCATATTTTTATTTTAATGCTATTTATCAAGCTATCCTTCTAGCTAATACATTATATATATCATGATAACGTTTTCAATAATTTTAAATGAGTTTCCTTATATCTAGATATATTTCTTTTTCTTTGGCAGACACTGTTCCGCAGTGGCAAAAAGGCTATCGACGATGAATGTGGATCAACCACAGCATTAATCAAGAATAGGCTGCAAAAAGGAGGCCTACGGCTACGAAGATGGCTAATCGCGTTATTGGTTTTCCTGTTGATGTCGCTTCTCATTATCAATAGCTATTACACCGGTCCATTTCGGATCATCCGATTTGGAGCAATGACTAAATCAAATACTCCAGATGTATTAACGCGTGAGTATTAGATTTCTCTATCAATTCATATTTACCATTTCTACATGAATGGTTCAAATAAAAACGCAATTTTTCATGTCACGAGAATTATGTACTAAAATTTCTTATATAAATAGAGTACCATTTTTATCGTAACATTTTTTCACAAAATTTTGTCTCATGCTTCTTAAGAGATAAATTTTAAAGATTTAAATAATTTAAGTAATAATTTATTATAAAAAATAATCCTTAAAAATATCGAAATAAAAAAAATTAATGTATTATATAATACTTTTTTTTTAATGTTATATTACATAAATCTTTGTTTGACAAATTATCAATAAAAGTTTTGTTTATATTCGAACCACTCTTGTATATATTTATACGCTTATTTTAATTATTAATTAACAAATTTATTTACAGAGGAATATGTATCGTTATCACCGACCGTTTATACGCCAATAGGCAGTGGTGGCTTTTTAGTTCGCAACAAAGGATGCCGACTACCCGCGATGGATCCTTTCGATCCTGAAACTCGACATTTTATAACTAAGGAGTCGTTCGAATGCGAATACGGAAAATATCTGCCGCTAATTGAATCGAATAACACTGCGTTGTTTATTAACCCTCTGGTATCGAATGAATTCTACAACATCAGTTGTTGTTGGCGATCCTTCTGGCGAACGAAAAATAATGATAATGCTGTTACGTAAGTATTATCTGAAGAATTTTGATTCGTTGTTTTTGATGTAGATGATTTTAGATTAGATAAGCTTTAAATCATAATTTTATAAATGGATTGCTATAAATAGAATGTGTCGTATATAAAATCATACTAATCTGTATCTGTAAAAGCGTATTGTCTTATATTGTTCGATAAGACATCATAACTACAAATGCAGATGTGATATCATTCATATTGTATTTGTAGATAAGAAATTACGATTAAAAATTATATAATTTGAGAAATTATATTTTTTCATATTATCACCTTCTTTACAAAAATGTGTAATGAAATAAAACATTTTATTTCTATTCGCAATTGCATATGATTCTCAAAGTTTTGTATAATAATTTTTATAAATGAATTATATTATCTTTCATATATTAAACTGTCCCCGCAAAAACAACTTTTAGAAAAAATAGTTTGCTTTTTATATTACTCTTGTTTAGATTATATAAATTTTATCCATAATATACATAGATAGAGAAAGAGAGAATTAGTTTAATTCAATAAACTTTCCCTAATTAATGCTAATATAATTCTTCTGAATTTGCAAAACAAATGTGTGTAAATATTGCAATTTCCATATTTACAGATATGACAAGCAGTGTTATCCATTCCAAAATTCCACCGCTGTAAACGCTGAATTCGTGAAAGTTGAATGTTCTCGTAACAACAAAGTGATATATAAGGATTACTATGTTTTTCTACCGCGCAAGCCTTTGGTAGAGGAAAGATGCAAGCAAGCGTTAAGTAAGGACAAGTTCCTCGAGGATCGTCTCAGTATTCTCGTCCTCGGGATCGATTCAGTTTCCAGAATGAATTTTCACAGAATGATGCCGAAAACCGTAAAGCTGCTTCACTCCCTCGGTGCCGTAGAGATGCTGGGTTACACCAAAGTCGCCGACAATACGTATCCGAATCTCGTCCCGCTACTGAGCGGTTTGAATCAGGACGAATTGCGAAAACTATGTTGGCAGACCGCTAAGAAAACCTTCGATGAATGTCCGTTATTGTGGAAGAATTTCAGCGCTGCCGGTTATCGCACGATATTCGGCGAGGATGCCTATACCATGACTACATTTAATTATTTGAAACCAGGATTTCGGGAGGAACCGACGGATTATTATCTTAGGCCATATTTCCTCGGCGCTGAGAGAGACATCGGCAATACCCGCAAGCTGAACGCCAATCTTTGTATCGGTACCAGAAAGACGTTCGATTGCATACTGGATTACAGTCGAAAAGTGGTGACAGAATTCTCCTCGGAGCTTTATTTCGCCTTTATTTGGCAGGCCAGTCTCACTCACGACTATTTTGCGTATCCGCAGTTAGGTGATGACTCGTATCACGATTTCATCGAGTACGTATCGCAAAAAGATCTGTTGAATCACACTGTTTTGATCGTAATGAGCGATCACGGGTTAAGATGGGGTGAGTTTCGACAAACGTATCAAGGTAAAATCGAGGATAGTTTACCATTCGTCTTCATCGTGCTGCCGAGATGGTGGCGAGAGAAATTTCCGCTAGCTTGGGGAAACTTGCGCCGAAACAGCCACAGCTTGACGACCCCCTTCGATCTTCACGAGACCCTGAAGGATCTGCTGAGCCCGCACGTGCTGCGCGAATCATTTCTCAAGAGACGTATCAGAACTCAGGCCTCGTCGCCTATTCCACGCGGCATTAGCTGGTTCCTGCCGGTGCCGGACATTCGTACCTGCGACATGGCGCACATAGCGAATCACTGGTGTATGTGTCATACCAGTAATTCCGTCGCCTGGAACGATACCGGTCTTCAGGACAGCGTATCGTTCCTCATCAGGGAACTAAACGACATGCTGAGCAACTATCCGCTGTGCGCGACGTTGAATTTGAAACTGATTAAAGACGCGAAAGTATGGCTGGACAACACTGATGACGCGAAGCTAATGGATTACACGGTGACTATACAAACCACGCCGGGTGACGCGATTTTCGAGGGTACGGTGCGCTACAAGGTGGATGACAATAGCCGCAAATTGGTCGGCTCGGTCAGCAGACTGAACGCTTACGGCACTCAGAGTGCTTGCGTTGACGAGTTTAATATGCGTCTATATTGTTACTGTCTGTAGGCGCAATCGTTAAACCAATCATCACCCTTTTTGTGATAATTTAAATCAGAGCTGGAAGACTCGATTAAACATGGTTTGGAGAAACCATTATAGCTGGAGAGAGTTTCGCAAAACACATCCCGTGGTTCTATTTGATTTTTATGGATGAAAATGGACAATATTGTTGTATATCATGATATCGTTCAAAGTTCATATTCTTGAAAACACGTATTCGTAAGCCTCTATCGTATTGCGAACACATTCCAGCGCAGTTTGATATTTATTTATATATATGTATATATATATATTCTTCAGCATAATTGATTAATTAATTTAATCATATAGTGCAATAATAGAGATGTCTATAAACATTAATATAAAACTATCTAATGGGGCGTTTACGGGCGATCATTTCGCTCCATCTTTTTATTTATAGGTACTCATTTGTTTACTTGCTTGCTCGTGACGTTGCAAAATCAAACAATTCTTCGCTCGATGAGAAAATACATTTCTCCGTTATTTGATTCATATCAAATTGATTTATAATTGTTATGCTGACTATCTCTCATACGTTACATCAATTTCTTAAACTTTCAACTGTCTGTAAACCAATATGTAACGACCTATTACGGCGATTTACAATTTTCAGCGACCAAAGAATTCGCCGTTTCTATATACAAATAAAAAATATTTTACTATTCTCTTTATGAGTGTATTCCATCGAAACCATTCTCTTTCACAATCACGGTAAATGTAATTAATTATTTCTAACGTGTTTCTAACACAAATTTTATATAAAAAATTAATTTCTTTTGATAATATATTTTATATTTCATATAATATATTTTAATATATTTCATATAATTTCATATAATTTTTATATTTCATATAATATATTTTAATATATGTATATGCAATTATCGAGACATTTTATGTATTTATTCCCAGCTGCTCGATTTCCATGAATTCTCTGATATGGGACGAATAATATCGATTTTCTTGTAATTGAATAAAATTTTGGTATAGTTACTTATACATATAAGGTATTATGATTTAATACAAATAGATATGAATTAAAGAATTAGTTACAAATATATTATGCACGTTTATAGACTTTATCGAGAAATATAATCATTATTTCACGCGTATTTGCTGATATTTACGTCCCTCTTTTGTGATCGTCATGCAATGAATTCATCCGAGTATATACGACATTGCTACGTTTATATCACTATGTAAAGGCCTTTCCTATTTCATAATATTAAATGCAAAAATTTGATCATATACATTTCGATTTTTCATACATTATTCATATAACTCAAAGCTAAATGTGTAAAATAACTTAAATTACATATTAAATTGTTTAATTATCATTAATCCGCATGCACTTTTGATGGAATTCCTCAACGTGACAATGCCTGCTTACGTAGAATTGGTCTCTGAGGATCGATCATCGAGCATGTATGCAAATACTCCTGTCTCATGCTGATAACAGATCGAGCATCAGATGTCGAAGATAAGGGAGAGGTCGACGAAAGCTAATCAATGCACTTTCTTTTATCAGTAAGAAAAGATCTGCATCCGATTATTTTTTCATTCGGATTCAGCTTTTATATGAAATGAATGTGATCGAAAGGTATTAGTTAAAAAAATGAGAAATATTTAAGACGAATTGCAACGATGAATATGCACTATGAATATGCACTATGAATATGCACTATGAATATGCACTATGGAATTATAGAATTTGTTATCTCGTTGTTGCTTCTAAAAGAATGATAAATTACCTTGATTTAAATATCAATGATCAATTTGAATAATAAATAAAAATCAAAAACTCATTTCGAAAAAGAGTCTAATAGCGAGACTATCGTTTATAGCATACGTACCGAAAAATAGGAACGAATCGTCGTGATTAAACCGAATCGAAAAATAGGAACGAATCGTCGTGATTAAACCGAAATGCTCCTTAAAGATTTGCATACGATATGATTATTATATATGTAAACAGAATAATAGAAGTAGCTCGCAGTCAGTAGTTCTAAAAATCTTCTTGATCCAACTGGAACCCATGCTACAACTAAACAGGAATATTAGCGAGAAGAGCTGGATAGCATTGCGAGACACGTGCATTATTTCATAATCTTGTAATCATCATCAAAAGGAAATTCATGGACGATACGAACATATCGGAATTTCATAGAAGAAACGTAAGTTTAATCTGATCAGGAATTTAAAGGAGAATTAAAGGGGAAGCAAAGAATGAGAAACGCAACAATTCTTGCCAATTTTTCCAGTTCAAATAGACAATTATTAAACAAAAAATCCACTTCGATATCCAATTAATATATCTATAGACTATTATTTTACGTTTCACTTATGTATACACATTATACGACAGGTTAACTTTTATAAAAGTTGCTTTACATTTGACTCTTTTGCTCGATGCGCTTCTTAACGCGAATTACGATGGCAAATTCTTTCATAATAAATATAATTACTACATCTATAACATAAGATATAATACTGATAAAAAAGATTTGATCTCTTTGCGAAGATCGTTGCAAAATGTGATCAAGAAATTCTATTCAATATAATTTTATCTCGTAAACTGCTACTCTTTGTGAAAAAATTTCGATATAATAACAAAAAAAGAATATAATTAATAATGCCTTATATAAACAAAACAATGCATATTTTAAATAATTCACGCGGGATTTGATTTAAACTAATCAAATAGACAAATATTTAATGTCCAAATCTAATATCAATATTAGCGTATCTATCTTATCATAAAAATACGTATATATAAAAATACGTATATATAAAATACGTAAATATATAAAAATACGTATATATAAAATCTCTAGATAACTCTGATTAAACTATTTTCAATATTTTCAATATAAATTTTAGCTGCTCAAAGAAATATCGAAATAAATCAGCTTTCTTATAAAAAGTTTAAAAATTCGATTTTTTCGCATATTTTTACTTTAACGCTATTTATCTCTCTCAAGTTATCCTTCTAGCTAATACATTATGCATATCATGATAAATATTTTCAATAATTTTAAATAAATTTCATTATTAGGAGATATTTTTTTCTTTGACAGACATTGTTTTACAATGGCAAAAAATTTATCGATGATGAATGTGAATTAACCACAACATTAATCAAGATTAAAATACAAAAAAGTGATCTACGGCTACAAAGATGGTTAATTATTATTGTGCTATTAGTTCTTCTGTTAATGTCGTTTCTCAATAATTGCAATATTAATCCATTTCGGATCATTCGATTTGAAGCAATGGCCAAATCGATTACTCCAGATATAGTAATGCGTAAGTAGTTAGAGTAAGATTACACTAACAATTCATATTTATCATTTTACATAAGAGTGGTTCAAGTAGAAACGTGATTTTTTATATTATTAATATCATACACTAAAATTTCGTATATAAATAATATCATCTTATCATAATTTATTTTCATAAAATCAGCGTAATTTATCTTTTTCAGTTTACGATAACAATACTTAAAAAAGAAATAAATTTGAAAATTAAAGTAATTAAAATTAAGATATTTATGACTCTTATTTTTCAACAAAAATATTGGAACATTAATAATTTTTAAATAAATAAAAATTAGTAATAGGCTAAAAATTGAATTTTAAAAATAAATATAGACAATAAAATTGTATCCTTTATTATATTTCAAGTTTGTTTTTATTTTGATATAATTTATATTTTAATTTATAAATATTAAAGAGATATTTAAATTTTTTGAAAAGAACTAAATATATATTCTTTTAGATAATAATTTACTACACTATTATTCAATAATAATAAATAATAAAAAATATCGATAGTCAGAGAAAGAAATTAACATATCTGAATCAAATTTAGATAAATCCTTCTTTGACAAATTGCGACAACAAAAGTCTCGTTTATATTCGAGTCACTCTCATATATATTTATATGTTTATTTAAACTATTATTACTTTAATTAGCAAATGTTTTTACAGAAGAACATTTATCGTTATTACCGAGGGTTTATACACCAATGGGCAATGATGGCTTCCTAGTTCGCAACAAAGGATGCTATCTACCCGCGATGGATCCTTTCGATCCTGAAACTCGACATTTTATAATTAAAGAGTCATTCGAATGCGAATACGGAAAATCTCTGCCACTAATTGAGTCGAATAACACTGCGTTGTTTATTAACCCTCTGGTATCGAACGAATTCAACAATATTAATTGTTGTTGGCGACCATTCTGGCGAACGAAAAATGATGATAATGCTATTACGTAAGTATTATCTGAAGAATTGTAATTCATTGCTTTTAGTAGATAATTTTAAATTAGATAAGCTTTGAATCAGAATTTTATAAATGGATTGCTATAAATAGAATGTATCATATATAAAATCACACTAATCTATATCTGTAAAAGCGTTATTATATTGTTAGATAAGACATCATTACTCATTACTCTATGACAAATGTAAAGGCAGATGTGATATCATTTATTTATATTGTATTTGTAGATAAGAAGTTAAGATTAGAAATTATATAATTTGGGAGAATTATATTTTTTTATATTATCATCTTCTTTACAAAAATGTGTAATAAAATGATATAATGAAATTGTACTTTTATTCATAACATATGATTGTCGGTGTCTCATTTAATTTTATAAATGAATTATATCCTGATATGTTTCATACATTAAACTGCTTCTGCAAAAACAATCTCTAAAACAAATAAATTATTTTTTGAGTTATTCTATATTCTTTTTTAAATTAGAAATTTTATCCACTACCATGGATAAAGAAAGAGGATTAATTTCATGCAGTCAAACTTCTCCCTAAATATGCTAATTAAAGTAATCCTCCTTCAAAATTTCCGAAACAAAAACATAAATATTTCCTTATCTTAATATTTACAGATTTGACCAGCAGTGTTATCCATTTCAAAATTCCATTGCTATAAACGCTGAATTCGTGAAGGTTGAATGTTCTCGTAACAACCAAGTGACATATAAGGATTACTATGTTTTTCTACCGCGCAAGCCTTTGGTAGAGGAAAGATGCAAGCAAGCGTTAAGTAAGAACAAGTTCCTCGAGGATCGTCTCAGCATTCTCGTCCTCGGGATCGATTCAGTTTCCAGAATGAATTTTCATAGAATGATGCCGAAGACTGTGAAGCTGCTTCACTCCCTCAATGCCGTGGAAATGCTGGGTTTCACCAAAGTCGCCGAAAATACATATCCTAATCTCGTCCCGCTACTGAGCGGTTTGAATCAGGACGAGTTGCAAAAACTATGTTGGCAGACCCCTAAGGAAACCTTCGACGAATGTCCGTTATTATGGAAGAATTTCAGCACTGCCGGTTATCGCACGATATTCGCCGAGGATGCATATACCATGACCACATTTAATTATTTGAAACCAGGATTTCGAGATGAACCGACGGATTATTATCTTAGACCATATTGCCTCGGCGCTGAGAGGGATATCGGCAATACTCGCAAGCTAAACGCCAATCTTTGTATTGGTACCAGAAAGACATTCGACTGTTTACTAGATTACAGTCGTAAAGTGGTGACAGAATTCTCCTCGGAGCTTTATTTCGCCTTTATTTGGCAGGCCAGTCTCACTCACGATTATTTTACGTATCCGCAGTTAGGTGATGACTCGTATCACGATTTCATCGAGTACGTGTCGCAAAAAGATCTATTGAATCGCATTGTCTTGATCGTGATGAGCGATCACGGAATTAGATGGGGTAAATTTCGACAAACATATCAAGGTAAGATCGAGGATAGTTTGCCATTCGTCTTCATCGTGTTGCCGAGATGGTGGCGAGAGAAATTTCCGTTAGCTTGGGGAAATTTGCGCAAAAACAGCCATAGCTTGGCGACCGCCTTCGACCTTCACGAAACCTTGAAGGATCTATTGAACCCGCAAAGTCTACACGAGTCATTTCTTAAGGAACGCATCAAAGCTCAGGCCTCATCGCCTATTCCACGCGGCATTAGCTGGTTCCTACCGGTACCAGACATTCGTACCTGCGACATGGCACATATACCAAATCACTGGTGCATGTGTCATACCAGCAATACCGTCATCTGGAACGACACCAGTCTCCAAGACAGCGTGTCATTTTTCGTCAGGGAATTGAACGACATGCTAAGCGGCTATCCTCTGTGCGCTACATTGAACTTGAAGCTGATCAAGGACGCGAAGATATGGTCCGACAACACGGATGGCGCGAAATTGTTGGATTACACGGTGACTATACAAACTACTCCAGGAGATGCGATTTTCGAAGCTACAGTGCGTTACAAGGCAGACGATAATAGCCGCAAATTGGTTGGTTCGATCAGCAGACTGAACGCTTATGGCATTCAGAGTGCTTGTGTTGATGAGTTTAATATACGACTGTATTGTTATTGTCTATATTAGGCGTGACGTTAAAGCAACGATTACTTTTTTTGTATCTTATAATTTAAATCGAAGCCTTGATCAAGGAGGCTCAGTCCTCCTTGATTTATAAAAAAAATTATCACAGCTGGAGAGTTTCGGGATGGACTCTATTTAATTTCACAAAAAAACATTCCTGCGCTTTTATCTGATTTTTTTTTATGAAAATGGACAATATTGTATCAAGATATCCAAGTAGAACATGAAACTCATAATGACATCATTATGATGTCACCTAAAAGTCACCTAAAAGTTTTCAGAAAAATTATAATGATCTCATTTGATATACTTTTGGCAATGTTTTCGTGACTTATTAATATCATTTTTATATATATTACGTAATTACTTGTTTATTTAATTATTCATGTATATTTTAATTATATTCAAGCAACATAATCTTTTTAAAATTATATAATGCGATTATTGAACTTAAAAATTTATGATTTTTTTTATCATCTTTAACTCATTTTTTAATTATTTTTGTTTAGGTAACTTTTAAGTGATAAATAAAATCATGATGACGTCATAATGATGTCATTATGAGTTTCATGTTCTACATGATCGAGGTATCGCTCAAAATTTATATTTTCGTAAATCTCTATATATATTTCAGTGAATATATTCCAGTGTAGTTTGATCCCAGCAAACACCAAGTAACAATTATATAATTGTTAGTTATAATTATATAATTATATTGTTGAGGAAGGAAATTATAATTATATAATTATATAATTATAATTGCCTTCCTCAACAATATAATTGTTATTTAACATATAACAGTTATATAACATGTAACAATTATATTGTTGAAACTATAGTTATATTGTAGGAAATTATAATTAACAGTTATATAAATTATAATTATAATTTGGTGTTTGCTGGGATATTTATTTACATACTTTTACATAATTGATTAATTAGTCATGATTGATTAATCATGTATATGCAGTGATAGAGATATTTATATATAAATGTTAATGTAGAACTATCTAACGAGGCGTCGCGGGAGATTATTTTATATCTGTTTATTTTATTATGATTTTTTATCAATACACTTGCTTGCTTTACAATGCAGACGATAACAGCTGCAAATTGATCGGCTCAATCAATAGATTGAATGCTTACGACATTTAAATTAAAGTGTTTACGTTGACACATTTAATATGCAAAGTCAGGCAATTCTATACTCGATGATAAAATATGTTTCTCATCCGCTATTGATTCATATCAAAATGGTTTATATTTGTTATGCCAATTGTACGTTACATGAATTTCTTAAATTTTTAACTGTATATGCAATTTATTACGGTAATCTACAATTTACAGAGTAAAAAAATTCGTCATTTTTATGTACAAATAAAAGATATTTTACTATTCTTTTATGTATTTCAAAAAATAAAATTGATTATTATGCTACGATTTTTAACGTCTCCTTAACGTGAACTTTTTATTAAAAAAGTTATCAATTTCTTCCGATAACATTTTATATAACATTAAAATTTTATATTTTATATATTTATTTTTATATTTTATATATTTATTTCTAGTTGACTTTCTTGGTTTGATTATAGGAAGAATAATATCGATATCTTTTTTGATAATAATCAAGTATAATTTTTTTATAATAATAAGTATAATTTTTTGCTATAATAACTTACATATAAGATTACGACTTAAGATAAATACATGTAAATTAAAAAATTAGCTACAAATATATCGCACATTTATTACTTTTATCATGAGATAATATAATCATCTTCGCGCATTTACTAATGTTTATGTTCAGAATTTCTTTATGTTCATCACGCAAGGAATTCCTATATACATCCATACTGGATGTACATGACATTAGCGATGTTTATATTATTATATAATCGCCTTTTTTCGTGATATTAAATGCAAAATTTGATCACACATCTCGACCTTTCATACATTGCTCATGTAATTCAGAGCTAAATATAAAATAATTTGATTACATGTTAAATTACTCAATTAACGATAATATTGATTTAAATAATTGTCGACAAGAACCAGATTTAATCAGCTATTTAGGTTAATCTAATAAAACATGCATATATTGATGATGAAATCTATGAAGAATGTGTATTTATTTCCAAGTTTAACTGGATTACCAACCATGTCAACTGGTATGGTATTTTTCAATAAAAAAACAAAAATATCTCTCCCTTTCATTAATACAAACATACGTATCAAGACATACATTCCAATCAAAATATTCACATATTACATTCATTTGTACATATATTGCAATAGATATTAAATATTTAATTGCCATGTATACCATTGTATATTCGATTCACAGAACTTTGTTGCAGTATCTTTCCTATTTCTGAAACACAAAATATGATTATAATTTATAATACAAAATTTTAATATATTAATATAGCGCATCTCGGTTTACCTTCTTTCTGTTCTTCTGTAAATTCGATGTTAGGGAATACAACATCAACAGTAATGTACAAAGAACCACGAAGACTGTTATTATCATAATTAGGCATTCCTTCGTCCTTTTTCCGAATACGGGTACCGTGTTTGGTAATTTTGTCCCTTTGAATAGTTACAATATGACCATCTAGATGTTCTATGTTTACTGTGAAACCTAGTAAAGCATCTTGTAAGGATATTGTAACATTTGTATACAAATCATCACCTTTTCTTTCAAAGATAGAATGAGGTAGAGTGTGTATCCTATAATAAATATAGTTAAATTATTAAATATAGTATATTATAAATTATGCATTAAATTTGAATAAGATGAGTCAAAAAGTATGTTATATAACCAAGAACGGAATAATTTTAAAATATATTAAAATTTTTAAATATAAATTTATTATTAAAATAGAATATTTTTTTGAAAATTCCACTTTCAAGATAAATTTTTAAATAGATACTAGAATTAGATACTTGTACATTTGATTGGAATTTTATCCTTGTTCAATAGAAACTAACAGTTAATATCAAACAAGAAAAGATAGTAAATACACATAAGAAAAGATAGTATATACAATAATAAATATAATACAGTTAAATCTGATATTAAACATAAGATGGTGTTCTGTACAAAAAAACAGTGACCTATAACAGAACTTGCTAAGCTATAAAAAAAGTTTACTTAACTTGTTTTGAGATATAAAGTCATCTTTTCTATTATATCACATATTTAAATTCATGAGATTATAAATGTAGAAAAATATATACTCACTTTAATATCAAATCTCCTGGCTCTCCATCGAGATGTGGCTCTCCTTCAGCAGTAAATTTAATTTCTTGATTATCTACCATTCCTGGTTCAACTTCCACTTCTAATATACGTTCCTCATTCTCCATCTTTATATTTGGACATTCTGAACATACTGACTGTTGTATCATTTGGAATCTGTTACCTCCTAAATTGCGAGTAACTATTTCTTGTCTACAATTGCATTTTCTTGTGCCTTTTGCTGCTTTTATAACTGGTTTATTTCTTGTAATCTAAAATATACAATAGTATACATGAGTAGACATGAGTTTATAAAAAAAGAGTAGTATTATGTTTATAAAATTTTACCTCAATAAAATTTCCACTATATAATTCTTCTAAAGTGACAAACAATTCCATTATAACATTTGCACCTCTACGAGTTTGCGGAGCTTGTTGTGATTCTCCACCAAAATGAAAACTAAAGTCGCCAAAGAAACTTGCAAAAGGATCCATATTATTGTTCATCATACCATCCTTTTTTAAACATTCTTCTCCACATTTATCATACATTTCTCTTTTTTCAGGGTCTGATAATACTTCATAAGCTGCTCCTAGATCTTGAAACTTTTGGGAAGCATTTGGATCATCTTTATTCTTATCAGGATGTAGTTCTTTTGCTAATCTTCTATAAGCCTTTTTTACTTCATGTGTGCTTGCACTATGCGATAAACCTAATATTCTATAAAAGTCTCTTCTGTAAGCCAAAAAAATAATAATATATAAATATAGTTAATCCTATTATTTTCAATCATTCATTCATTTCTTATTGTATTCCTATTATTATTTATATGATTAAAAAAGGATTTTTTATCATGCCAACAATACATAATATTTTATACAAGATATGTTAATTTTCAAGAGATTAAAATTAAAAGGATGAAAAGAATTCTGTTATAAAGAAATTTATTTTTATATTTAATTTTAAAAAAAGCTGCAAAAACTTAGTAATTCAGATACAAATTTAAATATAACAGGTATCGACTACAGAAATAGGTTAACGATACTCTTTATAATTTTTAAAAAATCATGACGTGTAAAATATGCGTTTTCAAGAGAGAAAAAAATATCCTCACTCACCCAGCTATTGATAATACAATACATAATATTAAATTTGTGAATAATATCCAATTTAACTTTAATCCTGCCATCCTAGCAGACGTTACACAAACATCTGAACACTCTCACCGAGCTTGAATCGTGGGAGTTTCTTATTGGTTCTTGCAAAAGAGCTTAATGTAATATCCATAATGCGATAAATGTACTTCAGGCTATCACACAAGTAATACTTTCGCTACATATGGATAACGACATAGCTCTAAAGGCCGAATAGATTTGTATGTCGTATGGCAAAGAAATATTTGCTTCTTTTATATAAAAAATGACATCGTTTCTGAAAACTATTAATGGACTTCAATTATTTAATAAATTCTTGAAACCAAGGTATGTTGCAATTTATTGTCGCTTTCTAACTAATGATTTATATATTACATGTCGATATTATCACTTGTGCATGTACGTTTTTATCCTGTTTATAGTATATTTTTACACATTCAAGTATTTTTGTATGATATTAATATACATATTGTCAAATAAATGCGTAAAAATACGAATTAAATAGTACACCATTTACAATAAATTATCTCTCAATGCTTGATTTTAAAAGTTATAAACTTATAAAGAAACTTTGCTCCACATGAGCTGCATAGATTACTTATAAATGTGTACAATTAATGTTTAAATTATAATAAACAATTAAAAAAAATAAATATATAAAATATTAAATCAAATCTGAAACCAAATATATAGGATATTTAAAAAGAAACATTTCATATTTATATATTACACAGGTACTTTAAACAGGAAATATACAACACTCTCTAAAACAGATTTATATAAATCTATCTTTATTCTTTTGTGTGCTTTCAGTATCAGTACAATTATCTCAAAGCGAGATGGAGGTGTTGGTACACCTAAATACCGTCATCCAGAATGGCTCCCAAAAGTCACACATGTTGTATGTATTGATATATAAACTATTTATTTTTTTATAGTTGCTAACATACAAATTATTTTAATATAACATTTAAATATACATATTATACGTAAAGTAATTTTATAATAAGTAATATATGTAAATAGTTGTATGTTTATTAAATAAAATTTTCTTAGAAACATGATGAACATCTAACACAAGATAATAAAGAGTTTATTGAAGAAATAGTCCAAGACAATTATGACTCACCTATTGAATTTGGAACACAAATTTCTCCATTAAAAATAGATCCAATTGAACCAATCACAAAATGGAGGAAAGGTCTAAGACGTACTGGCTTAATTGCTAAGAAAATTGGAGTTTATCCATTATGGTTGAAAGATGGAAAAAAAGTTAGCTCGACATTACTTCAGGTAAATAGAGCAGTATTAATCTTCAACATACAGCATTAATTATCACTTTTATTTTTCATATTTCTATGTTTTATTATATCTGTCATATATTCTTTACATTCTTTATTCAGATTGTTGATAATGAAGTTGTGAAATATATGCCACCAGAGAAATTTCATCCAGTTAGAAGCTGTAAACCTCCATTACAAATAAAAAGGAGACTAGGATGTCTTGTAGTAGGAGCAGAAAATATAGATCCACAATGGGTATATAATTATAAGATTGTATAATATATTTATCTGCACATTAGCATATAAAAAAATTTAGCAATAATCTTTTTGTGCAGGTTACTAAAGAATATTATGGTATGTTTAAAGACACTGGAGTTATACCAAAGCGTGTATTAAGAAGATTTATAATATCTCCTGAAGCAGCATTACAGCCGGGAACTCCTTTGATCGCTGCGCATTTTAAACCAGGAGAAATCGTCGATATCCGTGCAAAAACGTAATTTTGCACTTATTATATATATAATTTCAAGTACAGTTATTTAAAAATTAAGATACATAAATTCTATTATAGGATAGATCGTGGTTTCCAAGGTGTCATGAAACGATGGGGCTTTAAGGGGATGCCTGCCAGTCATGGTGTAACCAAAACGCACAGAAGACCTGGAAATATTGGGTCAGGCGGCCGTAAAGCCCGAGTTATGCCTGGCACTAAAATGCCTGGACATATGGGTAATAAATGGCGTGTTCATAGAGGTCAACAGGTAAAATATACAATTTTTCTAATACACTAATATATAAAAGGAGACATACGAAAGATCCAATCATATTCCGAAATTTGATATAATTTTTAAATTATCTCTTGTCTCCCCTTTAATAAGTTTTAAAAAAATCATATTAATTCTTGAATAATGCAATTGTATAATCTTTCATATATATAGATTCTACGAATAAATACAAAATATAACATAATTTGGATCAAAGGACAAAATATACCTGGAGAAATCAATAGTTATTGTCATATTTATGATACAATACTTCCTTTGAGACGACATAAAACAGCACCACATTTTCCTACATACTTGCCAAGTATTACCAAAGAACCGCTTCCGGAAGAACTATACGCTGACGAAGTACATCAGTTTTCAGATCCCACAATAGAATTTAAAGAAGAATCTTAATTATATGTCTACAATATTAAATAAAAAATATAATTTTTAATTAATTTGTCATTCATGAATTTCATGTTTTTTTGCTAGATAATTAATAAACATAAATTATAAAAATTAAGGATCAGCATAAACACGCATTCTAATTCTATATAATTTCATGTCAAAGAATTAAAATAAAATTAACTATGATAGTTGAGGTTGTACCGAGAATTTACATGTTGGAATTTTATTAATCGTTCTGTACCTTCTTACAGAAATGTGTCCATACTTATCAATTATGCTAGTAAAGAGTAGTCAATTGATTCATTTATTTAGTAATCAATATCATTATAAATTTAACATGCCTAAAATATACACGAATTATTTTATAAAAGTAATATCGCTAACCAAGACTCGTCCTGAGTTAGATTGGAGAGCAGCATGATCAAGCAATAGAATAATCCTTCCTTTTTTTATCTCATTTCCATTGCAGTGCAGAAATAGATGCAATGTAGAATAACCTTCTTTTGGTTTTCTTATTTTCGCATTGCAGTGTGGAAATGATCGATTTCACTATTATAATTTATTTGCATGCATTATGTAGCTAGCTGCGCTCGCCTAAAAACTCTGCTAATACGTTTATCATTGGATTATAAAAGAAAAAAAGATATATTATAATAAGGAGGAAAGAGAAAAAATCAAAATACACGGATGATCAGTTTTTGGTAATTGCCATGGCTCTTTCATTCCATACCCAGCTTTCTTTTTCTACTTTGTTCAAGCTTTCCAAAATACGGAAAAGTCAATAAATCACACTGTATGTTTAGATCAACAAACGTGACAATTCTCGATCCATAGCAGTGGTAAGTTTCCATGATTGAAGAAATGTAGAAATAAAAAAAAGCAAAATGGCCGTATTGAGTTTGTCGGGGGACGGCACGATCGGATAAGAAATAAGTGGAGACTTTCTCAGAATTTAAAACCTTCACTCGGAATACTCGTCGTCTGATCAAATTCGAAAGCTCCTTCATGTCCTGATGCTAAAGGTGCCTCATCCGCCTAAAATCAATGATTATATGTAAGAATAAAATTGATATCAATTATATTAGATGTAATAAAAAAATATACAAAATGCATTAAACTCTCTTTTAGTTTTAGAATCATCCAATATCGCATTGATTATAGAAAAATTATAGAAAAATGTGTAAAAATAATATGCATACAAGAAGGTAATATTTTTATATGTAATTTCAGTGCAAAAATAATGATATAAAATCACATAAAATATTAACTCAAAATATTGCACAGCATGTAGGATATTTTTGTTAACGTATTTATATTAAAATAGCAAGAAAGTTAGTCTTTTCTTACAATTATTTTTTCTTAATTATAAGTAAATTATTGAACACATAAATGAAAACATGAAATATTTTACCTCTTCTGAAAAATATTGCTCGATAATGTCGTATGCTAACTTGTAAATATCTACATTTTCATGATTTTGCAATGCTTCAATCTTGTCCACAGCTATAAATAAAGAGAACATATGTATATAAATATGCACATACATGTATATGATTTCATTGTCAAGTTTTTTATATTTTTATTTAAATATGTGTGTATATGCGTGTGTATATACATAAAAAAATATAAGATAAATAATATATTGTTACTATTACTTTAGAATAACAAAGTATATTTACCACCACATTCTTCAATCATGTTTGCCAGATGTTCAACTTGTGGTCCAGCAAGCTTAAGCATGTTATGGATACCATCTAATACCACTTGTACAACTTGAGTATCTTTACAAGACAAAAGATCACAGAATGGACCAATAACACCTTCTTGTATAAGCCGTGCAACTTGTTCCCTGTTACCACTTATTGTAAGATTGCTAATTGCCCATGCAGCTTCCTTTTGTGTTTGAAATTCTCCCTGTAAAAAAAAATACATATGTATATACCCATATATATGTAACAATATAAAAGATAACAATATACTTTCTCTATAAAACTATAATATATTTTATATACCTTTGCTAAGTTACGAATAATGAGTGCTAAGAGTCCTGCATCAATAACTGCCTGAACTTGTGATTGATTGCCAGCAGTAATGTTTGAAAGGAACCAAACTGCTTCTTTACAAATCTTTTCTTTTGGATGAGTCAACAAATTAGGAAAATGCGTAAGAGCATCACAATTTAAAACAATTTGTGTTTGTTCGTCTGTGCCAGTCACAATATTACCAACTGCTCTAAGAGCAGCAGTTTGCACTTTGACTTCTTTGTGCGAAAGAAGTGGTATTAAACGAGGTACAACACCACTGTCTATAACCATTTGAATTTGATCATTACCACCATCAGTCAAATAGCTCAAGGCCCATACAGTGTCAACAAGAATCTGAAAAAAATAATTATGTTAAAAAATTATAACAAATTTCATTAATAAACTGGAAACAATCACATGAAAATAATATAGTAAAAAATAATATAACAATACATCTATTATATCTGAAAATAGATACAATGAAAAAATGTAGTATTACATAATTCTTACAGAATTAATCTATAGAATTAATCAGTCTACTTTTATTTTTTTTAAATTAAAAGTAATCAATTTTAAATTGTTTTACTGTTTAATCAAATATTTTATTAAAAACTCAAATTACTATTTGTTTTAAAAAATTTTTTTCCTATATTAATTTGTATAGAATATTATTGAATTTATTTCTGTTTTTATATAATGCCAATACTTACATTAATATCATTATGATGAATAAGCACGTTTAAAGCAGGTAAAATTTCCTTTATGGTTTGAACTGGTGGTGGTGGATCTTTATTCCTACATAAGTTTACGATGACCCATGTTACATTACGTAAAAACGTAATAGGTATATCTGGTTTTATAAACGTTAGCAAAGGCGGTACAACACCAAGATTAATAACATAATCTCTAGGTATTGGACCATCTCCAATTATGTTACCTAAACAAAATAAATAAATATACATATATTTTGCACACACACACACATGTCATGTTACATATATAAACATATATTTTCTAAACGCCTATTAAATCAGATAAACTATATACTTTTTTATATATACTTTTTATTAAAATTGAATTAAAAATTTAATGCTATAGATTAAATTTTTATAGATTAAAATTCGTTTGTTCAATTCCATTTATGTAGAAATACATCTTTTAAAATATTTCAATTAATTTATAAAATGACATATTATGCATTATAATTTAAGCAATTTATAAGTTTATATAATCAGATGTACCTAAGGCCCATACAGCTTGTTCACATACATTCTGTTGACTTGAAAGTAACAAATGCAAAAAGAGTGGAACCGCACCAGCAGCAACAACAGCTTGCGTTTGAGCAGAAGTCCCACTTGCAATATTTGTTAAAGCCCAGGCTGCTTCAAATTGTAAAGATGGACTAGAAAGTTATATTGAAAGTGGTTTATAAGTACTTGTATCATATAAACAAATATAACTTGACATACAGTATTTTCAAAATTACAGCTATAACAGAAAAAAAAAAAAAAAATGTTGCACAAAGACACAAACACATTAAAAATAAAAAGTTAATTACTATTTATACTATTAATACTTTAACACTAATTTGTATACAATTTTCTTACTTATGATGTTGTTCAAGACAACGAACTAAGATTGGTAAAATGCCACTCTCTATCAATGGATCGATAGGTGGATTACGATCTGATGATAGTAATTTCCTTGCTGACTGTACAGCTTGTAATTGTATCGCTGGATCTGAACTACCTGCTTTTGCTACCAATTCTTCCAAGCTGATTTTTGAAAGATGCTTATCAATATCATCTTCATCTGTTTGAAAGAATTATATATATATGTATAATTTGTATGTTTTCATTTATTTACATTAATATGTACATGCATCTAATTAAGATATGAGCTCAATCTATAGATACGATCTTAACCTATATATTTTAATCTATACATAAAAAAATACTTAAATGATATATGTTTATTAAATAAAAAATTACTAAATTTGATTGCTTGTATTTTATCATATGCTTGATGTTAATTTGACTTTATTAAGAGTAAGATATTTTTTGAAAACTATTGATTTTTTCTCATGTTATACCTTTTTAATTGAGCATAATATAAATCTTATTTACTACATTCAGAAAAAATATAATTTTTCATAATCAAATTATAAAAATTAATAAAAATCAGAAATTAAAAAAGTAAAACATGAATAAATTTCTACATTAAATATTTTAATATATTATAATATATAATAAGTATAAAACATTTTATTTTTTTATATCTAGATAAGATAAAGTTTATGTCTAGAAAAGAATAAGTTAACTTAAAATATATTATTAGGTTACTTATTTTCTGTAAACCTGGGAAAAAGATATATTTCATAAAGTACATTTTAGTCTAAAATTATATCTAATGAGAATATTAAAGCTGTGTGTATGTGTAAAAATAATAAATTGTAGTTAAAAATTATTTTTAAATACCTGTTGAATCTGTAGGTACATTTCTTCTCTTTTGTAAAGTCTCGTCGCGCTTATTTTTACGTAACTCTACTGTTACTTCATTACGTCTTCTTCGCATTTCCTAAAAAACAATGATATTAATTTTATCTAAATTAATATATCAATTAGTATATCAATCTTCAGAATAAAATTAATTCAATTCACTTTCATAATATTAATAGTGAGATATTAAAATATTATACAAAAATCATAATATATATAGAAATACTTATAAGAAAGATTCCAAAAACCAAACTTTTATTAAATGGAGTAAATAAATATATAAATGTTGCTTAAAAAACTAATTGTACTAATATATTATAAATTATACTAATTATGTACTTTACATAAATGAAGCATTAGAGAATTTGAAATTAAAATTTTTATGTGTATCATTCTACACAAATATGTGTACCAGTAACTAGCTCAGTCTTAAAAAGTGCAAATAATGAACAAACCCATAACATATAGCTTGATAAAATTTTAATAATGCAGCAATAAAAATTATTGCATCACAGTGACGACATATTTTAATATATCAATGAAATAGTAAGAGCAATCTCAATACAAGTGATAAAAGAAGCAACAAGTAGAATAGGCAAGAAGATAATAGAGGATAAAATAAGAGGAAAAAAAAAGGAGCAAAAGTGGAGGGTAGGAAAAAAATGCAAAGAAATGAAATTGCAGAGGAAAAAAATGTCAAAAGCTGGAAGAAGGAAAAGAGATGGAGAAGAAGAAAGAAGAAAAAAAAGAAAAAACACGAAAAGAAACAGGGAGAAAAGGGGATGAGAAGCGGTTGAACGTGAGTGTGAGTGCGTGCACGAGTCGTGGGAGGGAAAATGGCATCATCGTGCACGGCAACATCTGACACGAGGGCGTTCCGTCCAAATGACAGATACAGTTCCTAGCGCGCACAGAAATTCCATCTATTCTATCTTCTACCCTTTCATTCGGGAGAAACGCCTCACTCACCTCCAGATCCTTGCCTTTGTTCTTAAACACCAGCATTCGGTTCTTATTTACCACTGCCTCGGCCGCCATTTTTTCAATAACCAATTTCCGCACTGGCGTAAGATCAATGTGCACCGGCACCGTCGTAAGTCGTCGATTGCGAAATTACGCGTCTCCGCGAAGTAAACTCGAACGGTTCCTCCTGAATATACCTCGAGCTTCGTTACCGATATCTTACTTCGATTTACTCCAGCCTACTCGACAACTGCATTCCGTCGCTAATAACGTGATATACGTACGTGTATGTCAATATGCAGTATCATGCATAACGCACGATCATGTAACAATTGCCGTCGTTGCTATTCGTCGTTGCGTGTATATATGTATGTATATACAGCGTCCGGGTCTTTTCTTCGTGGCTCGCACTATTTCCCTTTTCGCAACTGCGAGTCCAACCGTGTGTAACTGGCGAAGGAGCCGAACGAGAACGGATCACGGACGTTTCTCGAGCGTTCCGAAAAGAACGCAGAAGGTCGTCGTGGGAGGAAGAGAGCGATGTCGAGGACCACGCGTTCCAAAACGCAATGTTTACCGCGCGAATCTGACGGATCCGCTGCATCCGACGTATGAATGTACATTGCGCGACAACGATTCGTTCCGTGGCTCCTCTCTCGCGGGACAAGGGGAGCGTAGAAGTGACCAATCAGCTGGCAGCGTGGCAGTGGCTGATTGGTTAAGGGCTACGCTCCCCTTGCCCCGCGAGAGGGACCAAGGAACGAATCGTTGTCGCGGAGTACAATGCCTGTCGTTTGACATTCAAGGTTGCTTTCCGATTCCGAAGACATCACGTGATTAAAAATAAAGGTATCAATTCGTCATTTTTTGGTATGTAATATCTTTTCAGAGCATTTGGGAGAAATCTGAACGCTATCTTGATGTCAGAGTGGCCTAGAGAGGGATTCGGAGCACAGTTCAATAGGAGAGTTTGTTTCCTAGGAACAAAAGTATTGGTTAGAAATCTCAATTCCTATTGGATATCGCCAGTCTAAAAACTCTATAATTCACTATATAAAACAACCACTTTTGGTTCGCCATTTTCCGCCATTTTCTGCTCCTACTTATATTTGAATCCTACTTAATATTCCTTTGGATTGAATTTCATGGATATACTACTATTATATATTTTTTTTAAATTATTTCTCTGGACAAATATTTTGATAATCATGTGGGTATAGAAGCAAAAAAGATCTATAATAGTATCTTAATAGGTATGTATTCAGGATAAAAAAGAAAATTTTTAACCTATTTATGTTTTCTTTACTATCAACTATTGATATATAAAAAATAATTAAAAGATATTGATAAAGAAATAAATTTTTAATTATTATTATTTGAAACTACATACGGTATTTGTTCAATTAATTATCTGAGTTTCATGAATTAATAAGTATAAAATTATATTTTCTTTTATTACTTTTATTCGTATGTAGTATATTATAGTATATTTGATAATAATTATAATATAACTTACACTTATATATTTAGATATAATTCATAATATAATATTTATTTGTAATATTTTATTATTATAAATTATTTTTGTAGTATATTATAAATAGTTTACTAGAGATTATATTTTTATATTTATCGTACTTTTATATATCGTACTTTTCATAGAATATTTATAATATATTTAATCTCAAAGAGAAGTTGCAATATTTTTTTAATACAGAAGTTTTCATAAGTGATTTATTAATTATTTTAAAAAGAAATACATCGCGATATTGTCTCTGCAAAGAAATTATAAAACAAATAGGTAAAAACATAATTACATATGTATATATGTAAAATGATTAAATGCATATACAATTTTCTTATAGATATTAATTACAGATATTAATTATATAATTTCAAAGCTTTATCGTATAATGAAAAAAATATAACTAATTATTTCTATCTTATATTTAGCATTTAATATTAATTTATTTTTAATCATTAAGAGAAAATCAATCCTTTACACATTTTATCTAAGCTTTTCCGGACCTGTCATCACGATAGTATCGGACATGTTCATCTTTCAGGAGGCTAGCATCCTTATTTCTTGTAGACGATCACTCGTAAAAAATCGCTTTCCGTTTCCATGCTTCCGATTCCACGGAGTATTGTTCCGAGATACATAAGTTATCCCAGTTGCTTCTTGTCATTTAAGAATCACCCATCTCGCGTGGAAACACAAACAACTCTGTTCTTCGTGCTAGTCGCTTTATTTTTTTAGACCACCCTCTTCTTACGGCCACCACCATCTGTATGCATGCCGACTTTATGTCGTTCGAACGACAATCTGCGATGTTCGACGGGTGTCAGCCATCCTGCGCGGCATCCTTTTTCTTTCCGATATGATTTCAGGTAATGTTTTATCTCTTCATAATGCTATATAAAAATGTGTCTCTTTTTAATTTATTTAATTTTCAAATTTGTTGCAGAATTGCTGCATAATTGTTCGTAACATCGTCAAAAAGGTAGTCGCAAATTTGAAGAATAATTACAACAGGTACATCTTTCCATTATCTAGAATAATAGAGATAATTATATATATATATATATATATATATATATATATGAATAATTACGTTAATTATAAAAAAAATGATAAAATTATACAATCTTTTAGAAACATCTTAAAAAACTTTCCTCTCTTTCAATACCAATTTTTTATCATATGAATGAGGTCTATTCACTGATTTGAGAATCATTATTGATAAAAACGTGATATCATTATGTTGATATTTTAAAATTGTTTGTCATCCGCAATAAAGCCGCAGGCTACCGAAATAGCTGCATTAATGCATCGAGATAAAAATGCGGAGCGATCGCTTTTGTCAAACAAAAGTCTGACGTATTGCTCGAGAAATACTTTGGGGAAGAAGAAAAAAAAAAAGAGGAACCGGCGCTATTCTTGTGTCCAGGTGTGAGCTTGTAACGCCAGTGTAAATATACAACACTTACGCCATTCCGACGGAGGCTCTTCGAAAACTATTAACGTATCTCCCCCCTGTCCCGCATCCCCCGCTGTACTTTTGTGTTTCGACTCATTTCTCGCCTACTTGGTACGTGTTTTGATCTCTAAGAACTATAAACCACCCGCTTTATAGTTTCTAGATTAGAATCGTTAAAACAGGATTATCCCGACAGGGATCGAGAACAGCATCAACCGCACGTTAATATCGAATGGCGATCCTTCAAAATATTTCGGTCCGAATCTCATCACAATGTTACTACGCACACAGAAATGTTCTTCCGTTTCATAAACAGTCGGTATGATAATGAAATACCTTTCTATGAATATCCGTAGGACATAATTAAAAAATAATTTAAAAATAATTAAATATAATTAAAAATAATTAAAAATAAAAATAATTAAAAAACAGTTACAAAATAATTTAACGAAACATATTCTGAATAAAAAAGATATAATAAATGAAAGAAATGCATATTGCTTTTTAATGATATACATAAGTTGAGCGAATAAGAAATTCATTATTTGTACCATGTGATGAGAATTTGACAGATTATTGTCCAACTTTTCAGCTCCAAAAAAAGTATCTATGAAATAATACAATAATAATAATGTATATTATCTATTCGATATTGTATTGATCTTTTTATGGTATATTCTATGGTATGACAATTTCGTGTCAATTGGAATCAAAAGATCGAGTGATCAAATGATTTTTAATAAGTTTTAGCACGAGCATGCATTATATGTATTCTTTGAGACACATTCATCAGCATATGCATGACTTCTGTACTGAAGCTTTATATTCTCGTGAATCGAGTCGACTTGTTTATCATGATCGGAAGCTGAAAAGTCGAGTTGTTCGCTTAAGAATAAGTGAGAGAAAAAGAGAGAATGAGAGAGAGAGAGAGAGAGAGAGAGAGAGAGAGAGAGAGAGAGAAAGGGAGTGGGGGTGCCACTTCATTAGGCAATAATGTATCAAACTCATCATAGCATATTCAATTTTTTATCCGCTCAAGTTGCAAGATAAATAGTACATAGATCAATAAAAAATGTGTATTTCTTTTATTTGCTATATCCTTTTAATTAGATTGATTGTAAAAAATGATTCCTGACGTATGAAACAAAATGTAAGAATATAATTGCAACAAAAATGAATAAAATCTTTGAGTCATTATATATTCTTCTATCGATACCAATGATTTAACTTATTAACTTAAGCAGTTGTTATGAAATTCTTAAATTACAGGATATTGATTATGATAATTATAATCTTGTTGATTACGAGACTGATTACAAGACTAATTCGGTTTGTTTCATTAGTCGCGACGAATATATTACGCTTCAAATCTAGAAAAAAAATTAGCAAAATAAATATCTGCATATTTTCTTGGATTAAGAATAAATAGCGATAAGCAGTCGTGATAGCGTCAGAATGCTACAGACAACGCGTACTGATACGTAAATGCGCAACCGCGTATTCGTACAGACTATTTAATTATCATCTTTAGATAAAATAATCCAATATTTTTCAGAGAAAACGGGAATCGCTGTTTTATTAGACAGTTAATTTATTTTTAATTAATTAATTTTAATATTAAATAGTTGGGAAATATTATTCGTGTTTTGTTGATAAAAAATAGCAATCGTCACTTTATCGAAGGAATAGAATCTGAAAAATTTTTCAATTATCAAAATAATTTAACTTGGATTTTTAATACGATACTCGTTATGTATTTGATAATTTTCGTGTTAATGCGTAGGTAGATGTTTCACGCGGACACGTCAGGTGCGAGCTAAAACGCAATCGAGGTGAAGACGCACCCTCGCTTAAGAAATTCGGAGGCTTACAATGGAGCAACGTGAGACGTTTTTTTAACGATAGCGTAGGTCGAACCGACAAGACGCGATGATGAACCGAGTTAAAATCTCGCGTAAATCCCTACTCGTATGTATCGTACGCACACACATACATATACACATATATATACACTCACATATACATATATGTGCTCTACTTGTTTCGTGCGCGTAGCAAAGCGAGGGAGTCTCGAAGAGGCGGTCTTCAGTTTCGGTTAAGCATTCATCGAAGAGAGAATACATCTCATTCCGTCTTTCGTCTCCTCCTACGTCATTCTCCCTAGTCACCCCGGGTACATACGAAATTTCGGCTTCCGGCTTAAAGTTTTAATCCACCTACCGTTATCGTTCGTCAGCAGAGTGCTCAAAGGACTCTTCCGTTCTCCAAACAGTATGACTCGTCATTTCAAGAACGATCTCAGTCAGGATTACTCAAGGAAATCTGAGAAATCTGAGAAATCTGAAAATGATGTGCGGATCTAATAAATCGGGATAAAATAAGAGGACAACAAAAATGCGAAGGTCGTTCAATGTCCTACTGTGTGTCACGTGATAGTGCGTATGATGTGAGGTGATACGAGTGTTTTATCATGACAGTAATTTATGACAATCTCCCGGATTTTCGATAAAATCATATTGTAAAGATATCAAACATCCAATGGCGTCCATGGGGGAGGTTGTACCAAGGATTTCTCTCGTCGAAGTAATACCGATGCAATTAGCGTGTCGATGGTAATTGGCACCTCGTAGCAAAGGAGAGACAACGCAAAGTGCCGCAAAAGAGTGCAGAGAATTATTTTCTCCGACTGGAGAGGGTGATTTTCATTGTTTACCTGCCTGTATAGACGCGCGATGTACGCACGAAGAGAGAGAGTGCCGAGGAAAAGAGGCCTCTCCTCTCCTGAAACAACAACAGGTAAGATGTTATTTTATATATAATTTTATATATCAATTATTTCCATAATTTTGTCAATAAGATATTGATTTTTTTCAATAAAAATATCAAGTCTGTCAGCAGTGTAGATTATATTTGTTATAATTTTTCTTCAATAAAAAAAAATATATAGATACATACAAATATAAATATATATATTTATGTATTTTATAAATACAGTCCAGTATTATATATTTTAATGCAATTAAATTAATGCTTTTGAAGATTTGAAAGTTTGATTTGATATATGTTTACTTACGCGAGGAATACTGAAAGCTTCTCTTGAGAAATCTGAATACACACGGTAGCTTGTTCTTCGTTTCATTGGGTTAATAAGTTCGTGGAATAAACAGAGTCATCTAATTTGTATCAAATTCAATTAAGTCTATTATAAATTGCCGAGAATATATTATACTATAAATAACAATAAAATAATATGACCACTTCACAAATTATGTTTGATATTGTGATTATAAGAAATCGTTAAATTGATGAAAGTTATATTGAAGCTTCGTGAAATACTTGAAACAAATAATAATTTATTTCATTTAGATATTAGATACATTTTAGTTAAACTATTTCCATGTATTGTGTGGCTTTATTTTAATTTTTAAAGAGTTATCGTTAAACAATATATTTCAATATATTTTAAGTTTGTATATATATATACTATATCATATAATAAACTAACAATTTTTTTTTAATTTTTTTCTCTTTATTTAACGATATCTTACAAATATTCTAGAAATAAATGAATCATAATTTAATGATGAATCGTGATGATTATATTTATAGCGATCTTTGACTTGTCTTTACACTTAAAATCCTAGAATAAATTCTTAGAATTAGTAATCTGAAAAAAGTAATCTGAAAAAAAATTAGTAATCTAAAAGACAAATGTTGTAATAAGATATTTTATAATACGTGTGTCATACATCGTAAACAATATGGAAATATATTATTGTCAATTAATCATTTGGTTTCACAATTAGAGATTAGATACATATTACAAACTTATCAACTTATTAAAATAAGGAGAAAGAAATTTTCCATCCACATTAGCACTAATTTATTTATAAATGTTAGTATATTTTTGGTATATATTTGGCTGATGCATATGCATCAATTGTGCACGCATATTATACATTTATTATATATGATATGGTAAAAAAAAAAAAATATATATATATATAAATTTATTACACATTAGGAATAAAAAATTATATATAAAAAACTAATTGTGACAAGATTAAAATAAAATTGACTAAACTTATGTATATATTTTATCTAGTAAACAGATGGTTTTCATAAAAGAAATTAGAAACCAATCCTTTTTATGCTATAACTAATCGTTTTTATACCTTCTGTCGCTATCAGTAATATTGGGTACTTTCGACCTTTCGATAAGTCCGGTTCGAGATGATAACCATAGACATTCATAATACTACGTTTACAATACGAAATAGAATGCCTAAGACGCTAATATTGACAATTTTTACATTATTATTTGTGTGTATATATATTAACTTATTCTATCTATAATAATGTCTTTTAATATATATAACTCGACTAATGTACTTTTTTATAAAATTTAATTTTTAACACAGTAATGTTCTTTAAAATACACTTAATTATTAAAATAAATTATAAAAATAAATTATAAATTATAAAAATTATTATCAATAATTAAAAATAATACTATATAAAATATTGTATATCCTATTATTAGTATTAATTTTTCTGAATAATTAAGTACAATTTTAAAACACAAAGTCACGTTATTGTTTAAAATAAAAATTTATTATATTATTATTAATAATTATATTATTATTAATAATTATATTATTATTAATAATTAAATTTTATTATATATATATATAAACGTATAAATTTTTAATATTTCGTTAAAATTTACATTACTAAAAATTGTTAAAATTTATACATAAATTGATTATTTATTTGTATATTATTTGTATATATCATAAAAAATAGATTTTTATATCTGTCACGAGCAAAATAATAAAAAATACGCTCTACTTTTATAAGCTATATTATAAAATCGATAAAGAGAGAATGTGTAATTAAAAAGTATGAATAGATGGCAAAATTTTACTTTTCATTTTATTTCAAACACAATTTTTTAAATAAAACTTTAATTTTAGAATCAATTGTCAAGATATATTTAATGTAAAAAAGAATAATAATTTTTAGTTTCTCAATATATTATTCCATAAGAAACCTTGTTTCTCTGATTAAAATAAAAAGTCTACGATCATTTTAGACAGTAGTTGCAAATCGTCCTGTATATATTTATTTGTATCTATATATTGTTTTACGACCACCTCGCGATTCATCGTGATTTCTTTCGGCCCCTTCATGAATCGTACATTTAGGTAGGATGAGGCGTTCACGCAAATATAATGCCCCGATTGTAGTCTGTAGGCCTAAAGACTGGATTTGCAAATAAACGCGTCTCGACACACGTGGTTGCATTGAAGTTTCCAAATTTATCATCAACTAATCATAACAATTAAAAGATAATCTATCAGATTCAATTAAAATCCCGAATGTCACTACTGTCCGTTATTTTCTTTATTAAAATCAAAAGCAATCGTAAGTTTGCTAACAAAGTATTCTAGTTAATTAAATAATGTTTTAAAATTTTTCGTATTAATCTAATGATAACTTTAATTTCACGAACCGATTACATGTTAAAGAAAATGTCACGTATCGGTAGTTTAATGAATCATAAAATGAGTTATAGCTTATGAATTAAAATTTGTCTTACACATTAAATATTGAAATATAATAAATAAATAAAATTTATCGTTCTCTAAGTCAATATAGAGAGACACATCTTCAACAGGGAGAGAGTTGTTGCTACAGTTTTTTGGATTCATTATTAAATTTTTTGATAATAAAGCTTAAATTATGAAAGTTATAAAAAAGAACGAAGGATTTAGGACAATATTTCTAAGAAGGGGTAGATTTTATATTTGTTAAGAAAATACCATTAGAATTAATAACTAAACTGATTAGTCGAGTTTCTTACAAATTAGTAAATGATGATGTTGCATTATATCATAATTACTAGAAATGTGTATAAATTCAAGGCATAAACTAAAACAATTCTCTGCTATGCGATATTCACGCTATCGAGGGTCAGCCGGGAGAGCCAATAGTGGTTTTCTATGTCGTGCGTTAAACGGCAAAGAGCAGAGGTCAATAATAATGTAATAAACGCGTATAAATGCGAATATCTGGCAGCGGCATAATTGATTGTGGTAGTATCGGAGTTGAGAGTTAACCCCCGATAAATTGCATATACAATCACATCGCCGCGGAAGGTAACGATCTCCTTCGAAAGGTAACGGTCCTTCTCTCGAAATGATAACGAGGCTGACGCATCACCTTCCCTGATGAGGAAGAGGGACCATCAGTTTCATTCGTAAGGTTGCGACGAGTTCGTCAATTCATTATGTTGAGCATTATTCGTGTACACGTTGCCGATCGAATGCGGCATCGATCACATTGAGAGAAACGGGCGATCTCGTAAATATGGGAAATCTCGTAATGGAGATACTTGCAAGCAGGCAAGGAATATACGGGGCGATAATAGGTACACATAGCGAGACTCGTTGTCGGGGAGCGCTGACCGCAGAGATAACGCTTTGACCCGTTACATGCTCCAAGAGTACCAAATGAATGCCTTCACTGTCCCTATCTTTCTGTGCCCAATCCAAATACGTAGCCCTTTTTCTTTCCCCGAGTTGCGCCCTTTACAGTCCGTTTGCGATGGTCCTGCGAATCTCACGGAGGCAATCTCTTTGCCTTTCCCGGCATGACCGACGCAATGGCGACGAAACTCCGCCATCAAATTCCACCATTAAGCGCTGGAGATCCACGTATTATTTTAAACGTATTACTTTTCACTTTTCAAGTGACATCGTATTTGAACGCAACTTATCTGAAGATAAAAAATGTTGCAAATATCTGTAATTTTTATTCAAAAGAGAAGACATATGTTGCAATATTGTACTCGCTTTGTCCTATGAAAAAATTATAAAGTTACATAACAGATTTCATTATAACAAGATTTATTATATTTATTTAATTTGTCGATTAAGGAGGGCACGATGTAATATAAGACCGAAATATATTATCTTTTACCGCGATTATGTTTCAATTTTAATATATTTTTCACTGACAAAGAATAAATATATCGTTAATTATAAGTACCATTATTAATTATAAGAATAAATTATAAGTGTCTAAATTTTGTTAATGATATATAAATAAGATAATGAAAGAGAATATAATATTCATATATAATTACATCCTGTGATGGATCATATATATTACCTTTCCATGTGACCATTTATTTTATTGATGCACTAAGACATCGATTCCAACAAATTTTAATTTTATTATATTAATAAAAAATATGAAGAAAAATAATGAAAAGAAATCAATTTTTTTTTCAATATTTGTTTTTTATTTAGAAAACCGATGAGTTTACTTTTTATTTAAAAAACAATGGTGTTTTTATATCTCTAGTTAAGGTCCTGGAACCAAGACATTACGTGCTGAACGGCGGCAGATATCACTTTCCAGCCTAATGGTTCTTCAGGATTCCAAAGAGATGAAAATCATTTGGTGCAAGGTCTTAGCTGTGAGGCGGGTGGTCTCAACATCTGCCTCCTTGGCTTCAAGACCTTGACTGATTTCTTCGCTGTTGAAATCGATGCATTTGTGGAACAAATGCCTTGGATATATATGGGGAATACATGGGAAAGTAATATGTGCAATGATATGCTATATATGAATATATATATATTCTCATGATAGGTCTTATCTTATTTATTGACATGCCCTCGTAGATTCGCCGCAAGACGTAGAAAATAATGCAAGATAAATAATAATTATTGTAGATTTATCTGTGAACGCATCCAATCAACAACAGTCAGACGTAATAGCGTCGTCGATCTACGAGAGTTTCAAGGCGTGCAAGGATCATCCGCAGATCTGCGGAAAGGAAGCAGCCTGTCGCAGCTTCGAGAACAATACGTCGAAATGCGTATGTCCTCACGACGGTTTGTCACAACCCACGGCGGATTTAAAATGTCCAAATCGTGTAATCGGTAAAGCTGCGTGATTATTATACTGTGCCAACATTTTTTAGAATAATGATCTGTTAATGAAAATCTAAGTAATTGCCGAAATATAATTAATTATTCATATAATAAAGATAAAACTAACAAAATTAAAATTAATAGCTTAACGTAAATCAATAATTTTGTGCAGTTCCTTTAACGCCTCGTCCGATACACAACATAATTCCACCAAGTAATAATAACAATGATACGAATAGTACGAATGGGTTTCCAGAGGCTGAACAGGTATTTTTATTTTTATTTTTATGAGTTTTATACGCATATGTTTATGTCTACACAATCGATAACAATGTAAGAGTTATTTATAAATGCGACAGGTGGATGGATTAAGATATAAAGTACCTGAAATAGTAGGAGTAATTATAGCTTTCATCGCTTTAATAATACTTTTACTGAGTATTGTGTATGGTGTTAGAAGACGGAGTTACAGCATCAAATCTCAAAGAAGTTCTTTAGATGTAAGTCATTTTTTTGAATCTTTTATTAAAATTTATGTTCTTTTCAGATTAAATTTTGTCTTATAGATAATTTTCTGTTTTGAAGTTATATACTTTATTATTTTGAATGAAGTTTTCTGAAGTCATTTTTTTATTATCTTAGCTTTTGCATTATTATTAGATCATATATTAAAATTGATAGATTATATCTTAAAATTGATAACGCGCGTTTCATAATCTTTGATAATAATTATAATAATATCTCGCTTTCATTGTGCTTTAGGTGACTCCAATAAGTCTCAAAAAAGGGTTATTATTAGCGCATAAGTATACACCTAATCCTCAATATTTCACCTGCTCTTCTCCTGGGGTTGCGATCATAGAACGAGAGAGTATTATATTTTTACACGACATCGGCGAAGGATGTTTCGGAAAGGTTTACAAAGGTACAAAATTACTTAAATTAAAATAAATAGAAATAAACAAAATGAAAAAAAAAGAATTCAAAAAAATTTATAAAAGTATTCAATAATCTTGTAGTAATCCTTTTTTCTCTTTTTAATAATTAAAAATTTGTAGCTTTAAAAAATAGATTATTTCCAAATATTAATAATATTTTTAAACTTATTTATATATATGATTACATATATTCTCACTAAGTTAAATAATGCCAGATATTTATATTTTTCGGAATAAAAATTTCACAGGTGAATGGCATAACGGAGACACGAAAGAGATTGTCGCTGTAAAAGTCTTAAAGGATACCGCCACGCCCGAAACTGAACAAGACTTTATGCGAGAAGTAGACATTATGTCCACGTTCAGTCATACGAATATTTTGTCCTTGAAGGGGATGGTGCTTCGAGATGCAACGAATAACCCGTGGATGGTGTTCGAGTACATGCCATACGGTGATCTCGCCGAAGTACTACGGGCAAATTCTCCGCAATTTAAATTGTCGAAACCTGGCATGAAACCATTAACGAAGGTATCAATCACGAAATTTTCGTAATACGATGACTCTAAAATTCTGTATTTGACACGAAATAATTATACGTGTCCTTACAGCAGTTTTATCATATCGTACATTACAATTCACTGTTCACATACTTATTGCACTTAATTGCGTTTCTTATTTTTTAACACACCGTCTACAGGTGTCCATTATCGCACGTGTGATATAAAATTTATATTATAAATTTTAAATAATTATAAATACAGTTAATTATAAATACAGTTAGCGCAATTTTTCTTTATAGCGGAAATAATTCAAAGATAAACTATTGCTTGTAGAACTCGCTGCATTGGATCTCGATACAAATAGCAGCTGGTATGTCTTACTTGTCGGCACAAAGATTCGTGCATCGCGATCTGGCGTGTCGAAACTGTCTGGTGGGTTCAGACTTAGTGGTGAAAATTGCTGATTTCGGGATGTCGCGAGATATCTACACCTGCGACTATTACAAGGTAATAAAATTAAATTCATTTAAATTATGTAAAGAGTCGTGGAAAAAAATTTCAGATGCTCTTTCTTCTTTTACTTTAGAAAAGAGAAGAGCTCTTGACGCATCATTCCTCCATAATCATATTTTTGATGCGAGCGCGTGGTAGTTGCATTATTTTTAAATCATCGTATCAATTAAAATTCTCAGATTGGAGGATCACGTTTGCTACCAGTTCGTTGGATGTCACCGGAAAGCGTAATGTACGGAAGATTTACTTTGGAGACCGATGTCTGGAGTTTCGGTGTCGTTCTCTGGGAAGTATTCTCATTCGGGAAGCAGCCTTATTACGGTCACACTAACGAAGAGGTCAGGAATATGCTTCCACAATAACTCTCTATATTAATTATGTTATAAAGACTCAAACGTATTTTTATAATGCACAGGTTGTAAAACTTATATTACAAGGCATCATACTTCTTCCGCCGGATGAATGTCCGTCTGTTGTTTGCCAAATAATGCGCGACTGTTGGAAGGTGGAACCGCGGGAACGAATCAAGTTTCCCGACATCCTAGACAGGCTGGAAAAGGCGCAGAGCAAATTGATCCAGCAAGGGTCGTTGCCCAGGCCACCGCAAGGTCCTGTGACAGTACGTACCCCGGATGTCTTGGATCCAGATGGATATTTGCTTCCGGCTCCTACGACTACCCGTGAATATCTGCAAGCTCTTCCAGCTCTATCCAACTGATAGCATATTTATAATAGTGGAACAATTTTCTTTGAATTGCAATTTTCCAAATGCGCGCGCGAATCGAAGCAATAAAATGTGGAAAAAAGGTGAAATGTACCCGAAGCCGTCGAAAGAAGTAAAGATATGTTTAGTACTCCGAGATTGTGTGTGAACATATATGTTTGTATAAAAAATTTTTATGTGATAAATTTAATTTTTTCACAGCTTTTTCACAAATTTCAAACATTGCATATATTTTCTTACACTTAAATTTGCAATTCATATTTTATTTTAAAGAAAATTTCACTTCCAATGAAATTAAAAAACTATGAATTTATATTTTAGCACTTCCGCCAAAAATCGTTATACTGAACAAATCTTATACACTATAATGATACAAATAAAGATGAATAATTTAGCAAGAATCATTGTAATAATGTAATTGTAATAATGATTGTTGCTAATATCAACAAATGTAAATTATGTCTTTTACATCGAGAATGTAGGAAAATTTGTGAATATAAAGCTAAACGCGTGTGCACTCACAAAATAGTATTAATGTCTTTTATATATGTTAGAGCTATTTTATTAATATTTCTGAAGTAATATTGTAACGCCGATAATTTGATAAATTTGCAGCGGAAAATGATAAATAAAACGTTAATGAGACTTATTTAATCAAGCATTTATCGGAGGCGTCATGAACGAGTTGAATTAAATATGCAAGACATTTGTTGTTCAAGATTTTATGCGTCGATTTATTCTTGCGAAATTTTTTCTTTATTGCTTTAATTTAGAGATACTATTTTACGAAGTCTGTAAAATAATTATATAAATCAAGCTTTAAAGAAGTATGGATAGAAAGTATTTTTAATAGTTTATACGATCGTTTTCCGATACGAATTATAATATATAGTATTATAATTAATTTTAAAAATTTAAGACGAAAAGTTATTGTCATAATTGATATTATATCTTCTTTTTTACGACTTAATTTGAAAAAAGAATTTATAGAATAAGAGTGAAAAAATAGAGATATAAGAGGACACGTTCTCTTTACACAAAATAAATTGATTAAATATTCTGAATAAATATATTCAAACTTGTTTTATTATAAACACAATTAATATTTAATTAGCATAAAAATCATACGATTTAATAGATTCGATTACTATTTTAAGATTCAACTTTTTAAGAGGATATAGGATAAATTAATCCTTAAAACATCGAATCAAAGAGTGTGAATAGAATAAAAAGAACATGAGGGAATGTGGAAAAGGGGTGCGAAGATAAAGGGATGCGAGCTCTTTAAAAAAAATAGCAAGACGTGAAATGAACCGAAATGTTCTCAATTAGCGATACTTCGCGGATCGTCTTGATTATTGTTGCCGTGATACGTGGCAGTTTTTTGTTTCGAAGAGAGCTTGCTTTCGAGAAGAGCGAGACGAGACGAGACGACACGGACGAAACGCGAAACGTTCGAAACATCTTCGATTCGATTCCGAGCATTTCCCAACAGGAAAACAACCGCGACGAAAGATGTTCGAGGAACATTGCGTCCTGCAGTCGATGCGATTCCCGCAGAAGCTCTGGCGGATAGTGAATGAGTGCCAGACCGGGGCGATTCGGTGGAGCGCGAATGGCGATACCGTGCTCCTCGATTACAAGAAATTCCAGACCGAGTACTTGGACGCGCGCCGGCCCATCTTCAAGACGAGCAACATCACCAGCTTCATCCGTCAGCTGAATCTTTACGGTTTCCGCAAGGTGACCTCCCACAACCGCGATCCGGTCTGCAATTCCTACAACCCGCACGTGCACGAGTTTCTGCACGAAAATTTTCGCGCCGATCGGACAGACCTGTTGTTCAAGGTGTGTCGAAAGACCGGTGGCAAAAGCAAATGTTTGCAGCAGGAGATTACGAGAAGCGCGGAGGAAGGTCCACGATTGCAGACGAATTGCGTATCTCGTTTAAAACTGTGTCAGGTACATCTGCCGAATACGAGCTACAAACCGAAAGAATTTTTATTTTAATATATCGTTTGAGAAAAATATTCATATGATTCTTTAAATCAATATAATCGATATATGAATAAGGATATGATCAGCACAATTAATGTTAATAAATATTAATTATTTAAAATTAATTACTCCAATTTTTTCAATTTTTTAAAAACAATCTACTTCTTATTGGAAAAAATTAATAAATATTACAGATATAATATTATATTGATTGTTATAATTTTCTCCCACTCCAACAGTTGGCTTTGACTAAGACTCTAGAACAAATTACTCAAGAATATCGACAAAAACATGAAAAAAAGTCAATTATAGCAAAGAAAGAGGATAATATCTTGAAAAGAATCAGAAATTCTAGAGATACAGGTATAAATACTGGAATTTGTCTTAATATTATTCATGCTATAATATATCATGTCATTTAAAAAATTCAATTGTTTTTTCATTAAATTTTTTGACAAGGCTACTATCAATACAATTTTTTAAAATTATTGTTAACTGTAATTTTTATGAACAAATTGAGAATAAAGTAGAAATATTTTTCAATGTATATAGAAATCAAATTAAATTAATGATCTTTTTTGTTGATATACAAGCTTGTGGAAATCTTAGCTGATAAAAAAATTAATTAAAATAATTTAGTCCACTTCATCTCATCAGACATTATATATAAAAACTTTTAGCATAATTTGAGTTCGATTTCTTAATATATATCATTTCATATCTTGAAATTTCAATATTTTTAATAGATATTAGTAATTATTAATGCCAGGCTCTCTCTTTTTATTCCTCTTTTCTGTTGAGAATAAATTTACTTTGAAACCATTAATAAATGTGATTATACACACATTAAATATTATATGTTTAAATATCTACTTTTTATAAATGTTTTAATGTTAACAACTATGTTTTTCAGCTTCTCTTTTATACGAAATTGAATTCAATGGTGTTGCAAACCGAAAATCTATCACAGAACAGAATGCAAAATATTCTACATGTCTTCCTTCAAAGATCAATTCATCTAAAGACAAAATAATGTCATTACCTTGGCATATTAATTTGACAGATAAATGCAATTTGCATTTTAATGCTCCAAACGTTCATTAAAATCAGCTTGAAATTATTAATTTTAATGTTCTCTCCAAGCAATATTCATATTATACTAATATTTATACTTAATAAGTTTCCTAATGTGATATGTATTTTCTATGTTAAATTATGTTAAATTAATTATATAACAGTAAGATACTAGTTATTACATATATACATTAATAATATATATAAAGTTTATGTTGTAATTTAAAAAGAATTGTAAGATGTTAATGTTCACATGTAAAACAAATAAAAAAAATATATAGTCAACATTATTAATAAAAACAGAGCTTAAGCAAAAATTGATTTATTTTATGGTAAATAAGCTAAGCATAACTTATTAATCAAATCATATATATATTTTATATAAATTATATATAAAATTAATTGGAATCAATATTATCACTTTTTTTACTTGTACTAGGTTCAGATTCATGATTCTTTCGCTTAATTTGTTCCATTCTATGTCTTTCCAAAAAACTTTTAAATGACTCTTCTTCTTTTTTTTCTCCATCTTCATTTTCATCTTTGTTTTCTGTCCCATCTTCGTCTTCGCTTGATTCATTGCATGCATGTTTTAGATAAATCTCAGAAGTTTCATGACCATTGCTAACTGTTGATACTAAGGGTACATCTTCTCCCATTACTTTTTTACTAACCTTCTCCAATTGCTCCTTCTCTGTCTTTTGTCGTTGAGCTTCCCTCTCCATCTTAAGTCTTTCCCATTTTTCTCTGTAATCGCTTAAAAGTACAACAAAATATTATTTATATCAGAATATTATTTATATCAAAATTAAGAAATAAAAGTTACACAATATTATTCAACATAGTATTTAATTGCAATAATTTATATATACTGAAAGCAAACATTATAACATTTCTTACGTTTCATACTCCTTCACAGCAGCTTCGACTAATTTTAGAAATTCGTCAATTCCAGCACCTGTTACTGCAGAAACACCACAACATTGCAGGTGACTATAAAATTCATCTAATGCAAGTGCCATACTACGTGTTAAATTGCTGATATAACCACTTTCCATATCAAGTGCTTCTTGAAAAGCTTCAAAATCATGCATCCAATCAATTGCATAACTATGCTCAACAATATCAATCTAAAATAAAATAATTATATATCAATGTTTAATTGATTATATCCAAATTGTGCAAAAATTAATATATGATAAAAAATATATATATAAATATTATAGTTTTACAAACCTTATTCATGACTACAATAAAGGGCAATTTAGTTTTATAAAGTATAGAACAAGCATATAACATATTGGACATGAATGTGACAGGATTAACGCTTCTCACAGTATCTACTACATATATTACAATAGTTGGAAATTGAGATGCTAATGCTTCTGTTATGATTGAACCACTGGCTGACCATGTAAAGACCTCAATCTGTCCTGGTGTGTCAAAAACAACATAATTGTGCTCTTCACTAGCTTTGTTAATAAGTTCGATAACTTGATGAAATTTTGTCGTAAAGAGATTTAAACTTGTAACTATGCCACCATTTGGGCCCAATTTATACTGTTTCATTACTTCTTTGTAATTTACGGTGTCTCTTATATCTGAAAAGAAAATATAGTTGTCTTTAAATCAAATATTAAACAGCAAAAATAATTCTCGCTAAATCAAAAGCATAATGATAAAAATAATTTTGAATATTGTCAAATTATTAATTTGTGTAATCAAATGTATACATATAACATTATGTTAAATAATTATTTTTTACCTATATTAGCAGAATATGGGACTTCTATACAAGCAGGATCTAAATTAACAACATACGGTTTTCCTACATCATACAATCTAGAAACAAGTCTGGAAACAAATGATGTTTTTCCAGCACCAGCCATTCCAAGTACAATAATACATGGTATCTTTTTGTATGTATTTTGATTATCTGTTGTAGGTGCAGTATGCATCTGATCTGAAGTAGTATTTGTTGCTCCTGCAATATCCAATTCATCTTTTTCTTCAGACATTTTAGAATCTGCAAATTTTTAATTTTTTATTATTTACTATAAATTAAATATTTATTATAGATTAAACCTTATTTCACCCAAACTCCAATAACTTGATTACTAATTAGCCTAAAGAATAATATTTATTATTTTGTTAATATGGGTAAATTATTAATTTTCTGTTGCTTGACACAAAAATTTCTTATCCATATTAAATTAAATTAAAAATGAATTATATAGTTAGAAATCTTATAAGCAATTTTGTCTACTAACTGAATTAATCAATAATTACTCATTAGAGTAATCATTGATGAAAAAGAATGTTTTTTTTATTAGACTTAACACTTAACACTTTCTATTTATTAGACTTAATTATATCAGTTAATATAGTATTATTATATGCTTAGTTACAGTTCTCATAATTAAATATAAATATAAAACTTGTAAAAGTTATCTATAAAAGTATAATTTATCACAGGATGGATATATTTTTCTTTATATATAATTTTACAAAGTTAACCACGTATATCAATATCTATTAATTTTCTTATCAAATCTTTAAAAAACTTACCTACTTATTTACAATACCTATTTAAAAAAATTTTTCGAAGATGGAAATTATTTTATGTGCGTAGTTATTTTTCACGCGATAAATAATCGAAGATCCTGGATTCGAAACTCTGAATCCATGTGTTGATCACTCTGCATTAAAATGCCTTGATAGGAAACTCAGCTGCCTTATGTATGCAACGTAAAGGTAGATTTCTAATCCATATTTTTATATATTGACCAATCCGAGCAAAGATTTTTTTGTCCGGTGACGGAGTCGTTTCTCGAATAACCAATCAACGAGCAATTTTTTCGAGGCCATTTAAGGCCTTTGCACGTACAAAAATTTTATTCATAACTGTGAAGCCGAATCTACATTGGTCGTATCGTAACATCGCAAGTCGTAAGTCGTAGGCACATTGACCAACCATAGTCGATTATTTCAAAAATAATCAACCATGATTGGTCAATTTGTTTACGACGTTACGATACGACCAATGTAGATCCCACTCAGAGATTGACTAATCACAGTCAAGTATGAAGAGAATACTCGACTGTGATTGGTCAATTTCTTAAGGCTTAGGTCTTAAATTGTCTATTGTAGACCCGGCCTTAGGTTAAATTTATTTACGCACCTGTAAATGTTTGTATATACAAACACCTCGTGTTTTAATGAGATTGTTTTCTAATATAGTAAGTAATATCTCTGCAAGTTTCTGATAAAGAATCTAAGTGTAATACAATATTGTAATGAAAATCTAAATGTCACAAATTTACATTTTACTGTACGAGTGATATTATTAGTTGTATTATTTTGACTGCGTTCGCTTTGCACGCTCATACGCTGAGCATCATTCTGATTTCATTGCACATTATCTATTAACATATTTTATATACAGAGTGATTAACACATAGATCCAAACTTTCGAATCCAGAGATCTATCACATGAAAAATAACTGTACGCACATAAAATAATTACCATCGATAAATTTTTTTAAATAGATTGCAAATAAGTAGGTAAGTTTGTTAAAGATTTGATAAGAAAATTGATGATTAATACTTTAGACATCTATAGCATTGAAATTTATATTGCATAGATTTATAATACAGTAAAGAAAATATACGCAAGATGACATCTATTATAAAACTTCATGCTGTTTCTGGAGCGATGGACGAATCTCCACCTTGTTACATATTACAAGTTGATGAATTGAGAATATTATTGGATTGTGGATGGGATGAAAACTTTGATCAAGATTTCATAAAAGAGTTAAAAAGGTATCTGCAGAAAAAAACATTCTAGTGTAATATAATAAAATTCTATTATAATGTAATAAAATATAATATATAAAATTATATTTCCAGACATGTCAATCAAATAGATGCGGTATTACTTTCTTATCCAGATCCATTACATTTAGGTGCATTACCATATCTGGTAGGTAAGTGTGGCTTGAATTGTCCCATATATGCCACCATACCTGTCTATAAAATGGGTCAAATGTTTATGTATGATATGTATCAGGTATGTAACTTTAATATATGAAGATACAAAGATGTTTAATTTGAAATTAATTATAATTTGTAAAAGTATTATCTTTATATTGTAGTCCCGTCACAATATGGAAGATTTTGATTTATTTACTCTGGATGATGTTGATGCTGCATTTGATAAAATTGTACAGCTGAAATATAATCAAAGCATATCAATGAAAGGTAAAGGCTATGGTGTTACATTGACACCTTTGCCAGCAGGACACATGATTGGTGGGACAATTTGGAAAATTGTAAAAGTTGGGGAAGAGGATATAATATATGCTGTTGATTTCAATCACAAAAAAGAACGTCATTTGAATGGTTGTGAATTGGAAAGATTGCAAAGACCATCATTATTGATAACAGATGCATTCAATGCTACATATCAGCAAGCTAGACGAAGGACGAGAGATGAAAAGTTGATGAGTACATTTCATATTTTCTATTAAAATTAAAATATTGTTAAATAAAAGACATTTTAATCTATTTATATTTTGTTTAGCTAATATCTTGCAAACATTGCGAGGTGGTGGCAATGTATTGGTCAGTGTAGATACTGCTGGCCGTGTACTGGAATTGGCACACATGTTGGATCAGCTGTGGCGAAATAAAGAATCAGGATTACTTGCCTATTCATTGGCCCTTCTTAATAATGTGAGCTATAATGTTGTGGAATTTGCAAAATCGCAAATTGAATGGATGAGTGATAAATTAATGAGGAGCTTTGAAGGTGCACGCAACAATCCTTTTCAATTTAAACATTTACAACTTTGTCATAGTATGGTTGAATTAAATCAAGTTCCAAGTCCAAAGGTGAGAAAATAAAAAAATTACATAATTCATGTATATACAGAACATAAACACATCTCACATATTTCTAAATAATTTAATTTAAACTTTAAATATTATTTTTAGGTGGTTCTTGCAAGCACTCCAGACATGGAATGTGGATTCTCCAGAGAACTATTTCTTCAATGGTGCACTAATCCACAAAACAGTATTATAATAACAAGTAGAACATCTCCTGGTACACTTGCTAGAGATTTAGTAGAAAAAGGAGGAAATCGAAACATTACTCTAGACGTAAAGAGACGAGTGAAACTCGAAGGCATTGAATTAGAAGAATATCAGAAAAGAGAAAAGTTAAAGCAAGAGCAAATGAAACAGGAACAAATGTATATATATATACACATCTATCTATCTCATTCATTTTATATTTACATCTTATTGTCACTTGTACATTTTATTAGGGAAACAGCAGATGTGAGTTCTGAATCAGAAGATGAAATAGAAGTTGGTGGTGCGAGAGGAAAACATGATTTACTGGTGAAGCAAGAGAGTAAACCTGGTTTCTTTAAACAAAGTAAAAAGCAATATCCCATGTTTCCATTTGTAGAGGAGAAGATTAAAATAGACGAATATGGAGAAATCATAAAGTAAGAATATTTCTACAAAAATAGATATTTACTTAACAATAATATGTAAAATATAGTAAAAATTTCTAAAATATATATTGCAAAAATCTCTATACTTGTGTGCACAATATTAAAAATGTTAGAACTGAAAAATTATTTGCATATATTTATATTTCAATAGTAATTATAATAAACATAATTTGTTTATTAATATAATTTGAATAAATATATTTTATTATACACGTTTTGTGGAAACTTCTCTATTTATATATTAATTATTACAGACCAGAAGATTATAAGATAGCAGAGACAGCACCTGAAGTAGAAGATAATAAGGAAAATGTAGAAATGAAACAGGAAGAAACCAATCATCATCCAGAAATAGCCGCGGACATTCCAACAAAATGTGTTCAGGTTTCGCGTACGATGACTGTTAACGCGGCAGTAACTTACATAGATTTTGAAGGAAGATCCGACGGAGAGTCCCTGCAAAAGATTTTAGCGCAGCTAAGACCGAGGAGAGTAGTCTTGGTCAGAGGTTCGCCTAAAGACACAGAGATTTTAGCGCAGCAAGCACAAAGTGCTGGTGCAAGAGTATTTATTCCAGGCAGAGGAGAGACGCTGGATGCTACAACAGAAACACACATTTATCAAGTAATATAATAAGTGTATCATTTTTATGCACCAACATACTAAATAGTATGATTATAAATTATTCTTTATTATTTTTTTTAGATCTTTTGTTTCGTTTTTCGTTTCGATTAGTTGTAAGAAGAAAAATCAGAATTTATAATACAAAATACATTTTTTGTTTTTATAGGTACGTTTAACCGATGCTTTAGTCAGTGGATTAAATTTCTCGAAGGGTAAGGGCGATTCCGAAGTGGCATGGATAGATGCAATGATAACGGCGCGTGATCAGATTTGTCGAGATGCTGTCGCTGATACAGAGTCCGAAAATGCAATTAATGAAAGTGACAAAATATTGACTTTGGAACCCTTGCCACTGAACGAAGTGAGATATCGAATCTACAAATAATAAAATATATTAGTAACAAGATTAGAGATACATTTCTTATTTCATTTACGTCATTTGCATTTTTAGGTCCCAGGTCATCAAACAACATTCATAAATGAACTGAAATTATCTGATTTTAAACAAGTTTTAAATAAAAGCAATATTCCATCGGAATTTAGTGGAGGAGTGTTGTGGTGTTGTAATAACACTATTGCCGTTCGAAGGGTTTGTTGGTTTTTATAGTATTATTGTAATAATAAATTTGTCGGCGCATTTCTTGTACTTTTCAATACATTAAACGCAGAAAATACATATGATGCCGATAACTTTCATATGTAGAATATATATAAATAATTTTATATTTATTTTAGCATGAAGCTGGGAAAGTAATATTGGAAGGCTGCATATCTGAAGATTATTATAAAGTTCGAGAATTATTATTTGAACAATATGCAATTGTATAGATTTTTATTTAGTATATATAAGGAACGACTGTGTATCTGTAATGTATAAATGCTTAAAAAATTTATCTAACATACATTATATAAAAGGAATAGTACGATGAATCTTTTATGGATGAAGTCATATTTAAAAAAAATGCAAAGGTTATCTTCATCTTTCTCTTTTTCTAATTCTTAAGTAAATTTTTTATTACGTAGTAATAATTCCTGATACGTACAAAGACCTACATTCTGTAATGTTCATAAAAATATAAGAAGTGTGAAATATAAAAAGTGTATTAATAATTTGAAAATTATAATTCATTCAAAATTTCTTTTTTTTTTATTATTCAATTCTTGCTATTTTATTTTAAGAGTCAGCTATTTTTTTGTGAGTTAGATTTTCCTCCATTTTCTTCTTGCATTACTTTCGCATTTACATTTATCATGATTATGATTATAATTGAATAAATCAAAGTTTATTATTGCTTGAGCCATACAAATTTCTTTAGATATACAGAAAAAATATAATATGCATATTTTTATAAATAAAACTGTAATACGTATTATAACACTTAATTATTATTTAAAAGCACACGTAAGAAAATGAAAATAAAGACTTTGTATCTTTTTAATAAAGAATATTAAAAAAAGAAAATGAGAAAGCAAAAGATGATATTATGATTTTTTTATTCTTTAAATGTACTTGATTGATGATTGAATGATTTTTTATTATTTTAATGTTTATAGAAAAGCAATAAGGAAGACAGATTTAAAAGAAAAGCAATAAGGAAGACAGATTTAAAAGAAAAGCAATAAGGAAGACAGATTTAAAAGAAAAAATTCTCTTTCCTCTCCTATTGAATTCGAAATGCTTATTATAATAGACGAAATCGACCGTAAGAAAAATATGTATTTTATTTATATTTTTAAGATAGGATATATCTTATATTATTATGTAATAATATAATACATAATAATTATTATCAGATATAATTAATATTATCATAAATTTAGTCAAAAACTCGCATGTGCACATAATTTATCTTTATATATTTCTATTTCTATTACGATAGCTAAATTGATATGTTCCGATCATTCATGCGATGTGCGCATTAGTGCATCTTGCAACATTGCACTAGTATGGCTGTGTTCCAAAATTCACTGCCAGTACTGAAAATCTATAGTGTACGTCACGTAAACTATAGATTTTCAGTATTGGCAGTGAATTTTGGAACGCAGTCTATATCTGCAACTTTCTCTATGTATGTGTATGAAATCGCATCATTTTAGTTTGTAATTGAATTGAAGTAAATTATAAGAATTATTATATATACCAGTAAAAAATTGTGAATTTATACGAAATAACGTAATAATTCTTCGATTAACGCTTTATAAGAACTTGTGAGAAATTTAGTATCGAATAAGATATAAACAGTTATGGTTATGAGACCATCTGTGTGGTGAAAAATAGCATGTATGTAGCCAAGTGAAAATGATAAAATTACAAACACAGAGTATTTATTAAACATTCATAACTATATATGCATGTGTATAGCAATAGTTACAAATATTTTATCTAATATCTTTATATTTTCTTTTTCAGAATGTTTTTTAAACATGATTTTATGATAAGGGTGATAAAATACAGCATTATATATAAGATATTTATCTTAGATTCGAGAGATTCCTACATTATATGAGATTAAAATTAACATTGACAGTATGAGAAAATATTATCAGGCTGCTCTAGCTATAACGGCAGTAATAAGCCTTATATCTCTGCTCATCTACAGACACGAATATAACAGATTGAGGTATGTCTTAGAAGTTTTCAATTACTTTGGTAAGCCTGGGCCAAGAAGAGATGCAAATTGTACGAGTTCCAATCCGATGTTTACTACATTCAATACAAAGTTCGACGAACCGATTCCTTCTTGGCAACGTCTGGAGGATGATCTATACATATATTCTACATACAGTATTAACAATAAAGAGATACGAGCGATTGGACTCGGGACTATAAACAGCGTTTCAAACATGCAATGTCTTGTTTTCTTTGAAAATGAGAGTAAACCTTTATTGGGAAGTATTAAATTTATCCCTATTGGTAATGCAATTGCCATGACTTTAGGAGAAAATTCAAGATACGGAGGATACCATTTTGTGTGCGCATATACCAGTAATGAGACTCCCATTGGAATAACATTTGTTACAAAATCTAACAAGTATCTCAATTATGCACCCATTTTTCCTATAAAAGTGCAGCCACGAAGTTTGAGCGATAGTAGAATAGGAGTGTGCGTGATGCAATCATCGATGAAACCAATACAGTTAGCAGATATGATAGGTTTCATCGGCTTCCATGCATTGATTGGAATGGATAATTTTGTCGTGTATGATTCTGGAATTTCAAATGAATTTAATAGTAAGCTAAAAGAAATGGCTAACGATTTGACCTCCTTTTGGAAGTTTACATATACTATTGTACCATGGAATTTTCCTTTCACAGAAATCGATCAAAATATTATAAGAGAAATTATCGAGATAGATTGCTTATATCGTACATACAATAATGTTGCTTACGCTATTGCTCTTTCATGGAATGAATATGTAGTTTTGAAGTATCATCATGCAATGATTGATCTGATAGCAGATTTCAAACAAACCAAGTTGATAGCTGACCGTTATAAATTAAAAACTGCAACCTTTTGCATACAGCAAACTGACAATAAACAATATGCCAATTCTACACTGATAGTATTAAAGAAGACAAAATCCAATATAAACATTTTAGAAGATCATTCTGTTTACATACACAAGCCACATGTAACATTACAAAATTCTCATATATATACCAAGGAAATAAGAAAGGATTTGGTTGTTGTAAATCAATATAAATATTGCGACAATTACAAAGACAGACGAGAAGTAGAAGATCTTACAATTTTAAGATTTGCCCAAGATATGCAAAACTCATCAATTTTTAGGAAATATCTCGGACCTAACAATGCTTGATACAGATATAAAGTGATATAAATTTTAGCATGACTGATATATTAATTTAACTAATATTTGCACAATCTTGGATAATGTTTCACATTTGCATACTACTTTTAATTCATATATACATATATATTTTCTAATTATATATCGTCTTTCATATTAGGTGCCTTAATCATTACATCATAGCTGTATGACTAGTCATAACATGGCTATTTTAATATTTTGTACATTTTCCAGATTTAAGCTATAATAAAATATTCTTTAAATTTGTTACTTCCAAATAGTTTTACATCTTAGTTTTTTTTATATCATTATAGTAATCAAGTTATATGCAACATTTACAAGAATGATAATTTTATTATATAGATATTATGAAATTTTTGTAAATAAATTTATGATTAAGTTAAATTTAAAAAAACTGTTGTTTACAATTTTCAAACTTTATAATTCTAAATATTGAATATAATAGAGTTAAACTTGATTGATTCAAGTCATCAGAAGATAGGTGAAGTATACAATAAACGAAAAAAAAAATAAAATGAAAGAGGTATTATATTCCTAATAAAAATTCATAGAAATTTATTTTTAAGCAATTTAACATATATTTGGTATATATCTAATTGTTATACATCTTTCTAGAAATTTAAAAAAAGTTTACTTCAGTCGTTGCATTATAGCCGAATTTTGCAAACCAGACTCTTCAATTGTTTTATCTTCTGTAAGTTCTTTCGTTGGATATACGGTTAACAAGCTAAAGTCCCTTAGAGCATACTGAGGTCTCATACTGACATTATGCATTAAGAAAAATTTTTTATTCGAATCTTATTAAAAAAAAAAATTTTAATAAAATTTAAACAAAATTCAGAAAGATCAAAGGATACGTTATTATATATCGTCTAAGATCGGCGATAGTGTGTGATAAATTAAATTGAGCCTTCACGGTACTGCCATCCGCGAGACGAATTTGTAACGTTGTCGTTGGCTTTGAGGTATCTACATTCAATTCTTTTCTCGCTTGCGCTTCATTGGCAGCTTGATCAGCAGGATCAGTTGGAACTGTCATACCTACAGTAGCTGGTGATGGACTGAAATATTTGTAGCGTTACAAAAGTAAAGTTCCCTTAAGAAATATAGAAATCTAAAATCAACTGTAAATGGAGAGATCAGTAATAATATGGGTATAAAGCACATAAGATGAAACTTTACCTTCCTAACATATGTCCCTTTCCAGAGAAAGCTTTCACCTTGGTTTTTGATGGAACATAGACCTCATGACGATGATCCTCCATATCAAGACGTACTTCTGCGCCTTGTACCTGTTGACGAATCTCTGCCGGGATTTCGCCTCGCTTAATAGCGGCAAGAAATTCTCTGTTATCGGGTTCTCCATATGATCGAATCTCGCTGTCATTTATTGTAAATCCATCCTTCCACAATTTCAATGTAATAAGACCGTTTGAAGATTGTTGATCTGCATTTGCTCCTATGACTACTATTATGCATATATATGTAATAAACATTGTTTTAGCTATTTTGTGTCAATTTCTTTAAAACAATAAAACCTCAAGATACCTTCGCTATCGGAACTAGTTTGACCTAATTTATATCCTGTGCCACTGAATGTGTTCGGCCTTTGTTGACCTCCCATTTTTGGGGGATCTGCAGCAATTGATTGTTCTTGACAAGATTTGAACATATCGCTAATAATATCTTTCTTTTTCTTTCCTGGTCCTAAAACTTGCTGTCCACTGTGCTCAGAACCTCCAGCATAAAATGCTTGTCCTTCCTCATCTTCGGAACTGCTATCTTTGTTTTGAAGATCATTTAATGTTCCAAATCTAGGTTTTGGTTTAGCGCCCTTCGACTCCGTTGAGTCAGATTTTACATTTTTGTTTGACATTGTGTCTGCTCTATCTTGTAATTCTTCCTCCTGTTGCGTATCATCAATAGCCTCGGTCACTAATCCAGGGAACTCCTCTAAGTTCTCGTAAAAACTAGCAAGGGCAACCTGCAAAAATACTACGTGCCAACGCATGTGACAAAATGTGTTGAAAAAAATCGAAACCTTACAATGTGGGTCAAGTTTCAAAACAATAATAATCTTGTAATTTTGTCCATAAAGATTATCATTGCGACGAATTATCGAGTAGATCGTGTGAAACTACGAATTATAAAGATATAAAAACAAATACTTTATATCATAAACACAAAATGTCAGGAAACATGAAAAATGGATCACTTGGAGAAAAACGGAGTATTAACGATAATAAGTCAATAAAAAGCTGTATCGAGATCAAGACGCCCGAGTTTTGCGAAAGGAAGGAAATCAGGAAAAACCTCACTTTTTCTTGCTAAGTTTCGTAAAAATGTGCTGTCTCACCTCGAGCTGCCAAGCAGATGACTCGAGGTAAAATAACGCTCTCTCGGCTTCGACACCAGTTACGTCTGCGAATTGCGAGACCAACTCATCGCGGCTCGTCATTTTTTGGTGAAATTCAACCCCGGACGATTATCCACTGCTCTTTTCTCCGCGATCCCTGCCAACTCTTTACAACACGAATCCACCCTGAATTTACTGAAATTGAACGCACCTTTCTCCGTTCTCACCTCGATCCGTCTGTCATTCCCTTCGTTGACGCGGAATTGAACCGGATGTGAACGATCGAGGAGGTTCAATTCGAACGACTATTCGAAAACGCGCGTTCCCGTGTTTTGGAAACTCGCGTTATAAATACGTTTATTCGTCTTTCACTTGCCCTTTCTGATGCTAATAAATATTTCAAGAATATAAAAAAACCTTGTATTATTCCCAGATAATCAACCGTCTGTAAGGTTGCCGTCACGTTGCCAATAATTGTCGATAATAAAATTGTTGGCGACATGACAATTAATCATGACACGATTAATCGCATTTTAATCAACATGACAGCTATATTATTAATCAATATAATTAATCACTTAGTTATCCGAAGTATTTTATTGAATGACAGAGCAATGAATAAAAACATAATAAAGTATTTAATAATTTTTTTTTCATTATAGATTTCTATCTAAACATAATTTAAGTTACAAAAGTCTCGTATCGTTTTTATCTACATAAATCTATCTTTTATTTACATAAATCGAATATTTAATCACTAATTAATCACTAATTATCTGAAGTATTTTATTGAATGACAAAACAATGAATAAAAACATAATAAAATATTTAATAATTTTTTTTCATTGTAGATTTCTAAGTATAATTTAAGTTACAAAAGTCTCGTATCGTTTTTATCTACATAAATCTATTTTTTTTTATTTACATAAATCGAATATAATTAATCACTAATTATCTGAAGTATTTTATTGAATGACAAAGCATTGAATAAAAACATAATAAAGTATTTAATAATTTTTTTTTCATTGTAGATTTCTAAGTATAATTTAAGTTACAAAAGTCTCGTATCGTTTTTATCTACATAAATCTATTTTTTTTATTTACATAAATCGAATATAATTAATCACTAATTATCTGAAGTATTTTATTGAATGACAAAGCATTGAATAAAAACATAATAAAGTATTTAATAATTTTTTTTTCATTGTAGATTTCTAAGTATAATTTAAGTTACAAAAGTCTCGTATCGTTTTTATCTACATAAATCTATTTTTTTTATTTACATAAATCTATCTTTAAAAATTATTCATCAATTTGACAGAATAATGCTGTACCACGCTTCATCCAATATATATGTGACTTGTCAGTTTCCAAAGATACGCTTGTAATATAATTCTTTATCTTCATATTTGTGCTTACTTCGTTGCAGCATATCGGTGATACATATACAGGGCACTCGTAAATATTATCGACAACTCTTTCCTCTACGCTAAACGTAAGACATATCGGTGGCATGTTATACCAGAATATATTCGTCGAGCTTTCGATTAACATTCGCTTTTGCGCATCCCACCGAGCGCCAGATAAACGTAAATCATGAATGTAATATATATCTGTCTCGTCATGGGTAGAAATATCATCATCATTCATTACTCGAAGATCTAATGTAATTTGTTCAATGGGTACATCATCGCGACGTCGTGAGAACTCGAGGAGTATCGCGGATAAAAGTCTTTTACAGCAGGATAACGCATCGAAGTAGATGATACGAGGCAGATCGATGTTGTCGTGCCAATTTTGCACGAAGCTTACACGTTTCTGAAGCAGCTCGATATAATTTGGCAAATGTTTAGTTACGATACCGAGATCGATCAGCCTCCAAACACGTGGGACTTTGTTTTTGTATATTTCTGCGGACAAATCTTCCAAGGAATCGGTCAAGATAATCTCGCCGTTTAATGCCGATTTCAAATTATTCAGGGAGTCCACAATTACAGCTAAAACCTTGTTAATCAATTCGGCTTCGTGGATGAGAATCGCATTAAACGGTTCACGCGAGTTAAGAGGATATCTGTCGCGTATCTCGTCGATGTTAAATAAAACAGGTAACTTGCTATTGATTTCGTCAATTGCTCGCAATACTTGACTATCTTGTGCTACAATCTCATGGTTCGATGATCTAATTTGATCTAAATAAGATATAGATTCTAAGAATTCTCTGACAATAGCAGTGTCTTTTATAATAAGAGCATTTTCATCAGAAGCGAAAGCTTCCGGTGATGAGTCCAGTTGCATATCGTTGATGTGTTTAATAATATCGCGATATTCGCATCTTTGTGGTACCGAGTGTTCTATACAATTGGAAAATAAATATTCGTTGTCGTTGATAATACAAATATTACAGAAGGAATTCAACAGATATCCTAGATACCTTTGATCGAGACTATCCACGATCTTTCCGCCGTAATTACATTCTCCGACAAGATAGAGTAGCGTGTCGAATGGTATATTATTCTCGGTCTCGTTGATCAAGTTCTGCAGCTGCCTAACGGATATTTCAAAGTCGACGTGATCAAAATCGTATGGAATGTTCCATCCTTGCGGCCCGAAGTGTCTTCTCTCTCTGATGATTCCGTGAAAGAAGCAAAGTCCATACAGAAGTTTGGAGAACTCCTTGTCCCTTCCGGGACATCCTTCGAAGAATTCCTTATTTTTCACGGGCTCCGACCGATATGTTCTCAGCAAACTCTGTTTCAGTCGTAGTGGGTAGTCGTACGCGATCTTCAAGCTGTTCTGCAGGACGCTGATCGGAAAGTCTGGGACGGAACAACTGGAGAGCCACAGTCGAAAGTCCAAGGACGTACCGGATAGTTTCAGGCTCTCGAAGATCCGCTCGAGTCGCGGCATCCACGATATGGCGTGGTGACAGTTTTGCAAGAATATCCATTCCCCTTCCTTTCGCGCCTCTTCTACGAGAACTTCAGCAGTACTTTGTCGCGATCCATCGCCCATCGACAAGGAAACGAATTTCGAAGTATATCCTCTGGTGCTCGCGTAGGCGGAAACGAGCGACAGAGACGGAGTATAACTTGGCAGGATGAATATAATTGGCGTGAGGCAGCTGGATTCTGCGAATGATTCTGAAATCTGAAGATGAGGATACGAATTGAACACGTTCTCCAGCATGTTGTCCTCTATCAGCCGCATTATCTCTACGATGATCTTGTCGCGTCTGATGATTTTGACAAATGTCAACCTTTGAAACTGTGTCGTTCTGTCGGCCCATGGTTCCGGCATTAGATGGCTTTGAAACGGTATCGCATTGAAATATTTTTGCCAAGCCGCACCGTTGGATTGAAAATCATTTGCGAGTTCGTGTAATTCAGGCACCATGTCGTTTAATTTGCAAATTTGTTTCCATTTATCCGCTGATAACCACTCTGGCGCCGGTTCCTCAGGAACTATATCGCAATCCTCCGTCTCCGAAGAGACAAAGAATTTGACTTCCTCTTGCGTAGTCTGTCGAGCGTCCATCAAAATTTTCACGCACAATAGAAACGAATACAGAAGTTTATGTTTCTCGAATAGCGATCTACAGACGCTGGAATGGAGATTCCTCGTAAACGAAGATTTGAGAAATTGTAGTCGTTTTTCGAGAACAATGCTTCTGTTCGACGTTTCGATCGAGGTAATGTACAGCTGAATGAACCACGAGAATGAAAAACGGTACATGTGATTTAAGTTGGACAGGGTAGTCAATGTGCAGAATAAACCCGCGCAATGATCGGCAAACTGTAGATACACATCTCGGAATTTGTTGATATCCTCCGTCATTGATCTCGCTGCTTCCTGCCTCTTCATGATGTTCGCAGTAAGTGTCTTGGAGGAATCCAAGATCTGTATCGCGTTTTCATCCTCTAGAATGTTCGTAGTGGTTGACGAGAGAGTGCTCAGAATGTTGTCCTCTTGTTGCTGAAGAACTTTCTTGTTAGTGGCATCTTGAATACGGAGCGCTTCAAATTTGTCTTGAAGCTCCGGCCTCTCCTTCGCGACGACGATGTCTAGAAGCTTGTCTCGAAGAGTCTTGTCTGGCATCGAAAAATCGATTACGGTGAGCTTGCTGAAAACATCGGCCGTATAATCTGGATTTGACAATCTTGTGGTGATGTAAAATCGAAAATTTTGCGAATATTTCACAGATTTCGCACCAATATCGATATACCAATCTACTTCATTCTTGTAAATATTTTTCAACAATATCGGTTCCAGCGCGATTTCGAGTCTCTCCCCGACATTCTCCAACAGAACTGGCACGCCAGTTTCGATGTTTCGTTCGATGACTGACATATAATTGCAATCCATTAATTTAATGACATTTAAATCATTTTTCTTCTCGATTCTCTTGATCCATTGGTTTATCTGGTTCTGCGAATCGATAAAGAGGCACCATTGATCTGAATTATTCAAAATAATGGCGTTTTCTATTGCAAAGCGATTTTTTGATAGGCCGCAGAGTTGCCAATGATTAATCTCAATTTCCACACCAAGGACGCTTATAAAGTCGTACGTCTTAGTGTAGGGTATCTCAGAAGTTTCCACCAATTCTTTCCATTTCGTCAGTATCTCGTCGCGAAATGAGATATTATAAGATGCCATATAAGCTATTATTCCACACGAAAGTAACATGTTGCCCACAAGATTATCATAATTCATTTGTAAAATATGAGCGCACTCCATCCAACGACTCTTCTCGCCACCCAGACTGGCGATCAACTTCTCTGCCTTCACCAATTTGGAGGTGCAAGTCGTCACTTCTGTCTCCAAGTTCAATTTCTTCTGCAATGTTTGCCGCAAGCTATCATTAAGTGCCGCCAGTTTTGCATTCAGAGCGGCCAGCGTCTGCCGTTTCTCGTTCAGGAACGCTTCAGCCTCGTCACATTCCGTTTGTGCTTCTACTAGTTTCTTCTTCTTTGGCGCAACTACCTTCGCTACCTCGTCGTATGACACCATGGCGCGGACCCACTTGCAGAGACCCTCGGCGGCGCTGGATGCCTTTGCAACTATGTGAGGTGTGAAGCTACTATCCGTCATGTACGTCTTTTTGATAACCTGCATCACCGTAGGTGCTATGTTATCCTTGTCGTAATCCTTCAAGTTCTGCAGAAAATTCATGTCACCCAGGATACGCTTGCTCGGGCCCCAATAGTCCGTGAACTTTTTGCCAGTGACCGGATCGATGGTACGATCTGGCGGAACGCCCAGCATCACGCATACAGCAGCCATTACCAGCTTGATGGTATCTGGCGGATTCTTCATCGCCTTCACTAGCGTGATGTCTGTCGGCTTCAGTGTGTTCAATGCCATGACCGCGTCCTCCAAGATTGGTATAGCAACAGCAAGCTCGGCCTCGCATTCAGTCTTTAAAGCGCCCGCAATCTCCGCCTTCTTATTCGCCACTTCTTCCTCCTGCTTCACGAGAATCGTAGCTCGCTCTACGGTAATATTCTCATTCTCCACTTCTTTCATAGTAATTACCGTTTGTTGAGCAGACAGTTCCAATTGTGGTTTCAGAATTGTAAGAGTGGCCTTCATCTGTTCGACCTGCTCGGCCGCCAATTCCAATTTTTCCAATCCCGTTATGTATTTATTTCGTGTCGTTACAATTTCTTCTTGCTTCTTTGACATCAAGCGTGTATACAGTTTGAGCATGTGCAAAAAAGCTGACGATGTCACATGAATCATTCTACCGAACATCTCATGATATCTCAGACTCATCTCTCTTGCATTTTTGTGGAATTGCACGCAAGTTCTTGCCACGTGAGTTTTAATCTCTTCCTGCATATTAACGTACTTCATATGCTTCACGGCAATCTCCAAAAGCGCTTGATCAGGCCAAATTTGATAGCAATTTACCGTGCAGTGTTTCGCTAAATTAGGATACGAACATAAATATGTTCTGAAAGCAGAGTTAGTAGGACTAAAGCAAAGTACAAAGTGTAATCGATTCTTGCATTGTTCCATAAAGTACCTCATCACCGAGCGCGCGCTGATTTCCGCGTTTTGATCACCGCCCTGAGCGTGGAGCCGCGTCGTCTCAATTATAGACTGTTTGTCTTCGACGGAAAACAAGTCAGCTAATTCTCCGGTGCTCAATAAACAGCTGATGTCGCTTAAGAACGAGTCTTTCATTTGTCTCTCGTTCATAAAACATGTAACGTCCTTCCGCAATGCTCCGCATTCTCGCAGAACTCTTTTCAAATCGTCTTTCCACGCGTTTGAGTCATAATAGGATTCAGCGGTAATTTCGAACAAGCTCTGTTGTTGCATGAAGGCAGCGAGAGCAGTCATGGATTTTCTGCCGGAACCTACTGCAGATATAATTAACACGTTTCCACCTGGGATGCTCAGAACTCTGGAAATCTTAATTAAAGACTGAAACATGTAACGAGAAACAACGACATCCATTTTCCTTAACGTTTGCCGCTCTTCTGTGTATCCATAAAATTTCCAAACATGAGATCGTCGAAGCTATCCTTGGTAATTTGATTGTTCTCATATTTTGGCAAATAATCGAAAGCAGTCTCGTATGAATCCTTAAAGTTGTTCTTCACCGCATCGCGAATCTTTAGAAACAGCCACTCCTTGTCGTTCTCATCCAGCATGCGATCATTAAACACACGTAAGATTTCGTGCACCCATAATCGTATAAATGTTATCTTCGTCTCCACCGATTCCTTCTGGATCAGGCTGCATCCATTAATCACTCTGGATATATCTCGCATATCAAAGCAATAGTGCAATTTGTTGGGCACAGGCCGTAACATTTTCATTATGGACTTGTAAACATCAATCGTTGCGTTCACTATACTAGTTACACTCCCCGTGACGTCTGCTGCGAACAGATTTTTCTTCAAATTAGCAGATAGCATGTTGAAATATATCTTGAATATATTATCGGTTGTAGGGGCAAGAATTATATATGTATTAAAATACCTCAAAAATCGAGGAGGTATGTCTTCAATAATCTTTCCTGACGTAATCGCGAGTGTGAACATAACATCTTGTATAAATATTTTACTTAATTCATTCGTATCATAGCAGTAATTATGACTAAGAAGTTGACGTAACAATTCAAATACGGATCGTGCCTCTGGTTTTTGCGTAACGGCTCTACTTACATCGTCCACAAAGTTCACGCAAAATTTATTTCTTCCTGGACTGTAAACAGTGTGTCGTATCTTGTTTAACTTCGAAAACAATAATCTTTGAGTTTTAGTTACCGTAAGCATGGAAGTAAAGCTGAAAAAATTGGGAAAACAATTATCTGGCAATTTGTTGTCCAAGAGATCATACATCATACTACTTTTTCCAATACCAACATCACCATACAAAAGAAAAGGCTTTCGATATTTAACGTGTTTCAAGAACATATAGTTATATCTTATACTGTTGACGCTTGGAACATAAATTTGATTAAAACTGCATATCTCGGGGATTTTCTCGGTCTTTAGCAAATCTCCCCAGTACTTCCAATTTCCAACACCATTGAAGATGTAAAAGTTGTCTTGAATTAGACCCTCGTTAGGCAGTGTTACGTCCAAGTGTTTAATTGAGTCGGGTTTCGGATGTCTCGTATCTGCGCCACTCCAGAATGTTGTGCAAAAAGCGTTGAATCGTATTTGCAAATCCTCGATCAAGTTTCCGCCTAATGCCCAAACAATAGCTTGGATTAAGGCGGCTTGTGCCCATATGACAAAATGATTGCTTTTTCCAGTATCCTCTGTGACATCTTCGCACGCGTCTCTTAATAATATCTCGAACAAATTCAAGATTGACGTAACAAGGTGCAATTCCTGATTCATAGATGTATCGCTATTCTCTCTTAAAAAGTCAAGACACGGATCTATCGCCCACTCGAACAGAGTGCACAATATTTTGTCGTATCCGTCGTAAATGTTATGTTTCGCGATATGAGACAATACGTGTGGCCTCCAGCCGACAGAATGCGAGTCGATATAGATGATTCCGCATCGTGACACTAAGCTGGGTGAGATTTCTGTCATGCTCGTTGTTTCGAAGATAACGGACATCGATCCTGTTACGGGAAGACGTTCTCCAGACGCCAAATATAACATTTCGTTCTCGTCGAGAACCGTGTTCAAGTTTTCTAGCCATGCACCGCTCAAGGCTCCGTCGAACACTAACCATTTTCGATCCATCGATGTGTCTTCCGCGAAGTGACGAAATATGCTGGTACACAGACCATCCTTCCAAACAGATCCACCAGATTTATTACAGAGATATCCGAAGAGCGCGTCGCTGTCCACTACTTCCGGCATGATTGTTTCCAGCCTCACAGCAGTGCCAATCTTGTTTTCTTGATCCTGTAACAATGATAATGTCTCAGCAAGTGCGTGTAAAATTTCCGTCTTGCCACCCAGAGGATCGCTAATGAGTATGAGACCGCGACGAACGTACATTAATTCGATAATCTGTATAGCTTTTAATTTGAAGGTCGTGTGCGATACGAGAAATCTCTTGGCGCACACACTTTCGAACGCCTTTAAAATCGCAAAATAATCGAACGGAGGCAAGACATCGAATTCCGGAAAAACATTGCGCACGATACTCTGGAAGACAGGTATATCGGATGTACATAGCTGCGGGATATTTATATCTATCATCGAACGCAACAACAAGATATGCTCCTTTTCGTTCGGAACATTTTCTTTCATATCGATCGCGGTTGCGATGACAGTCTTCAACGATGACGCGCTGAAGTTGTAATGACATTTCTCTCCCAGATGTTCGGATAATAGTTTGTAGCTGATGACTAGCTTTGTCGCAAGCTTCTTCGCGTGAAGAAATCCCCCGGCGAAGAGTTCGATCTCGGCGATTCTGCCAATATCCGGTGCTGTCATTGACACGAAACGAAAGAGCACTTTCAAATTATCCGGAAGATTGGTATATCCGAATTGCACAGAGTTAACGCATACATATCCGGAAGCGTTCAAGTTCAAATCGCAACTCTCGATACTTATTACCTTTGAGTTAGACGCTATCGCTTGTTTCATTTGCGTAAGATTCTGAGCGATGGCTGATAATAATTCCAGTTTTAATCGGTTGAAATTTTCGAGGCAAACCCACGCTCCGCAGGAAACCACTCCTTTGAATATCCGTATCACACAATCGTAGGAGATGCTATTGTTGCAGTTGACGATGTAAAATAGCTTTGCCAAAGCTTTCGTCAAGCTTCTGATCGTCTCCGTTTTACCGCTACTTGTAGAACCTAGAATGCCGCTGTAAAAATGATAACGATAAGCTTGTAATATAGTGCGAAAGCATCGATCGGTTAAGGGTGTATTAACAATATTCTGTCGACAATAATTATATTCATATCCGTATTCAATCTTTGTATCGAATACCGATATCTCGACAATCTTGTCGTTGCAATAATATCTCAATTGCGCGATCCATTCGAAATCTGTTTGTTTAGTGATATTTCTATCCAAAAGCAGTCTTATAACTTCCTTATGAGCCAATGTAATAATAATCGATGACATCAACAGATTTCTACACCGTCGTGTCAAATTCTTTTTTAATTCGTTAACTAGCGAAGTTATCCAATCGGTGTATGTAGTGCACAGAGAGTTTAACATTGTGATATTTAACGGTGCGAGATACTTTTCCACCGAGAAGGTCCAATGAAGCTGCAAACCGCAAACGATCGCCATGCTTGGAAAATTATCACTAGGAATGAATGTCGAATCTCCGTCGATCAAAAGATGATATTGGCGAATATTTTCGCGAACCGCGTCTCTCATTTCTTCTTCGAGTTGAATCAACCATTGCTCTTCGCACTTGGTGTCGACAGGTACGAAGATATTATCGTTTAGACGTAACATCTCCCCGTAGTGTCCGATAATTTTCCGAATACAATTAAATTGATTAAATTTCAATTGTTTTATACCGGCGAAACATTTTTTCACAAATGTATTTCGTTTTACTATATCGGTCGATTCGAACAATAGTTTTTGAATTTCTGAATCATCGAGAAAGAACAATCTCGTGAAAGATAATCTTTTAACATCTAAGTAATTCCTCACGCCTTTACCCGCTCTCTCTAATTTTTCGTTGGCTTCATTTAAGATGTGCAGTAAATCCGAAGATTTCTCGATCTCTCGAAAACTTGGATTCGCCGTAAATCTGTCATTAACGTCCAGTAAAATTCTCGTTGCTTCGAGATACAATAAAGTTTCTTGATTCAAACGCACTTCCATTCCCGGATAAGAAAATATCGGCTGCAGATGGAGTTTGCGGAACTGTACGCGCGCCCATTGATCAAGGATTTTCTGTATTTTTGTGAGAACAGCGAAGAAATCGATTAAGTCTGACAATATTGGTTTGACGAAATGAGACGTTCTCATCTCCTCAACTTTGATAAGATGTTCTCCGAGAAGCACTTCGATGTCATCTATATGTTTGAAAGTTATCGCACCAGATTCATCGGTCGACATCTCGAAGGATATTGGCTCCCACTTTTCGATCATCTCGGCCAATTCTTGCTGAAGATACAGTTCCTTGTTGGCGCCCAAACTTATAGCCTCGTACTTGTCGATATTATCCATCAGATTCATATCAATCATCTTTTTCAGAGTCGTTCCCGCATTTGGCGTGAGATCAAAATTACATATCGCTGACATTTCCTTCCAATGACGGGCGCAGAGAGCTGGATTGCACATGCAGATCGCGAGCGGCAGATAAACCTTGAACTCGTTAATGTTCTTGAGCGTCTGCCAACACAATTTTAGCGGAGCGGGTTGTTGCATCGGATCAGGATCGTCGGCGATGCCGGAAAATTTGTACGACTTGTTCGCCGTCACATCCATCTTGATACGCGACTTCATCGTCTTGTTCATTTCCGTGATTTCGTCCAAATAATTCATCGTCTTCCTCTCGATGATGGACGCGTCCAGACATTCGAACGGACCATTCAGCCACACGGAGTTGTTCCTCTGCCATTGATAAACAGTACGTATGAGCGTGTAAAAGGGCACGATCGTCTCTCTTAATTCAATTATTTTCGGAAACTCCGTTTCGGGAAACTTGAAAAGTCTCTCCTCTGAATTAATAACTTGCATCTCGTTATCCATATGTTTATACTTCTTCATCAAATCCTCGTAATGCTCCGTATATTCTCCGACTTTGTTTATGTCGTCCATATCGTCGAGGATGATAAGCTGCGGGAACATGGCGTCAACTTCCGTGTTCAATGTATTTATCCGCCGTTGAAGATCCTCCTCTAATTCACTCTTCATTGCCTCGCACAATGTATTATTCTGCGAGAACACCGGCTGGATATCATTCAGCCAATTAACGGTGGTCTTGTTCAAGTCAATGTGTTCGTCCGTCAATATGGTAATCTCCAATAGTTTACTTAGCATATAAATCGAGCATCGTATCTTCTGCTCCTGCTCCTTCATTAATACTTTCGAAGCTCTCGACATGTATTCGCCCAATTGTATCAAGGAGTTTGCGTCCCTCGGAATATCTAGCGCCGTAGACTTTAGATCCTCGAAGCTGGAACAGATCGAACGATTGAAATCTCGATGATACTCGACGAGTTCCATCGTGAGGGCGTTTATAACGTCGTGGCAGATCTGCCTCAGATATTCCTTGGCGCTGCTTTGCTCCAACTTCCCTACGCTATAATACAAATTAGAGAGCATAGAGTTAGTTTTGCTCAGATACTCGTTATACTTGTATATATGTGCCAGATACACATCAAAATCTGGTCGTTCCGAAGTTAAGGACGATATCCGGCTCTCGATACTCGATGTACATACGTCGCTGAATTCCGTGGAAACACAAGCCACGTGCTCGTTTACAGGTCGAAACAGAGCGTCCAGTATCTCCTGCAGGTTGCGATGCGATTTCTCGATGAACCAGTCGGAAGGCGCGACCTTTATATACCTTTCCTTCGCTTTGATATCCAACCATTCCTCCAGAGGCATCAGATCTTGCCCGATTCCCGCGATGCCGCTGATAATATCGTGATACGTCGAAAATACCTCGTCTATCTCCGGTTTAGTCACAAGCCGATCGTCTTCGCATACCAGCTGGAATTCAATCTGTGGACAGAAACGACCGTCTTTCATGATACCTATTATATGATCGATCGATCTCATTGTCACATTGAGAATCTGTTGAACAAATATATTAGTGAGGCATCGCATAAATCGAGGTAGATGTTTCGCGGAGATGCTCTTTAGTTGCTTCGATCTTTGCACGGCTTTAAACGTTTCGGTGTAAAATTGATTAGCTATCACTAAGGTGCCTCTCTTAATGTCCTTAAGGATCATGTTTCGGAAATTGTGCAACGATAGCGTTCCTAGTTCGCGATAATGTTCGAAGTCACAAATTACCGTAGGCAGAATACGATGAGCCGTATTTATGACGCGTCTAATGATCGGATACGAGAGGAAATATCTCTCGGCCAACAGATTGCGACGTTTTAAAAATATTTTTCGATCGTATAACGCATCCTTTTCGGTGATGCTTCGCTTCGAGCTGACGGGAACATCGCATTCTTCGCAAACGACGCGTCTTCTCTTGTACATTTTGCAGGATAATATGGAATTTAGCACGAAGTCTCTCATATCTTCGACATATGTTTCTTTTACCTCGTCTAATACCGAGTTTACGAAAGAAGGATGAGCTCGTCTATCTCTGGGAGGTATCAAATGCAGTATATTTTCTTCCCATTCTGTAGAAAATTCAGAGATGTAGATATCTTTTATGTAATCTTCCAATCTGATTTGCTTCAGATTTGAATTGGAATATCTAGATATTGCAGAGGTGAATTCCAAAGGATCCATATTTCTCTCATGAATACTCCCACTATTCACTGTTTGCCATTCTATATATATGTTTTAAATTTATTACTTTGCAATTTTCTTTACAAAGTATGATTTAATAAATTTAGTTCTGAAATATATCGACTGATAGAGAAAGATATTTTAAGCACAGTTGCACATTATTACAATAATCAGTTTCTTCTAAATTCAACGAACTGAAACTAAGTTTCTTGGATACCGCGAACGTTTTATCAATATATAATGAATTCGATTTTCAGCTATACATTTGTCGAGCAAAGTTTCAGATTCGACTTTTTCATGAGAATTAAAATTTAAGTTCTTAAAATAAAGAATTAAAATTATTTAATTATTTAAGATGCAGATGCTGTATATTTCTATTATGCAAAAAATATGCTAGAAAGTATATCTTACATATAGCAATATTATAATTATATATAAATACATAATACTATTATAAAAAATAATAATTACAACTATTAATAATTACTATTCTAATAATTATTAACTAGTAATAATAATATTAATAATAATTATTATATAGGAAAGTGTGTCACACACACATACAAGAGAACTAGTCAAACAGCTGATTGGGGTAAATACATTGGAAACTTCTGCCATCTGTTGAAAAACGCCAAACCACTTCTCTATCTTTCTCTCTCTTATATCGTGTTGATCGTGTTGATCGGTTACATTGATGAAACGTGAGAGGTTATAAACATGAGCAATATTTATATACAAGAACCGCCCACAACGGGCAAAGTAAGTATAAATTATTTTATATATAAATAAAAATGCACAAGTTTTTTAATAAGTAATAAAATTTCTCAAAAAATTTCTAATCACTTAATATCAGAATATATTATACAGTATATAATTTCTCCTCTCTCTAGAATTTTCAAAATATTGTTATTGTATTAATATGTAGCATTTAAAGTGATTTTACTGCTAATTTTCAATTTACTTTTCTATATTACCTATCTTTTTCTATAATATAAATTTTCTATAATATAAATAGGTAATGATGAAGACAACGGTTGGCGACATAGATCTAGAATTATGGACAAAGGAGGCTCCTAAGGCTTGTAAAAATTTTATACAGCTTTGTATGGAAGGCTATTATAATAATACAATATTTCACAGAATCATAAAAGGCTTCATAGCACAAGGTGGAGATCCAACAGGAACAGGAGAAGGTGGTGAGAGTATATATGGACATCCTTTTAAGGTGCTAATCATTGATCATTTCAACTGATTATTATTACTATTTTTGTGTAATCTTAAAATCTGGCTATATCTTTTAAATTATAGGATGAATTTCACACAAGATTACGTTTCTGTCGGCGAGGTTTACTTGCTATGGCCAATGCTGGCAAAGACGATAATGGTTCTCAATTTTTCTTTACCTTGGGTTCAACACCCGAGTTGCAAAATAAACATACTATCTTTGGCAAAGTTACTGGCGAAACAATTTACAATATGCTCAAGTTGGAAGATGCACTTGTAGATGAAGTAAATGCTTAACATTCATAAAAAGATTGATATGATATTTTCTATAAACAAATATAATATGGGAACATTTTTATATAATACTTGATTGCAGAATGACAGGCCTCAGTATCCGCAAAAGATTTTAAAAACACAAGTACTAAGTAACCCATTTCCAGATATTATTCCAAGAACAGTACTCGAGACCAAAGAAGAAAGCAAGGAAAGCAAAAAAGATAAAAAAACTGGTGTTAAGTAAGATAATTATAAAATTGGTTGAAATAATAAATATTGTTTTTTTATATATTAAACAAATATGTTAGGAATTTCAAATTATTGTCATTTGGAGAAGAGGCTGAAGAAGATGAAGAGGAGTCATCAGTTTTAAATAAACAATATAGTGGCAAAGGAAAATCAGCACATGATTGCTTGTCTGATCCAAAATTAAGCTCACAACCTGTAGTTGAACCTGCTGGACCACCGAGTAAAAAAATCAAAGAGGACCGGAGTAGCGATTGGGAGAGTGATAATGGAATACATGATTCAGAAGAATTGGCTGCTCTTGCAAAAGAAAAAGAGTGAGTTATTTATAAAAAATCATTATATAAAATAAAATAATTAATATTATGTATTAAATAACAGAGCTGTAAAAGAAAGGATAAAAAATAAACTGAAGGATTCTAAGAAGTCTTCCCAAATAAAGCCCAAAATTGAGAGTGATGACATAAAAGCTGAAAATGAAGATGAAGAAATCGAAGAATATTATTTGGGAAAAGATCGAGACGAGGAGCTGAAGAAAAAGGCGTACGTAAAATTTTTTTTATACAGATTTCGAATTGTAAAATAGAGAAAGATTATATCTTCAGAGTACAAAATGATATTTATATTTTGTATTGAAATTTGTAGCGAAGCAATAAGAAAGGAAATACGCGATCTAAAGCGAAGCGTACAAAATGAAAAGAAAGCAAAGGAGGCAGAGCAAAAGCTTCAATCCGAGAAGAAAGAAAATAAATCTGAAATAATGAAAGAATACATAGACACTCAAAAAAAATATAAAGAAGCAAAGGCAAAATTGCCTAAGAAGGGTAAAACGCGTGAGGATTTCACGATGGAACTATTAAATAAATTTAGAAACAAACTTCAAAACGCCAAGGAAAACGTCTCTAATTCTGATAAGATATCGAACAATACCGAAGACGATGATTCGCATGATGAATCTTGGATGACACATGTTTTGCAGTGCGAAGAAAAGGCACCAGTGCTTGCCAAGGATGCCAGTACAAAGAATGACGATTGGTTCGAAATTTATGATCCTCGAAATCCTTTGAATAAACGACGACGAGGAGAGAAATCCAATAAATCTAAAGATGATAACAAAGGCAAAGGTTATTCTCATAAGTGATCTGTAATTATTACATAATTGGTCGCATATATATTTAAACAATTAATATTTACAAAAAAATAGATGTATATAAAATTTATATATAAATTTTACTTCTGTAATATATATTTTTTATCGATCTTGAATTTATTAAGAATGCGACAAGATAGTTTTATCATTGTCAGTGGAATAATTTGCAATTAAATAATCTTATCATTTAAGCGCACTTTTTTGATTACTTTTTGCAAACCTTTTACATTAGCGAGATTGTCGAATTATTTACTTATTATACATAGTGCACCTGTTTCAAGTATATTAGAGAGAGAAAGAGAAGCGGAATGTCAATGTAAATTCCGAAATCTATTTTAAAAAATAATCATAATACTTTGCAAACTATGCAATAATCATTATGAGTGTAATAAATGTAATATAAAAGCATTACATGAGCAAATTCTGTGCAGATAGGTCGCTGATCAAGAAGCTTCTTTAATTCTCTCACATTCAAGCGCGATAAGGCATTGATACAAAACATCATATGTTTGTTCGTAGATTCAGTCGATCTGTCGACAGCGACCGATACGCACCACGCATTTTATTTAATTTCCAACGAACATAAGATAATTCAGTGCGACTTTTTTTCTAGTAGACAAGTCTTGTAAAAAATGATGTGCATTAAAATTATTTTCTTATCTCGGAATATAAATTAAGCTACGAAAAAACAATCGTCGACATTTCAAAGTTAGAATTTACTCTGTACATTAATCTAGTGTTAAGTTTTTGATATTAAAAGTGCGAACGAAGCGAATAATTAATATTGTCGAGTGATATTATGTAACATAATTAACTGCGAAGAGTAAATATCAGGACATAGTGTGTATGATTTCTTGAAGTTTTATTTATTGAAGTTAAAGTGTATCTAACTTTGTGAGAGAAAAAAGAACGAAGTTCTGCGATCTTCTATATCTCAAAATCTTGAGCGAGCACATCTATCTCCTGAAGATGCCCACGACGCCTTTGAAAATAGATATACTTGGTAAAAATCTCTTTTCTTGGTAGAATCTTTATGATTCATTGTTGTTCGCGCGTCGGGACAATCTCGTTATCACCTCGGCCGAATGATAATACATAATAAAAACTATGCGAACAACATTGGTAATTGTCACTGCGCATATAAAAACGTGGCCTCGTTTGCATTTTGATGCGTTTTAAATAATGATAATATTTTCTTATATGCATCTTACAGAAATTGAATTATCACGATATGTTTTTTATAAAGAATGCATGCTTTTTTTGTTTATAATACATCTAATCGACAAATTTCCATTTTTTCATTGAAAAATATAAACAAAGAAATAAATATTCTGTAATAATTATAATATAAAGAGAGTGTATTTTTCGTAATCTTTTTCAATGATATAGAACTTTTGCAATAACGTTTAATGTAATCGTCAGCCACATTGTGCAGCAATAAAAGAAAACACTGTCTTCAAAAAGAGAGGCGGTATATTCACTCCACATATAATCGCGCATTCTTCTTTTATGTAGGTGATTTATTAAACGTACCGATGGCATATGTCGCCTTTGCGAGATAGATTGGTTTTATTTTTAAATTCTTTTTCTTTTTTTTTCTCTCTTGACTGGTCACTGCAATTTCAGCAGCACGTGTACATACGTTTCTCTCTTTCTCTTTATATATGTAAATGAATCTTTCTTTTTCTAAATAAAACATAATGCGATATACGAATACAATGACTGTTTTTTTTTTACTTAAGGCTATTTTGAGGCAAAGCTGAGCGAAAATATTATATATATTCTTGAGAAAATTCTCATATAATTTTTTTAAATATTTTAAAATAAGTTTATTATAATAAAAAAAGAGAGAAGACTATAGAAGAAAGATTTTATTAAAATAATTTTACTCGTAATGTATAAAATTCTCAATGAATTATTATAATAAGAATGAATTAATATGAAATGTGATTGTATGCGTCTTAATCTATTGAATTGAACATGATCTACTTACTGAAAATTGCAGATTCTCGATAATGATGGGCGTTTTTCATTTACACTGTAGCATTTTCATGGTTTGTTTACACAAGCATTGTTTGAGTAAAAGCATCCTATTCAACACGCTTCTTAACTAAAAAAAGAAAAAAGAATTTATCAATGTAATGCATGATATTTTATCTTAGAGAACATCATATCATATAGATAGAATCACGCGCGCATATATACATATGTATATGCATGCCTAAATATGCGTGTGTGCAACATATACATATGTATATGCATGCTAAATATGCGTGTGTACAAAGATGATATTAATGACCTTGATCTCTAAATCTAGCGATAATGTCTCGACATTCATATTTATGAAATACGCATCATTTATGTTCTTTTCACAATTTATCTTCTTTCTTTAAATATAATCCATTGCAGCAGTTCTCAATTTTTAAGGGATTTAAAAAATTAACAAATATTATGAAATACCATAAAACCATAAAAATAATTTTATGCAGCGCACTTGAAATTTGTGCAATATTGCTCTGGCAAGGCAAACAAACGCTTATAATCAAGTGTTGTTGATTTCTCGAAATATAAAAAAATCAATTATTGTCATTTTTATTGTTATTGTCATTTTAAAATATAAGGAAAATCTAGTAGTATAACTCTATAAATTTTTGAAATATATTTTAAGCGCACAATTGGTGAATATCTTAACATGATTTTATTAGATAAGTAAAAGAAAATCTATTTGCGTGATGTTATCAAATATGAGTAAAGCGTAAACAGGTCTTATACGCGCGCTGTTTTTATGTCATATGATTAGATCCTCTTCAAATACGAAAATTCATGTGTCGATGTAATACAAGAATCTCATCAAATCAAGCATTTTACTGTTGCGCTTTAACAGAATTACAGAGGAATCAAGGAACTTTCCATTGTTTTTTGTCTACGCGCGCATAAACATATGCATACATGTAGGTAGATGCGTATCTTTTCATCTCAGTCTCGTCAAAGATAATGAATGATAAAGAACTATATCTTTCCTATATTCCACGTCAAGGAAATCGATATCAATTAAGGGAATTGCTTAATTAGATGTTTATTTGTGATTACGATTCTTAACATTGATAATTGCCGATTTATAAAGAAGACTATAAATATATATCATAAATATTATATATTTTTCATATTTTTGCAACTTATATCTTGCAGTCTTTCGTACATATAATTATTTGTAGGAAAAAAGAAAGATGATTTTTATAATTATTTGTATCAAATTTTTTACAATTTCTTGTACAGTTTAGGAAAAAAATGAACTAAAACAAATAACAGGATTAATAAAATTAATTAAATTTGATATTAATTAAATTCAACATATATGCTAAATGAAATAACCAATAAAAAGGAAATAATTATCTTTTTAGAAGAAAATTTTATATATTAAAAAATATTTTTAAGAAATGTAAACAAAATTATTTAGAGAGAGGCAATAGAATTCAAAGAAATTCAGAAGATTAAAATATTTATACTTTTTAAGTTGATGATTTTTTTGCAGAGGACGGTATCCGTCCACGAGATTGGCAACCGCGAAAATCAAATTATAAAGTGCCTTTGAGAGTGATGCGATTATGTGTGCTGGGGATGTTTCTGCCATCTGCCCTTATTGCTGTACCGTTGTATGTGCGATACCATGTGTATTCCGAGCAGCTATACGCTTTAACAATATCAGATCAAAGGCTAATCGACGCCAAAGTATCCACTTTTTGGTGTCAAGTAAGACATTTTTCTATTAATATTTTACTTTCGATGATTTCTGCCTTATTTTATCGCAAATTTTCTATAATAAATTAAAAAGTAATGAAAACAGAATTTGAAATATTTTATATAAATAGTCAAATAATTATTTATATCGCATGCAATTTTAAAAAGTGTATTCGCGTTTTAAAAATTAATAGAGAATAAAGTGGTAAATCCGTTTTTAGAAACAAGTAGTCAAAGTTAATGCTACATTTAATGCATATCTGATGAGTAACGAACCAGTATTCGAAAAGGAAGCAGTGCCAATTTCGATGACGAGACACCTCGTTATGGAAGATGACATGAAGGAGTACTGGGGATTTTATCTTTTACGTGGAAGTAGCGTCACTGTTTCGACTTGTGTAAGGTAGAATTCTTAAAATGAGGGCTCACGCGTTATTACGCAAATTTCAATAGTAAAAGCGAAAGAAAAAAATTTTACAATCTTTTTTTATATAAAACAATTCGTTTCCTTTAATCGAAATTTTCTACGCATTTAAAATAATAAAATTATTCTTCACGTACTTACATTATTAATTTATTATATAATTGTGTTTCATTATCTGCAGATGGCCAGGTGCTTCTTTAACGATAATCCGTGGATTCAAGAATCTACATGAGTGCGCCTTCATTGGAGATGACAGTAGCGAGGAACTCGATGAACTCCTTGAGGTCGCCAAGGAACAAGGACTTCTTGATATGAAAGTGACTACTGAAGTACGTTTTTCTTTCTCTTAAAAATCTTTCTTCTAATTTCAATCTGTAAAATACGTGCACTGTCAATATGAGTTATTTTTTAATCGTCAGGCGACACGTCTCAACATACCTGAAAAAATGAGTCGAGTAAATCAGGACGTACAGTTTCATCATAAAGGTAATGCCCTGCGCTTAAACATTTCCACATCATTGGAGAATCAGGTGGGTAGTCATGAGTTAGACGCTCAGACAATGCGGCATATTCTCACACAGCTTTTGGCCAAGACTACTGATACGAAGAAGAAGCAAAAAGAAAATCCGCATCATCATTATGAGGCTGTCTTCAAGGAAGTCACTAATATCGATAAACCACCGATCGCAAATCATCTTGACAATTTATCTTTTGAAAATCAGCTTCTGCGGGAATCAAGCACATCTGACAATAATACAGAGATATTGGAAAATAGTACAAAGTGGATATTGGAAAATAGTACAAAGTGCGTTATTTTTTTCGATATAACTTAATATTTCAATTTTGATCTGTTTTTTTTTTCATTAAGAAAAATTAAAAGACATTATTTTATATTATTTTTTAATTTATAAACTTATTATTTTAACAATAATTGAACTTGTAAATTCTAAAAAAATTTTCATACTATTTCTAGACGTAATGCAAAATTCCTTTGCACGCAATTTTTCTCTTTATAATTATAATAATTTATAATAATTAAGAATTATATATTCAAACATTTTATTAGATTTTTGCCTTCAAATATGACGTTTACTTCTGTAAAAGAAATCAAACGGAATTTCACGTCTTTCTCCGATCTTCGCCCGAGTCTTGCGACATCCAATACACAAATGAAAACCGAAACAATGGAAGAAATTACAAAAAAACAAGAAGAGTCAAAAGCCAAACAGATAAACTCTGCAGAAATATTTCAAGATGTCTTGCGAAAGATCAATTCTTTAGGCGATCGTGGCAGACAAATGTTACGTAAATTAATGGACGAGATTGATGCACAGAACAATTCCAAAGGTGCCGCGTTGAAACGACTGGTAAATGAAACGATGAATGACAAAAAATTATCGAACGAAGACAAGCGAAGAAAGAGAAGAGACTTAGTTCTTTCGTCGCCGCTCCATAAATTATTAACGGAGGAGGATAAAGAGGGGGATGCAGCACTAGAAGAAGTTCGTATTGTCTTATTCTTCTTATTCTAATGTATTTCTTGTACTTATTAGTGTAACAAATTAATCTTTATAATTACCGTAGAACCTGTAACTTGTATTTATATTCTTATCATTACAAAAATAATTTATTGACTAGAAAGTACCAATAATACAAATCGTAATAAATTTCTATTTATTTATTCGAAAGTGTCGATAATAATAAATCTTAAAGAGAATTTGTCATTTGCAAATATACGGGCGAAAATAATACTTACTTGACACAAAATGCAAAATTTTCTTCATTGATAACATCATTTTTCGTTAAAATTCGATAACGGATTTAATTTGTTACTTATTGAAATAAGTATAAGAAAAATATATTCCAAACTTTATTTCCACCATTGAAGTAAATCATGTAACTATTTCTAGATATTTCAGCTGTATATTTATGAGATTTTCTTCCTTGGCAGATAAACTGTATAATAGATGCATGATAGATAATATTTATTTGCAAACTATAAACATAATTCTCGTTCACATATTTTATTTAGAGTATAGCTTTCTAGCCTCGTAAATTCAATTAAAGATATGCTATATAAATTTGATAATGTTGGCGTACCTTCATCAGGATACATTGAATCCAGACGGTATTGCAGAGGTCCGAGGTAGCGTAAATGAAACAACTTTGAATGATAGAAGTAATTCAGAGTTCTGGAGTTCGTTTAGTAGTTCGGAGGAGCGGTTACTGGAATGCAAGGGTCTCATCCTGAATTTACCTCTGACACCGCATCGTTATTGTACACCTAAACATGAAAGTCATCATTCTACGGCTTCCTTTGCGAATACTGTAACATATAGGTAAACAAAAATTACTGTTTATATTTTCTTTCTTATACTCTTTTACTGTTTATATTTCTGTTTAATATTTTCTTTAAAATGCGTTTATATTCAATTATTATTTTCTTTTTAATTATTATTTTTAACCACTTTTAGCTATTGGCTTTAAAAAAACACACACAGTTTTTCTTCTTTTATAAGAAATACCTTTTTTTAAATTTTAAGGAAATACGCATTTGTTACAATATACAGTTGTTTTAAATTCTTAATTTTTATATAAAAAGAGAGAGATATGTTTTTATAATAATATATCACAATATTATCACAATATTATATATTACATATTATTATAATACTTTATTATATTTGTATATAATTTATGATTGCAGAGTACCTTTAAATGGATATTACTTCTTTGTATTTAATTCGGAGAATGAAGTGCAACATAATTACGTGAGAGTAAAATTTGATCTTTTGAAAACTGTCTACAATACTTCAAATCCTGTGTACGCATGCAAAAATAGCACGAAAGAGTGCTCATTACCATTTAAAATCTTCAGCAAAGAAAGAACGGTATTAGAATTGCCCTTGAGTAATAATGATTCGCAATGGAACGAAGAGTATGTTGGTGTGTCTACATGTGAACCACGAACGACAATTTACACTATCTGTATTATTATGGTACCTTTCCTCATCCTTGGTTTTGCTTTTTACTAGAAAATTGCATTAGCAACAATATTTTTCTATATTTAGTACAATATCAATATGATTGACGATATTAATTAATAATATTACATCATATCTGACAAAAAGAATTATTATAACAATAGTCGATACTTTATTATGCATTATTAAATCAGTAATTTAAAAAAACATGGACGATTTATTTGTTGTAATCAAAATAATTTTTAAAAAATCTCATAAAATGATGAGGCGCAGATATTTGAAAGTGAAATATTTTTTAAATATCAAAGACTCAGTACTTTTAACAACATATATATACATTCATCAGTTTTTATAAAAATACTTAATATCCTATACTTTCAATAATTTTTTGTTCATTAAGTAAGAATTAAATAATAATTTTATTCATATTAAATAAAATAATTAAGTAATAATTTTATTCATATATTTAGTAAATATTTACAATTCTTATTTAGTTTAGATGAGTAACGTATAATTAATTATTTTATTATTAAATAATTTTCTATTTAAATCCATTGCTAAACTGAAAATCTAGAGTTCTAGAGTCATAACAATTGCAAAGTTTTGTATGAGAGAAAAACGTACTGTGATCATGCTCCTTTGTGCAATAATTATTTGTAGATTTGATTTAATTTTTGCTATCTATCTCATTTATTATATAATATATTTATAATATATAATTATATAACATTTAAACTATATATAATATTATTTTATAGTATTTAGATTATTATTTTTAAATATGTGTTTTCGATTATTTCAGCCATTCTTAATATTTGAATCTACTTAAAATCGAGTTTACTCGATGTAAATAAGGAGATATTCGACAATTCGGAATTATTCAAATATTTTTGGCAGCTAAATAAGTTTCTATTTTTTCATATAATGGAATAATTAATTTGTCAATATCTGTGAAATTAAATTTAATTTGTCAATTTTGTGAAATCCGAGAATAATATTCGAATTTTCGAGTATATATTCGAATCCATTCTCGAAATTAACTCGAGAAAACTCGATGAAAAATACGACTTAATTCACATTTTGCGAATATTTACACATCTTTGTGAAATTGTATAATATTTTATATAATCATAGAATATAATATATAATCATAGAATTTATTGAAGTCTTTTGTGTTATGATTATATGTACAAAGTAATTTTCAAATTTAAAAGAATTGTAAAAAGAATTGTGCAATCGATATTTGTTGATTTGTGATTTAATTGATTTAATAATCGACGATCGATTGCATCTTAAATTAAACTGCAATTGATCATATACTCAGATTAGGAGATTACGTATTTTATGTAATTACGAATTGTATATTTAAAACTTATATCTTTATTTTAAAGCCAATCTGAGAAAAATCGATATAAGACTGGTGCAGAGATTACATTATATTTCGTGTAATCTGGCTAATTTGACAGTAAATAGGACTTTGATTGTAAATACTCCAGATTACATATTATATGACTCCACATTATATGATTCATATTAATGATTACAATATAAGTTAGAGTGAGATCGTATCCGATACGATGTAGCTTGAAATTTATCATTGATCATCAACGATACAATTAATTGTTAAAATATAATATTGGACAATATAGTTGATTGTAGAATTGTATATGCACAAATAAAATTCATTGAACAATTATATATTCAAGTATCTAATTTACTATGCGACTTTATTAGCAACTCAAGTTTATGAGTATTCTGCATATATAAAAATCGAGCGATATAATAGCATGTATAATCATAACAAATAATAATAAATATATGCACATATATTTAGACGATATAATAAAATGATAAAATCATTCACCGATATTATGTCGAGTTATGCTGATTTATATGGCTTATTTATTTAATTTATGATAATTATTCTCGTGATTAATGTGTTGGAGCATTTTATTATTATTTTTTTTTAAGAGAGAGAGAACATAATGTAATATATCCAATATCATTATAAATTATTCTTTTTCTACACATCTTACATTAGTATCGAAAAATAATTTTTTATCCTATTTTGATTCGATTCTAATCCAGAGAGATAATTGACAGTAATGTAACATATCGCGTAAACTCGCATGACACGCAACAAAGTTAATGTTCGTTTTAAATGTCTTGTACGCGCTCGTTTCGATGATCGATACGTCAGCGGACGCGAATGCCACACGTGGAAAACAAACACTAATAACGGGATTTAGCGTGGGGCGACTGGTTGACGGCGATAACGAAAATTGATTTCACCCTCCGCGTCCCTTTCCGTGGCACGGGGATGCTCTATTCGAGCGCGTTGATGTTCATGGGACGCTGCGCAAAACCAGTGACACGCCTCTCTCTCTCCCATCGACATACTCCGACGAGAGATCCCCCTGTACTCACACGTGCCCGGTAGAACATTGGTTTAACCCATTCAAAGAGAGATTTTTTCCGTTAGTGAAAATGCGTCCCGTCGAATAGAAGCTAAAAAAATAAGAGATAAAAATGCCTGGTTGATTGTAAAAGCATATTTAAAGAAATATTATAAAAAACATGACCCCTACAAAAATAAAAGAATTTTGAACTTTAAGATTCAGACAAAACACTAAAACATGTTTCAGACGGCTATAAAAGAACTTTAAAAAAGTTGAATGTTTTTAATAAGAAAATCTTAATGACAATTTTAACAAAATGTAGTAAGAAATGGTATTCAGAGGTAAATGATAATTTTTATAAAATCTGAAATTAAGATTCTCGAAAATTCAGAAACACATTTTTAAGCAATAAAATGTAAAGGCAATAAAAAGATAAAAAATTTAGAAGAAATGACAAAATTTTTGCCCAAAGAATAATTTTATAATTCAATTTAACTACAATCTTGAATCTCATAATTTATCGTCATCTCATTGTTTTATTGATATTTATAATACTTAATCTAATATTTAATTATTGCAAAACCATGTTCCAAGATAGCTATCTAACACTCATACACAAGTGAAAGTGTCGCTGAGATTTCGAGTAGGACGTTATTGAAACGAGAAAACGGAGGCTGCGCGAGTGTTCACCGCTGATAAGGGATGCCCCGCCCTACAGCCCTCTCGCGACCCTCACGTCACCCTCCTCACGGTCGTAGAATCGCAAGGGTCAAGTTGTTGGAAGACCCAGTAACGGCGTGAGGTATTAATCTTAGGGATTAAGCGGACAAATCGACGAAAGATTAATTTTTAAGATGCCGTAAAATGGAAAGGATTATCTCGACCCTTAATTAACAGTTACGCTACATCGTTTTGTAATTAATCTCCGCGTTTCTTTTTTTTACGAATTCTTTATATCGATGTCTTGCTACTAATAAAACCGGGCATACTAAATTAAAATGTGCTGGATTTGTGAAATATTCATAATTGTTGCAGTTTTTAGAATCGCGATACATTAAATTTGAGATATCTATAAGTTTATAATAAATTTATTACAATTTATCACAATCTTCCGATCACGTTGTATGTGTGAATCATCAATATTAATGATTCTTCGGATTTTTATTTGAAAATGCATGAAATCAAAGACCGCGATAAGAATCACGTGAGTCAATCCGCGTGCGGTGGTGGTAATATTAATACCATATCTTTATTCATTGGCACGCGCAAATTGGGTCGCGAGTTACCAAGGCTGTGGGAAACCGCTACAAAATATCCCCTATCAATTTCGGGTGGGGGCACCCGAGGGTGCCTTTCTATCGATTCTCGTAATGGAATTCACTATTTTTTTTAAGTTTTCAGAATATCACATGTAAAAAAATAATATTTCACAATATATTTCATTGAAAAATATTAGATTGAAAATAATATTGCATTAAATTGATTCTAGTAAAATATACTATAATAAAAAAATGTATTAACGAAAGATCTCGAAAGAAAGAACAGTAATTAATTATTTTTAAACAAAATAATTTTAGAAAAAAAGCTTTTTTAGTTAATAAAATTTAACAAAATAACATTTTGTATAATTTCAACTAAATAAAAATAACTAAATGAAACTAACTAAAAATAACTAAATTAAACAATTCTTGAAAAAATATGTACAATTAAGTATTATTAATCTTAAATATGAGAAAAAATAATATTTGAAAGAAATGATAGATGTGGTGCATTTGTGAAAAACTTTTCCCAAACAATCAACTTTCGATTAGCCGGATCTCCATGATTCGAAAGAGCATAAAAAACGTGAGCCCTGCTTAGTATACATTAAGGGTGAGAGAGCGGCTACCCCCTGTCGTCAAGTGGCCACCGGCTTGTTTTATTGTGACACCTCAGGAGGGTGCTAGAGATTTTCCAGTAGGATGCGCCGGGGTGTCATCGTCGGAGCCCGATTAGATGATTGTATCATTCTTGATGTTCATTCGAGCGCCATTACGAGCCAATCTGCGTGGGACCTGGTCTAATCTTGAATAAGTGCAATATGCGTCGATTATTTTCAGGAAATCAATAGAAAATTTATAAATCTAAGATTCTTGCAAATTTTATCTGATTGTTATATTCTAACGTCTGAAATATTTCTGATTGTAAAGAAATCAGAAAAGTGTATGCCAAAATAAAATTCGAAGAAAATCGACGAGCAACTATTAGTATTTATAAATTGTGATGTTTTCACGATACTACGTTTATTTAAAAATAATAATTGACAATCGTTAGAATAATAGAATTATTAAATGTCTCAAGAATCAAATACACGAGGAATAATATATATATAAATGAAAGGAGAAAGTGATAGAGAAAGAGAGGAAGAGACATTGAGTAATTTGCAGGGAGCTTATATGGTTTTCTGCCGATAAAGTATGGTTATCGTTTTTCTAAAAGTTACTCATCGACTTATCGCAAGGAAAAAAATTGTTTTGCCAGCGACGACAATAATTGGACAACAAGAGAGATAAGATAGACCGCGACACTTGACACGCACCATTCGTTATGCGATGCAGGAAGCATCTTCGAAACACATGGCAATGAGTCGAAGCAGGAAGAGGATAGAGACAAATTTGTTCTTTTTGCATACACAGATACACGTGCGTTGAAAGATAACGAGCTACATCTTGCAGCTGTCTCTATTATTCCACATCTATCTAGAGCTGAAATAAGCAAAATTCGTACAATTTAGTAATATTACTGTCTTTATTACTTCACAAATGTGTAGAAATTGCAATAAATATTTCTAATTAAATTTGAAAATATTAATAAAACGCAAGAGTACAATAATACATAAAAAATTTCAACGTTATAATAAAAACGTGTGCATATTATTATAAGCAACAAATTATTTAATGAGTGTAGAAAATAATATCGTGTACGTGATGCTAGATAATTTTAAATATAAATTATTTAATGCCGGGCACAATAAATTTGGCACCTTAATCTCGGAATAAAAGGCGATATAAAAGACACGTGCGTTACCCTCGAAACGCGTGTCTGATATAGCGGGTAATTTTTTCTATAGCGCCAATTAATCCATCATAGATATAAAAATAGTTTGTAATTTCAAAGTAAAATAAATTTTCTAGAAAGTATATCCTTTTTTAATTCTCCCCTTTTTTACTTGATAAGCCGGTGGTTTATATTAAACATTAAAAATTAAGATACACATATTTTTCATTGATATTATTAGTATCACACAGAATTCTTTAAATTATTGCATATTTTGTTTACATCGACATAGAAAGATAATAGAAATTAAAACTTACTAATAAGCAGTGTTGATCTTTCAATAATTAATCGGCATCATAAATTATGGAAATTATGGAAAGTATGAAAATGTTGAAGTGACATTTTTTACCACTTGCTGCGATGTCTACATCGTAAAATCTTTCTAACAAGAACATCACGCAGATCTGGGATCGATACACGAATGAAGTATTGATGTGCTCTTGCGTTTTCACCGAATATATGAAGATATGATCCGCGTGAAGCACGTCGATACAGGGATGCTGGATGGAGCACGGAGGGACGGACCTGATACGAGCTCCACCCATAAGCCTGCGCTCCGCCCTCATGAAATTCATTTACCCGGAGGGTTACCCTGGACTCGCCGCTAGTCAAATCGTCTCTTTCGACATCGATGTTACTCTCCATCACGATCGCGATGTAAATTAGAGATCTTGTTCTCCAAATCGATCTGTAACGTTTAATTTCATGATACTGTTGGCATATTTTTTGCGTGCAACATGGTGAGTACTAATTGTTTCGTGTGTATTTGTGTATAATAATGATTATCTGTGATAGCGCTTGAAAACGTGCGAAAATGTCTTATAAACTTTTCCTTTTCTATAACCCTAGTGAATCTCAAGATATAGTTGTGCACGAGTGTTGGTGAAAAATATATTATTATTTGCTACAGTCATTAGAATTGTTTATCGTAGACAATTTAGAAAATATTATGCTTAATTATGATACAATAATTATAATACAAATTTTTTTTCGTCGCACTATAATTATTCCCAGCAAACACAGAATATTGCAGCAACATTGCTGCAATGTTGTAATATTGCCGCAATATTGCTGTAATATTCTGTATTTGCTGGGATTATGTACTAACCATTTTTCGAAGATCTAAAATGATATAAAAATGAACGTGTATCTGTATATCGTGCTACTCATCGTGAATATAAGACAAATAATGGCATTCTTTTTTAATTATACAGATTACGTAGTGTCATCGCGCAATTTATCGAACATTTTGACAAATATTGACAAAAATATAATTCAGAGAATAACAAATAATATCTCTTTTAGATTTACAAACCTTTTTACCCTGATAAGAAATGAATTATGCATATCACAGATAATAGATATTTTGATAAAGAATAATTTGAAATAAAAACTGTTAACATATAAAATTAATACTGAAAGATATACAAATGAAAATGCTTCTTTCTTTTCATTAATTGATATGTGAATAGCAAGTGGATATATGACTAATGTCGACATAAAGATAAATCAAATGGCACACATATCTGTTGAATGTCAGGGACAGTTGAAAAGAGCGATATCAATTTCCTGTTGGCGCTATGCAGACTAATTATACCCGAGATTGTCAACGATGTCCATTTCACAAGTTTGTTTTATTATTCTTGTAACTGTGAAGATTTTCTTAATATAATAATTATCTTTACAAATTAGTAATAAATTAGTTTTCAAAAAAAGGTTTACAAGGATAAAATATATAGAATTAGTATAATTAAAATGAGTTTTGAAACTGTGGATACATAAAACAATCTCTATCTCTATGATTATTTGCAATGGTGGACATGAACATTGACATTTAAAAACGATAATAAAACTTTCACTGCACTCATTCGTCGTTTGTTCATTATACTCATTAATCCTTACAGCCAATGTTAACATACAATGGCTGCGGGATAGGAGTTACGGACACTGAAAATGGTTCCCCAGCAGGATCGTTATTGTCCGGCGAGGGGGAAATTCCGGAAGAGGCTGGCGATTCTCCGGGTACATCAAGGGACACCGAAGAAGAAGCGACTCTTTCCGATGAGTTCTATTCCCACGACACCGATGATGAGGAAGATCAAAGCAAAAGACGCCGGGATCGTTCTAGTTCCGTGAGTGAGATTAAAAATATTTCCCTGTCAAATTTCAAAAATGTTTCCGTAAAATACAATAAATTTTGCTGTGATCTCCCCAAATCTGGAATGACAGTTGTTAGTGGTAGTTTAATGTGAATAATGAAATGTGAATAATAAAATTCATAATATCATAGCTAGACGGCATTTCGTCTTCCGGAAGTGGTCATTTGGGATCGCCTACACCTCGTGTAGGTAACTTAGGAGTCAGAAAATTATTCACCAACAGTCGCGAACGATGGAGACAGCAGAATGTTAGCGGCGCCTTTGCCGAACTTCGTAAATTGGTGCCGACGCATCCACCGGACAAGAAACTGTCGAAAAACGAGATATTAAGAATGGCGATCAGGTAACTTTTAGCTATAGAAATGAATTTCAAGTATAAACAGATATTAATATATTTTTACACATATTTTTTCAATTTCGAGAAATAAAAATAAAAATATTTTCACATTGTTTTGAAAACAATTAAGAGAAGAAAGATTTATATATAGATGTGTATTCTCGAATATAAATAAGAAATTTAATAGAAATAGATATACATACATACATAGAGACATTTTCTGCAGAAACATTTTAATAAGAATAAAAGAGATTAAGACGAAAATTTGAATTACCTGATATTCGCATTTGAAATCTTATTTGATAGGTACATAAGATTATTAAGCAATGTTCTCGAATGGCAAAAGGGTCAAGATCGTAATGGGGTGCAACACGATGTGCGTATCAAATGTGAGTCGCATTTGAACAACCAAAATCTCGTCACGTATCATGCGAAATCGACCTTCCTGAAACAAGAGAAGCAGAATGTGTCAGAAAATTCTCACGTTTTTCGCGTCAATTATTCAACGCAGAGGCATAACGTGCCATGTGACAAGAACGGCAGCAATTTACTAATGATTGCACCGACGGGACTCAACATAGCCATTTCCACCGGAAAACGCTGTGTCACACCTTCCGCCATCGTTACCCAAAGCAATTTTCACAGGTGAATTATATGTGTCACATTTAAAGCATATTGTTTTAAGGTATCACGTTAGTTTAATTCTCTGTAAAAAGTAGTTACAAAAAAATCGATAGACATTTGATTTTATAAATTAAAGAAATGTAAATTTCTCTGAGAAGAAAAATCTTTGAAAATCATTGAAGGTTTTTTATATTTTTTACTAGAGTAGTAAAGCATATTTATTCATTAAAAAAATATTTTTTTAAATCTTTTAATAAAAATATTAATATCTTGCTGAATATGTCAAATGTCTAATTGTTTTATTGAACTTTAGAATATAAAATGTTTTGAACTTTTTAAACATTTTAATTGAGAACTATAATCGACAATGTTTAATGAAATACATTTTTGTTAAAAAATCAAATATGTTGAAAAAAATAGGATAATTCGTATATATTATGTATGTAATGTATTATTTGCTTACTTACAATAATCTAATAACATTATAATATTCGTGTTGTTGCAACAGCAACAACAATGGAAATCTCATACGTTCTCCATCGAGCGGACGGTCCTCAAATTTTCCGAAATCACCGCAGATCTCTAACACTAGCGTTATATCTAATGGATCCTCTTCGTCTTTATCGAATCATACGCCAGTCACAAACGGGATAGGATCGAGTGGGCCAAACTGTGCTCAGAAGAGATTCAAAATCGAACGAGAAGAGGAAGAACAGGCTCCGAGGGACTGTCGAGTCCCACCGCCGCCTGTTCATAGTGTACCGATCAGAAAAAGAGTTAAAGTAGCCTTCGGGAAGGACTCGAGTTCAGGATTCCGAGGTGACTTGTGTGGCACAGATCGTAAATGAAGCATTGGTTGGTAGATACCTATTCATGAAACAATCGATTTACTTTAAGCATACGTATTGTGTAAATATTTTTTTGCTGTATTTGACAATAATTAGTATATGGAATCAAATAACTTCTGAAGATAAAGAGATTTTAAGTTATAACATATAAAAAAATTTTATCTTCAATTAATCAAATTTTAAACATGCTTTTCAATTCATACACTTTAAATATTTTTTATGTTACATATAATGTATTTACTTAATAAAAATTCTGTCTTGTTATAAAAAGAATATTTTCTTAAAAATATTAATATCTTACTGAATAGTTGTTCTGTTGAATTTTAGACTATATAAATATTTTAATTATTGAAAATTGTGATATCAATAGAAATTTAATAAAATACACTTTTGTTCAAAAAATGATTAAAAGAATAAGATAATTCCGTTAAATATCTTGCATCTGTAGAAGAACAATGGCGGAAGAGAGACGTGTTCCTCAAAGAATATTTTATTATGTGTTTTACGTTACACCGTTTGTATTAATTATTATATCGCAGTTACGCTTTGAACAGTGACAGATGAAAAACACGAATAGGAAACTTCTGATTACGTAGTAAACCGTTGTAAATTTGTTACAAATACATTTTTATCAGGCTTCCGCGTCTCCGGTCGTAGATACTATATTATTGTAGAGCTCTGTAACAGAATATATCGAGTTTCGTACATATATCCGTTTACATATCGTTTATTATATAGCGAACACAGTAAACGACAGTTGAACGTTTAACAATTATCCACAGACAACGGATTCCATTGTATTCTCCGAAATACTTGCTTATATCTTACATTTATATTCATCACTCGTAAATATTCCAACTTTTCAATCTTTTCTCGCCTTCACACGATAAAAAATGAAACATTGTTCAACATAAGGGATCGTCGCGCAACGAATTTTTTGTATACACGTATTTACACTTACGAATTTTATTGGGCAATTCTTCTCGTCGCACAGTTGTTTTTCCATCTACATCGAGAGTTATGTACTTGTATTTCCACACTTGGTCGTTGACAAATTTTAATCTAGAACTTTGCGAAAGCGGCGTTCGTCTCGCGAAATGCCCGCTCTCGCAGGCGTTCCCTACGTCAGATATACTTTGTATCTAGTGCTGTCTCTCTTCGGGGATTCCGACGAGAGCTTTTTGGGGACGTATCGCTCGTCATTAAACTCGATCGGTGGCACCGGGGTGGACGGTCGCTCGTCGCTCTGACTAAAGGCTCTTCTCGGTGGTATTTCGTAAAACTTCCGCGTGCTTTTGCATTCGACGCTGCCTCGCTTAGCGAGGTTCACGCTGGCGTAACTAGCATCGCTAGTACGCGCATCCCTCTTTGAAAAGTCCACCTCTACATAGCTGACTCGCGAGTCACGCGATTTCACACTCACGTCTGAATTCCGTTTGTTTTCCTTGTTCGCTAACGGTCTCTTCACCATTGCTGGTACCTCTAATCGATCCCGCCTGATCGTCGGCGATTCCGGTTGCCGGGACGCACGCCGAGCCTTCTCGTCGTAATCGTCCGAGTATGTGCGCCGCTCGCGGACACGAGCCCGTTCCGCGCCCGTGCCGCGATCCTCGCTGTATCGCAGCTTTTCGTTGAACCTTCGTAAACGCTCGTCCTCGTGCTCATTCGTGAACACCTCACTAGCGTCATGGGTAGTGCGTTTTAGCCTTTGTTTTGACTCCTCCTCATGCTGAACCTTGGTCTAAGAAAAGTACAAAGCAAAAACAAGATGTATATTGACTCCTAAAAGCATACATCGTTTTTAAATTTTGATTCGTTTACCTTAAATATGTCGATTCTGTCATTGAATTCCAAATCTTGACTGTTTCTGCGAATCGGCCGATAATTGCCCTTCTCTTCCTCACTACTACTTACACTGATCCAATTGTTCTCTCGCTGGGAGCTTCCTGCCCTCTTTGGCCACTCGTTCTCCGTCTTGAAATCGTACAGATCTCGCATACGTTGACTGAGTTTGTTCGCTCGTTCGTTAGCATCGATAACGCTTAAAGAGCGGTCTCTACCAATATCCAACTCATCTGCAATTAAATATCATGACATGAATCAGGAGATGTGCATTAAAATTATTAAATACGTCGCGTACCTTGTCTTTGTAAATGCGCTTTCTCGTTCTTCGCTGGTGAAAATTTCCTAGAGGGTTGCCACTTATCATTAGAGACATCCGCGTTCTTGCGCGGTTCTTCATCCTTTTTATTGTGCTCTGTTATGGAACCTCTTCTCTCAGGATTTATTCTTGGTATAGGACTGGGTGATGGACTTTTAGCGAAGGTTATCCACCGGGTAGCCGCACTCTGTGTAATTTCACAGCCATTTCTTGCAAGAGGGGATGATTCTCGGCGAAACTTTGCACCGTTAACTTGTGGTATCCACCTAAAGATCAAATGTTTGAGGTCGAATATTTGCTTCAAAATCACAAGCATTTACTATTTTATCTGCATACATACACAAATACACATATAATGCAAAACTCTTGACAGAAAGACTAATACTATTTATGACTTTATTAATTGCTATTTTCAGTCGCAATAGATATTTGTGTAAACGTTGAGTTAAAATTAATTATTAAATTAGAATTTGCGAGAAAAGACATCATCACAGAATCATAAAATCAATATCAATTATTCATGCACATTTGTAAGGATTTTTCATCACAAAACTGCCTTTAATAATTATCCCACGAGAAAACAAGGAAGAAGGAAGGACAATTAAACATTGAGACACTTGAACAATTTGAGTATTCTGTACAATGGAAAATTATCGTTTGTTAATTACTTTTATAATACTTTCCGAAATCCCAGCGAATCACAAACATATGAGGAGCGTCACAACGTGAAAAAATATTAGCGACTAGTTCCGGTCGATGGAGCAAACCAGACACCACTATGTTTTCACGTTGTACCGTTTGGCATGGTTCATCGACCAACGTGAATTTCCATCAACAAAATCGCCAAAGTTAATCCAAAAATCGCGCACACAGAATCGTACAGACAGGAAAAGACAAACACGGAAGAAAGAGCAACAACATCTGACCGAAACTAGACGCCATTACCCGTTGGAGGCTCCGTAACGATTATCAATCGCGCCTACGAATCTCAACTACAATCCCGATCATGGCATTTCTCGCTTTCGGACGTGGAAAATGTGCGCGGTCAACCTCGTGGCGATGGTTCGTGGGTCACTGCAGTCCGTGTGTCTTCGCTGCTCGATGATGCTTTTCTCCGCTCCCCTCGTGGAGGTCACGTCGGTGCTGTAACTTCTGACGGCGCTGGGTTGAGATCGACCGGCGATCTCGGAGGATCGATTCTCGGCTGAGGTAGTTGTCGCCATCGTCTCGTCAATACTTTCCTGTCGCTCGTCCCTCGACGATCTTTTGATGGCTCCAGGCGATTGCTGTCCCCGCGGCACGTATTTTGGCAACGGCATCCATCGGGATGTGTCCAGTTTAGTGGAATCGGAAATTTCTGTGTATCGGCGATCCTCCACGCGACGTTCCGTGTATTTCTTCAAGCAGTCTACATCTGCACTGCGGCTACGCTGACTGCGCGGTGATCGAGATGGTCTTCGTTGTTGCCCGCCGTTGTTCGCCGGGCCGGCCCTTTCCTAAAGTTTGAGCAAATGTATCGGGAGAATATTTTTTAGAGTGAGATACTTTCGTATATACAAGAGAGATTTGAACGATATTGTTGTATTAGTTTTAAATTTATGAGTTGTCATTTTATCTTGAAAAGAAACAATAGATGAAAAAACAATATTATGAAAGGTGTAATATGGAACTCGACTCATCAATTACGCAATTAAAAAAAAACAAAATATACATATATTTGATAATAATTAACTTTTAATTTTGGTAAATGTGAATTTTTTAATATAAAAATATGACTTTAAATTACACGCATTTCATTGATGCAAAAATTTTCTTATATGAATTTGTCATCAATTTATTGATAATATTCTAAACATCTTATTCTAATAAAAAGATTATTCTTATTATATAAAGAGATAGGAAGTGGGAGAAGAAGGGATAAATCATTTAATAAACTCCTAACAATTACTTGTCAATAATTCAATTTTTTTGATATAAAATATTCTTTTGTAAATACATGCGATATATTATCAGTTATTTTATTGATTTTATTAAAAAATTAAAAGATAAAAGGAAGAACGATTTTCCGCAATTTTTCGCCTATGCAAAAGTAGCTATGAGCAGCTGTATAAGAGCAATGGCCGCATTCAGCGGACTCAACCGCTAAGTAGCAATCAAACGTGATTGGTTTTTATTTTCAGATCCGGCCAATCAGCATCGAATTACATCGGAAAATCCAGTAACTGTTGAGTCCGCTGAATGCGATCAATATCAAATCATTTATTATTTCACACACGTGATTACGATCACAAAATCGACTTTTGTCCAACAAAGACTGGTGTCGAGAAAAGAGACACGTATCGGATATTACCTAAGTAAGATGAAGCTTTGCGTAATCTGATATGTGCAGAATTCCATGCTCCGCGGATGCGACATGCAAGCTGGCGCCGCATGCACGTGGATTGATTCTGGAATTATGCAGTTCAGTTATTTGGGTGCTGCACGCCGCCGCAGGATCACCGCTGGATTCTAGATAACCATTCCAGAATTCGTTTCCTGTAGGAACAACATAACTGCTTTATGAAAAATATTTTACATGAAGTTCTCTCACCAGCGTAATAATTATTAAATGCAGCATTAAAATTAATATCAAATTGACAATAAACAAACAAAGAATTAGATAAAATAATTAGATGCTTAAATACCTGGCAACGCGTTTCCATCCCAGGCATAAGTGACAATGAGCAATTTATTCGCATCGGAAGCTCGAAATAGTCTGCTGTGTGGTTCTCTCAGAGCAAAATGAATTTTTATATCTGAAAATTTCATTATTAAAAACAAAAAATGATATTTATGAATATTTATTTAGTTGTATTTATGATTTACTAACTGCCCAGATAATCGCCATTTTTTGCGTCGCCGCATTTTTGCTGATGGAAGTAAGCGAACATGATGTCAGAAACATACTTAAGTTTCTTATTCATCTTTCTAATGGCGATCTCGAATGTTTTCAGAAAATATATCTCTTGATCCTGAATTATTTTCCAGACACCTACGAATCGTCACTTAATTAGTCAATAATCGAAGAGAAAGATTAAACAAAACAGCGTCACTAAATAATTAATATAAAAATCAGGTATATAATCGTTACAACGATAAAATTATTGCACTAACCGAGACCAAAGCCGACCACGTGCAAGAAAGCGGTCGTATTTTGCTTCTCGGCGCGAGTGTTCGCCTCGAGCAATATTATTTCTACAGAGAGCAAAGTCCTCTTCATGTAATTCTCGATATCGAAGACAGTCTGACTGGTTAACGACAGGTAACGTCTGTTGTCTTTCGATTTAATACGTTTCACGATTTCCTCATAGAGTGGATGATAATCCGCGCCATAAAACTTTGCCCATAAAACTTGCATTCCACGTTTTTCTTCAGACATGCCGTCTATCGCGGGTCCGTATCTATCTCATATAGATTGATTCTTTCAAAAAAATTTCGCTTAGATGATGTAAGAAACTTTACATACAAGTATAAAAAGACTACATCGTAATGTTGTATCAATTTAACTATCATAGCTCGAATTTTAAATTAATATAGCGCGCTAAAGATTTTGAAAAATGCTGCATCTTTTATCTTTATTATAATTATAATTAATAGCGAGGATTAAAAAATACATCATGATATCCGATATTATCTAGTGTTCTGATGCGAATAAATTTATCTTCAAATAAGAGTAGCTAAAAAAATTTATCCTATAACGCAACAATTATTGCGGAAAGTCATTGCTTACCCATTATCCACATTATTTTGCAACGGCGTGGTAAGAATATCCTGATATTCCATAAATCGGGGCTTTGAGAATCTACGTAATAGATTGTAAATTTATTATTAAGATATCATAATAGCTTTTTGACAGATTCTCTCTATAGATTTTTATACAACATAATATATGTATAGAAAAATGCACAGAAGAATCTACAGAAAAATAAAAATAAAAAGGATAAAAATATTCTATTAAGAATTATTGGCATTTTTTCGTAGCGATTTCAACAATCATTACGAAGATTTAAATCGCAAGTATAAATAATTGCACGCGCGAAAGAGATAAAAATAGAACACGTATCTGCAGACACGACAGGAATGTCACAGTGGTTTGCGCGTATAAAAATATTCCTGCAGAAGGCAGGGTTAAATAAATGCATAAAACCTTGTGCCTACGACACCCATAATAACCCCACGAGGTTGGACTGCGTCTGGGTCACTGCTCACGATGCCTTTATTCTTTCGCGAGCCGTCGTTTATGAACTCCGTGTGAGACGACACCACCATCATCGCCGATAATTTTATCTCATCGTAGCTCAAGCATTTTGTTAGGACCTATTTGTCAAATTGTAAAGATGATTACAAAGCTTGGAAGTTGTCACGATATCAAGATAGATCCCGATATCAATAGAAGATATACGTATTATAAGAAACAACTTTACAACGTGTTTTTTAGTATCTTATAAACTTTCAATATATCGGTAAACATATGTAACGTTATATCGATCTAAAAAGAAAATTTAATAGCCTGTAAAGTGCAAAATAAAGATAGAGAGAGATGAGAAGTTTTATTTAAAATAATATTTTACGAAAAAACAAAACTGAGAGAAGCATTTCAAGAGTTTTTGTTTTGATTATAGTTAGTTATTTTAGCGATTAAAATAGCGAGAATTTGCGATATTTTTTTGGATTGTTCTAATATTTTTCTAATATTTATTTAATATTTTACATATAAAAATGCTCGTATTACTTTCTACATTAAAGAAAAATGGTAATAACATATCTTTGTTATCATATATAATATAATCATATATAATATTATATATTTATTTTTATTTTTGTCTGTTAAATAAGTAATATTATATTGTAATATTATAATGTTATAATATTATAATATTATAATATTATAATATTATATTGTAATATTGTAATATATAATGTAATTACTTTTATCAAGATTTGCTTAGCTAAAAAAAGAATTGAGATATGTTTACCAATGGCTCCTTCTCATTGCTTGTACCAACAGTCTCCCATCCATTGATGCCGGTCTTGTTGTCGATTAATTTCCATCGATCATTGGGACCATAAAAGTAAACAGCCCTCTTCTCCAGCAGGCGGTGAATGAATTGGATGAGGCTCATGTTTTTGTACAAGGCTTTCTCGACAGCGCTACCGTATAGACGCTTGTGTTTCAACCATGCAGCAATCAAGGGTAACATCGCCTCGTGTATTAGCGGATATGTCGAATTTGCGTTTAACTAAATGAAAAACGAAATTAGACGATCAAATTTGCAATTGAATTGCATTAATCGAACGTCATACAAGATAAGAAAAGAGATTTAAATTTATGGAACTGTGATCTTTTTAAGGAAGATACACAAAATAAACAAACTCTTCAGAAACTCAAACAATTAAAGTGCAGCGTTCTCTATCGAATTCTCAAGCAATATCTCTTTAACAAATATTTAATCAAGCGTCTGCTACTCTAACTCATATATTAAATAATTTACGCAAACCTCAATGGTCTCTGCGCTGATTCCCCTGTCCTTCAGGGAGGCGCATCTCATAGTGCTAATTGGAAACTTCACAGGGAATGCATCGCTTCGCTTGATTAGCTCCGCCAAACTGGTCGGTGGTAGTATCGAGACATCGAGGCATTCTTTCAGCAACTCCTTCGTATCATCGTCGAAAGGCACTCCATGGGGCGAACCCAGCGTGTTCTCCCATGATAATTCCGGTGGATCCTTTGTTAGCATTTGCTGACGCGCTTCTTCCGCTCGATTATTCTATGGAAAGATAATACTTTTGTAAACTACTGATACTCTCGTGCGAAAACATTTATTGATGGCATTACAAATGAAGCTTGCAAAACTGCATAGGATACAATTAAAGGATTCAACATTGAATTTTAATTTTTTCAGTATAAAGACTAAGTAAGTAGGTTCGAAGAGATTTTTTTGAAAAATTTGGATATTATATTTATTGAGTGTTCTGTTATTTTTTGCAGAAAATAATTTTTGATCGTCAAAATAGAAAATGTAAAAAGAAACCAATGATACGTATAGTTGCAAGCTTTTTGCTGAAAAATGTAAGCAAGTGAGCGTTTTTGAACGGTGTTTTATAATTTTACTACAGTTCGACGTCATCGACGTCACCGAAGCCAAGGGCTACGAAATCGATTCTAAGAAAAATTTTGCAAAACAGCGAAACGTCGTTCTATTAATACAACCCCCCGCTGATTACAGCAAGGACGCCGGTCCCTTTGACACTTGAGCATAAAATCCGTTAAGTAGCGTAAAATGTATCTGTTCATTCTAGCGAGTGGCTTGACGTTCACTCTCTTCGTGGGCGCGCATACACATATGTGAAATACGTATGCGAACGCACATATACACACATGTAAAAAATGCACGCACTTGTTTAACGCTGACGGCGGTCCTGCAGTTTGCTTCATTTTTCTGTTTATCGATTCTGCCACCTGAACGATAGGGGCGAGGAAATTCAGACTATCTCGCATTACGAAACAATTAATCGAACGATGTTGTTTACTATTTCATTCTCACTTTTATACTCTTGTAGAAGAAGGAAGGAATAATGCATTGAGATCCATTATTCTAAATTTTTCATATTTGACATTTTTTTACCGCACAATATAATATAATAATTGGTAAGAAATATATATGATTTTTTTAATGCAGTTATTTATATATGTTAATTTTAAAAATATATATAACAAAAGAAAGAATAAAAATCATATTTGTAAATACTAGTAGTTTCAAATATCGATTTAAATTTTTAAAAAATTTATTAAATTTTTGAAACTTTTATCAAATTATCCATAAATAACTAACATAAAATATTGTATTATATTTGTCCAAAGAAACTTGTAAAACAATTATTAAAATTATGCATATTTAATACTTAAAATATATTACATATGATAATATAGAAAGCGAAGATAAAAATGTAAGCCATAATATGTTTATACATACAGCTACTTTGCATTTCTAATCAACAAGTGTTATATATAAAATTTCGTTTATTATAAATAAAATTTTAATCTCTTTAAACAAGATTTTTATCTATGTGTAAGTATTTTTATCTATGTGTGTTTCCATGCAATAATATTCAATATAACACATTAAAGTAATTATAATAAAAATAACAAATATATCAACCTTTCGCACTCTAACTAATTTTGTTATATGACCTATCAGCAACTTCAAGACTTCAACATTTTTGTGTATCTTTGAACATTAAAAAATGTTTTTATCAAATAAAAAATCTACTAATTTACTATCCTCATTGCTGGTCTCAGTATCATAAGTAATTTCATTATATTTTTATTATAATTAATTAAAAATTGGCAAGTAAGAGTTAGCAAGGCGTGGAAATTGGAGCGCAAAGAAGACTAAAAAGAAACAACTTCCTCTTTCTTTTAGTTCTTATAATAAAAATAAATTTGACTCGAATAATAAAAATTACGATTAATTAAAAAATGGCAAGTAAAAGCCAGGAAGGTGCAATAATTGGAGCGCAAGGAAGAATGTTAAAAAAAAACTTCCTCTTTCTTTTTATAGTTATTAGTATATTTCAAATAATTCATCTGACAATACATGTATTAAACACAAACATTTCGAATCATCTTTTGAGCCATCTTCAGCGTGATATTAGTATTTCCCAACATTTAAAAATATGTAAATCATTTTAATCATGTTAATATTTTATCAAATTATTGAAATAATTTATATATTTTTATATGTTATTTGTTTGGTATTTTTTAATACGTAATATTAATATTATACTGAAGATGGATCAAAAGATGATCCGAAACGTTCGTGTTCAATGCGTGTATTGTGATGAGTTAATTGAAATATAAAAGAAAAACACAATGCGTGTATTGTGATGAGTTAATTGAAATATAAAAGAAAGAGGAAATTGTTCCTTTTTATGCTTTTTTGCTCCAATTAATATCCGCACCTTGTTAATTCTCACTTGCCAATTTTTAATTAATCGTAATTTTTATAATTCAAGTCAAATTTATTTTTATTATATGTATGTCGCGAAACTATGCAAAGAGTTAAATCAAATAAAGTACTACTAATTTTGCGCATTTAATACAGGCTTAATTACCGCACTATTACACAATTACACAACTGCTTATCTATATAGAGCAAATAGATAAGCAATGTATGAACGTTTATAAAAAGTTAGACTATAATTAACTGCATTTTTTTAAATTTTTAAATTTCAGTACAAAAAACAGCTATTAAAGTAAATAATGTGCTCTAATATTAAAATTACAAACAACAACTCACCTGACGGACGCAACATGCAAATAGTGACATGCCTATAGATATCGTCTGAAATAAACGATCTATTTTTCTTCTTTATTGGATTTCCTATCCAGAACACAACCACAATTTCTAATAATAATACTGCGATTTCACAATTAATTATCACGATTTACTTTTAGTTATTTCCGTTTCTTGAATTTTTTAAAGTTTAATCAGAAATTTTTTAAAGTTTAATCAGAAACTTAAGTTTAATTAGAAATTAAGAATAATTTTTTAAGCGTCCAAATCTTGTTTATCAAGTTTCTTAAAATCTCTCGCTATCTTTTAAAAAATTATATATAAGATAAACATTAAGTGCGAAGAATCAAACCGTGATCTCTGACAACTATCAATCAACAATTTTTCAACACGGAAGCACGCATTATAGTGAAACGTAGTTGTGTGACGTGACCGATCGCACTTTGAGTCACGGACGATTCGCTCGTATTGAATATCGCGGAATTTCCAAACGTTGAGTGACGTAAACTTTTCTCCCGCTAAACGAACGTAATGCGTCTAAGGATGACAACAGCCGGTAGCTGCCGGATCGCCACGATTTGGACGCACATGCGCACCGGAAATGTGGTGCACGCGCAGAAATCTGTGGATTTCTTCTCTATTACGTCATCTTTTCGCGTAAAGGAAAAGAAAATTGAGAGAAGACACGTCATCTGTTTACCTGAATTCCATTAAAATTTTAAATTTTCGCCATCAATCTTTGAAAGTGCGCAGACCGATAGATCTGCTTTATTTTATCCGTCACCTCACTTTGCCAACATTTTATGTTTATAAATTTTGCAAGTAAAATAAACTTAAGGCTAATCCGTTAGATACAAGATATTCAATTGCGTGAAATATTGCAATTATTTTGAATTAATCGTAATTTTTTAATCAACAAGAAACGTGAAAAGAAATATATTCTCTCATGTTTTTTTAAATAATCTTTTCAAACTTGAATGTTTATCGAGAGCGAAACACGATAATTAAAAACATCTTCCGGTATAAACTTTATACGATGAGGAAGTTTTCAAAATATGAAAACTCTATATATAAAACTACGGCGTAAACTATGGACTCTAGAAATAAACTCTATTAATAAAGCAACAAACTTGAAATGCAAAATAAAATATTATATATAATATTATATATATTTTAGAAGCATAAACTATTTCTAAAATAAGCGCATGCATATATATATATATGCATACAGACACAATCTTGCAAACAGAAGCATAGATATACATTTAAACGTTTATCTATGTACACAATTATAAAAATGATAAGATAATTCTCCAAAATGTTCTTACCTCCATGACGCAACTTTGCAATATGTTCGCAACACACTAATATTCTGCCAACTAGTGACTCCACAGTAGGAAAAACAGGTTTATATATCGATCACAGGAGCGTCTCTAAAACATTTGGTCCTGGAATGCTAATTTATTTCATAATATATTAATTAGAAAAAAATTTAAATTTGAACATACAAAATATATTATATATATATTATTTTCTTCCTTGTTCTTTTTTGTCAAACTTTTGCAGACTGTATTATTATCTTAACTTTACCGATAATATTTGTTGATGACTGCTGCCATCTAAGAATTTCAAAGATCTATTTAATATGCTATTATAATTAATCGTCCAAATAGAGATTATATGTTTATCTATGAGTCATTAAATTATTTTACTTCATACATTCGAGTAATTTAAAAAATTTTTATAATTTAATTGTGAAATTGTTTAAAGATGCGAATAAAAAAGTTTTATTCGAATTTTGTTAAAATAATAAATATGATATAATATAATAAAATAATTGTAACGTGATAGTTTTAATATTTAATATATAATATACAGGGTGAATCATAATGGTTGTACGAACCTTTTACTATTAGAGATTAATTACCGACTACAATTGTAATCAATTGAATGAATCATAAACGACAGCTGTTTGGATCAACCATATCTGCAGTAACGTACAAGCGAGTTAAATACTGTGAATTAAATAATATACATATTCTATGCATACTTTTCTAATATATTTAACTCTTTTATGTGCATTTTTCTTTCTACACGGTTTAATATATTTATTTGAGCCTTACATACTAAAAAATAGATTTTGAAATGTGTGATATAATATAGCTCCATTAGGCGAAAGTCCACTTTAAAGAATCTAACGTGCCATTAATAATACATAAAATGATGTGAAGAAGTCTACTATTATTATTGTTCATTTTCTAAGTTATAATTTTTACATTCTTAATGTCTACAGCAGAATATTTCTTGTAGAAAATAGAATTACGTATTTTTTTTTATAAAAAAAATACTTTTGTATCTTTACCATTCCAACTCTTTTTACGCGTTAAAATGTTTTGCGTAAGAATGAAAAAAATTGCCGTCAAATTCTATTAAAAAATCATTACTTTAAAAATCGTATTAAAAAATACACGAATGCAAAAGATATCTCTTTTTACGCGGCAGATACGTTTCACAATAATAAGAAATCGCGTTATTAGAAAAAAACCGTGTAGAAAGAATAATATGTACATAAAAGAGTTAAATATATTAGAAAAGTATGTATGCATAGAAACGTGTGATTAAAAAAATAATTAAATATATTTAAAAAAATTAAATAACTTGGATAAGTAATTTGTGCATTTTTATTGTCTTTTTTTCGGTAAATTTTGCTAGATGAAAACGAATGAATAAAAGCATAAAATCACAAGTTAAGGATTGCGTGAACAGTCGACATCTGTGAACCATCATAGAAAGTATGAAGTCAAGAAACAAACGGTAATTTCATTCCTATATTGTTCAACAATCTAAATTACAAATATAGTATCGAATAATAAATAATATAATTCAAAAATTTATCAAATCATCCAAATTAAATATATGTAAATTTAAATTTATATATTTAAAAAATTTATAAATTTAATATTTATTAAATTTATAAATTAAATCGAAATAAGTTAAGTCGAAAATATATTAAATTTATAAATTTAATATATATTAAATTTATAAATTTATATATTTTTGATTACTGAATTAAAGCTATCCAAAAGCTATCCAAAAATATATATAAATTCGAAAATTCGAAAATAATTTCTTCAATTTAGCAACGACAAATTGATTACAATAGCAAAATTAATTATAAATAAAATTGATAAGACAAAGAATTTGTGATAAATGTGATATAAATTGCCGTGTATCAATGAATGTGATATAAATTGCCGTGTATCAATGAATGTAGAGCACCTTGTACATTTTTAAAAATTTCATTGTGTGATATTTTATCTAAGTGATAAACGATGAGATAAAAGAGCTTGTACATTTGATATTAATGATATTAATGATACTAATTTAATGACAAAAGATTGATAAAATAATCTCTTATGCAAAATGCGGATAAACAGTACATTTTAGCACAACACTGTGCAAACCGGAACCGGTTTTATCGGTTTACATCGTTCGATAAAAGTAAATCGTACCTATAATATACATACAGGATATATTTTCTAATCATCTCATTAAATACATTTAGCAGTTTCTCTCCGTAGAATTTCAGTCGCTAAAAACTTTCATTAAACCGCACTTTTCTTTTTTTGAAAGCACGGATTAATCCTTTCCATTCTCGAATCAAGAAATGTTTAACCTCGAAATTCACTTCGTTATCTTGATAAAAAAGAAACGAAATTAAATATATATTAAATATATATATATATTTTAATTAAATATATATATATATATATATATATATATATTTCATATATAATAATTTTATATAATGAAATACATAGGACTATAAATATAAAAAAAAAAGAGAAAAAATGTATATGCGTTTTTTACCCAAGATTATTATGATCATAAAACTACAATATAAGTGATAAAAACAAAAATATTCAATAAATAATATAATTAATGATTCAATTTTTAAAAGCAATTTTTATGTCAAAAAAAGGCTTGAAAAAGAAGAGCATATTTGTATACCTGAGTGTCATTTTCACAGATAGACGTGTTCTCTCATTCATCTGATACTTATGTATTTTTTTTACGTCTGCGGCCGATAACGACGATGAGACATTGGTAGTATGCGAGGTAGAATTGCGAGGGAGAATGACAAAAATACACCGACAAAACTCAGGTGAGCAACGAATGGTGAACGTACGGTACGTTGCGTCGTACCGTTTTGGTGTCGTTAAATCCCTCTCTCTTTCTCTTTCTTTCTCTCTTTCTCTCAGCACAATTCAGTGCTGGCTTAGCGAGCGTTCTAATGAAATATGGACATAAAAAGCTTGAAAAAATCTCGATAATTTTTATATAATTTTGTATAATTATGTGTATATATATATATATAAGTATGAAAAGAATTTGTCATTGAAAAATAATGCAAAGCAAGTAAAATACATAATATAGTTTGAAATATATACGTTTTAGAGAGAAATCTTTAACTTATAAAATCTATTTTTATCTGTACCGTTATCTTTTGCATCTAAAATAAAATAAGTATACACTCAGATATTAAAGAGAAAAAGAAAAAAAATAAGATAGAGAAAGAGAATGCAATTAACAAGAGATTAGATAAACTGATTTTTCTCTTTCTATCTCCCTCAATTATTCGATGTAATCACGATGATACGATCACTTATTCAAGAGAATATACCTCCAAAAACTCTTAAAAAAATAATCTTATTTAAAAAGAAGATAATTTAGTTTCGCATTATCTTTTTTTTTCTCTCACTATTTTTAACGATTTTTTAACAACGTTAATTTCATTAAATATTTGCCAACAATCTCCGATAAACGAAATTCTTGATTTTCCAATTATTTCCTCAGAAGTCTTCTCTTCTCTCTTCCTAAGTAATAATAAGTAATTACCCTTCTTGCAAGGTTCTTGCTAAATATACTTGTTAACGCATCTCTCGATCATTTCATGTTTATAATAATTTAGCATACTTCAGTTTGTGAATATAGCTGGAAATTATTGATCAAGTTTTGCGCGCAGCTCATCATTCGAGCGAGCAGATTCGCGGAGCTATACCCATGGTAAAGAGACCCCGTGAAAGAATCGGTATCGAGTGGCATCGTGGATCGCCGCTACGAGCCTGAGCTGGTCTCACGACCGAGGGCCTTTCAACTCGGCCCGTATTTCTCGTACAGTCTCTCGCAAGGTGTGGTTCTTGACGCTATAGAGACGGAAGTATGCCGCCGCGGGATCAACAAGTGTCGTGCGAGATCCACGTCCGGCGAACGATCGACTCGGCGGCGCGTCTCTCCTGAGTCTCCCTCGATCCTCTTCACGTCGAGAGAAAAGCCGCGCGATTAAACGCGATTAAACGCGAGTGCGCGTTTTTCTTTTCAAGTGATTTATCAAACTCTCGATCGCCAACAGCACAGGACGATTCTTGACGAGTTCGCTCGGCCGGACGGACGCGTCCGACACGACGACGTTAAAGAACGAATCGGATCGATCGGAATCGTCGGCAATCTGATTTAGGTGACGGTGTACCTTCGTCGTGGAATTAGCGTGCATGCGTGTTACCGTGATCACGGGAACCAACGCACACGTGACCCTATCGGTTTGTTTGGTGCGCGGGTTCCTCGCCGTCAAGGATCAACAATCGCAGATATGACAGTCAGTGAGTACCTGCGCGATAATTGTGGATTTAATCCTCAGCAGTGTTACAAATTACGGTGGTTTCATGGGATTTATATATACACATATATACACGAAAGAAAAATATGTAACATTTATAAGGATATAATTTTTTTAATCCTTAAAAAGTATATCTATGGTATCAGTATTGAAGAATTGACGTATGTGAACAAACAACGAGAATACGTTGGGTTCTATAACCGTCAAGTAATCGAAGAAAGAATAGATATGTGACTCGGTTGTTTAATAATTTATACTCTTAGAATACTATCTTTTCTAAAAGCATGTCGATATACGTTACCGGCAATTACCTTTCCAGTATCTATTTAAAGTCAAACAAGTAGTAGTTTGTAAACAAATTAGGTCCTTGTTCTTTCTTTTCGAGATGGGACCAGCTGCTAAAGGTCTCAAAGTTTTTATACTCGCTCGCAACAATTTCCATTCTTTAAAATTAATTAATGCTCCCAATATTACTAAGAATTAATATAAATAGTTTGTTAAAAAATATATTTCTCTTTTCCATTTTCTTTTTTATTCTTGCGGTTTAAAATTAATATCGAAATTGTGTTTCTCATTTTATTTCGTGAATAATAGATAGAAAAATTAAGTAATCGAATCGATGTCTAGACGATAAAAAAATCATATTATAATGTTTCTTTCATGAGTCTTTTTTTGAAATTCTTACATAAAAGTTTAAAATATCCAATATTTTTTTCTCTTTAATATAAATCAATTAATATCGAAATTCACTCAGAAATTGGTATAATTTTTATATCGCATATATATAAATAATTAACATACATATTGAAGACATAATTGCAATATCGCATTACTGAAAAATCGTCATTGTTAATTATTAATTATAATTTTTGATCAAAAGAGAAAAGTATTTTACAATGTTTTGCTCGAAGCTGACAGAGTCACATAAGATACAACGTAAATTAAAGTGGAAAGACGACTCGTGTACAAAAGTAGACACGGTAAGACATTTTAAAATTCATGAAGTGGCCTTACGAAGAAAACTCGTAGGAAATATTCATAAGAAATTCAGCCGCTACTTCCTCTGCCCGTTTCAGAATTCTGAGTATAAACGTGACGATGATCCAAATCTTCTTTCCGTTACGTAGAGATTAATCTTGTAGACGATTCGTAGCATAAAATCATCGTGTTTATCTCCGTTTATATCACATTTATATCATCATGTATGTAAAATTTGTTAGTTTCATGTGTTTTATATACATATATGTAAAAGAAAATCTAATAAATCTTCTCGATATATATTTTACATAAAAAAAATAATAGATTGTTATACATTTATGTGAGAAAATTGATTAAGCAATTGTTCTTTAATTCGAGTTATTGAGTATTGTAATCGAAGAACGCACTTCTATGCAACAATAAACAGAAAATCGAGTGGATCTATTGGACTTGAGATCTCTCTCTCTCTCTCTCTCCCTTTGATCGCTCTAGGGCTGATTTCTCCAACGTCGATTAACTTGAATCATGGGGGCAATCGTGTCTTTCTATCTTCTCTTACATGTAGAGAAACAGAAACTCGAGAGAAATGATTGAATTACGATTAAAGTTAATCAACTTTGGGGAAATCGGCTCGTAGAATCCCCTTGACACTTATATGAGTATATATATATATATATATATATATATATATATATATATTATATATATCATATATACATTATTTCCTAGTTTAGTAGAATCGATAAATAATACATGCGATTATTCACTGTTGGGTTTTACCGTCTGTAGGAAAAATAAGTCATCGCCATTAATTAACTGATTGTCGATTCCGAAAATATAACGTGACATATAACTTGCTTCATCTTAATTTTATATAATTTGGAGAAATAGCTTATTCTGTAGAAAAATTAATAAAGGAATGAATAAAAAAGCAAACACATATATGAAATATATATGAAATATATATGAAATAAATAAGTTTTTTTATCATTATTTCCTATAGAAAAGATAACGTATATTTTAATTTATAATTGTGTTATATTGGTGTTTTATCAATTAAAAACATTTTTAAAAATGCTATTAAAAATATCTTCTTCATAACACATGTCTTTATCAACATAAGAATTTAAAAGACAATTCGGAAAAATAAGGTCGTCATTAGAGAGACCTGGGGTCTACGACTACGATAAATGATCTTGTAGATTAGACATGAGAATAATGTTTAATCTATCTATGTTCCTTGGACGCAGATTGTTTTAATTGACTCAATACATAAGATAAAGCGAAACAATTGGAGCAAGATCGATGTGTTATACCGAGAAACATTATACTCGTTAAGAAGCAAGCCGTTAAGAATAATTGCGGCAACGATGAATGGCGTTTCCCTGAATTCTTGCACGGCGCGGTCTCTGGTTTATGTAACCGATAAAATAATTTGCGGTTCGACGGTACTGACGCGAGAGTAATGCTCGACGTTGAAATTCTAGGACAACAGGGCATCGTAACCATGGCGATACGTTCAGCAAACACGGAAGAGACGAGACATGATACTTTGTTTACCTAATGACATTTGGAACGGTAGAAATTTACAAGTCGTAGGAATACAATTAACCGTTCAAAGATATGCTATGAATATTCAGCTGCTCGACCATGTAACAATAATAGTAAGAAAGATATTTAGAATTAAAAAAAATATATATATATATTTTATTAGGATCTGCAAATTTATAATTTGCATTATAATAATAATATTGCAAAATTTATTATTATAAAATTTATAATTTGCATAATAGTGATATAATTTTGCAAAACTTATTATTATAAAATATTAACAATTTATTAATGAATCAAGCAAAAATTGTGAAAAACAGCTTAATATAATTAAATAAATAAAACATATAATTATAGGACAGAATGTATGAGATAATTATTTCATATATTTAGAAAATTTTTTTTCAAGACATTCTATATCATGCTAACGTAGCTTCATAATGAAATAGTCCATTTCTTCAAAGCATGTTCTGAATATTAAATAAGATGTTACAATGAAATTAAGAGACAGCGAAACATTGGGACGTACATCTCCATCACACGTATCCATGACAACCATTAATTAAATGTCTCATTATCGCCTAGTGTATAATTTTAAGCTATGTTATTATTATTATGCTCTACATCTGTTATAATATTTAGTTATAGTCAATATATAACATTCAGTTGATGTATTTCAAATGACGTAACTTAATCGTAACAACCGTATTCATATTGAATCAACTTATTAGTAATCATCTTGCTAAGCAAACTAAATGCACAACTAGGCGTTATGCGAAAGTGCATCGTGCGAAGATCATATTGCATAACAAAAGATAAATATGTTACTAAGAGAAGATTATATTGAATAAGCCAAGATGTATCGAGTAACTTTTTGTAGAGTTAAACGTATATGCAAATAAAGACAGTGATAATAACAAGGGACGAAACAAGGAATGTCCATAAAATTCCATGATTTCGGTAATCATGATGCGTCATTGAAACGGTAGCAGTATACTATACTATCATAATCTATTTTATTAGCAAATGAGGTTAACTGTCTACTTTAAATACAACCCGCAGATAGTTATGCAAACATCCGATAATTAAATGATAAATAAAGCGATAAATATTTTTTTCTTTCGCTTGCACTTTTTTTTTAAATCTTCAAAGTTTTAAATAAATGATGGAATAAAAAAAATTATAATTGAAACATATTTAATAAATATATATAACAATTAATTTCAATTCCTCGACATGTGTTATAAGCCAAAAAACGTCATGAGAAAATTTTAACGCATTCTTTAATATATTAATATTCTATAACAAAAGTAATTAACGATATAGGAAAATTATATGATGTCATTTTATTTTTTTCACTATATGTATAATGTATAATTTTATATGTATAATTTTATTCACTATATGATAAATATCATATCAATTTCAACCTTTAAAATTATATATATATACTGGGAATTTCCTGTGTGCTCACAAAGAACCGCGCAGGAGGAAGGTCTACCTGGTGAATCCATGTCTATGCGAACTCTATATACATGTGCACAGTTGTGCGTATATGTATGCGTGCGCGCGCATGTGTGCGTGTGTTTTTGCGTGGGTGTAAAATGCCGCGGGTGAATCACACACGCGTTATAAACCGCAAAAGCCTTGTGCTCATTCTCTCTTCCATACAATAAAATAATGATAATGCTAGGCACACGCGGCACGTGATTATCGTGGTCTTAATTCCTCTCCGATATGTCACACAGACGTAAACTTGGACTCGACTGATTTTTTTTATTCGCAGTATCGTCACGGGCTTTTATACGACTAAAAAAGGAACGATTGTCCCGGTTTCCTCGGTGTACATGTAATTGATGTATCCAGGTGTACGTGTTCTCTCAATTCGCACGTGCGCGTACACGGTGGTCGCAGCGGTTTGCAAATTGCAGGCTCTGTCCGCGAGAGAAATTTCGAGTGCATCTGCAATATTGATCTTGGACGGTGTCGACGGACTCGCCTCAATATTCGTCCATGATTGCCGCATTGTCGAGATAATTGTATTCTTTGCGAATGCGTTCCCAATTAACGGTTATTACGTCCATATACCGTTTATCATGATGTGAATATGAAATATAAATATGGAAATGAAAAATAGGTACGAACGTCAATATGTTACATATTTGTAGTCAGTTTTTAATTATATTTGCAGACGGATAAAAAACTTCTCAAATATTTATTATTATTAAAAAAATTGATCTTTGATTAAATATCAATAAAATGTGCAATAACTTTGTTTATGTACTTATATCAATATTGATAATAGTTGTGCGAAAAATTAAGGATTTTTTTTTATTTACATCAGGCTGAGTAAATATATACATATAATTTTGTTTTTAATTTCAAATAAATTTAGAAAAGAATGCAGAAAATTTTTCACAAAAAACGAGAGAGATCTACGCGCTATTATTTTTTAAAATAGTTATGTGTTATATATATCTAGTGTTACGTTATTAAGTAACTACATTCCTATGCTGATTCATTGTAATTCTTCAATCTTCGCGAAGAATCTTGAGTCATCTTGCGAATCTTCGTTTCTAACATCGGCTTAAATCAGCTTATATTGTCGTTAAATAGTACACGCCTAACTCCTGCAATAATGAACCATGAGCTATGCCTTTGACGAGGCGACAGGACAATATTTCTCGTGATGAGCGATCTAATTTTAATCGACAAACTTGGAACATGTGCGTGTGCGTGTGTCCTTGTACACATGAAAGTGCAGAATAGTGCGACTAGTAATTATTTGCGAATAATCGACCTTGTCTCGAATGTGCATATCTAGTTTGCGACTAACGATTCATGGAATTTACGTGGAATTTATCATACGTTTTATCGGCCAAGCTGTTAAGTTTTAATTTTCTAGAAAGATACGAATCACATTTGCAGAAACACACAATTATACAATTATATTCCTGTCGATGACACTGCTATTAAACACGCAATGTGATATTTTATATATTATTGAAGCCATAAAATAATTCGATTGGTTGAATAGATTTTATGTGGATCACCTTTGCATATTTCTGTATTTAAAAAATTGTGCATATCTTTCTTCTGAATTTCATCGTTGCATTTCTCGTCTGTATTTCCTTGTTCAAAGAAATGTATCAAATTTTACGCGAAATCGCGGTGATGCCGGCTAAAAGTAATAGCTCGAACTTTAACAGCGCAAATGTACAAGACAAAGCAATAATTTTAAGGCGATCTCGTTTCAAGCCAACGTTCCACGCCTCGTTTCAAGAGAACATTGCAACAAACCTTTCCGCGACTACGTGGCATTTCAATGGCGAGGGTCAGTCGGTAGTTACATAACGGCAGGAATATTTCAGTTGCGGCGGGGCGTTTAGGAATGCGCGAGCTAAGAAACTCGTAAGGAGTTTAAATTCTCAATAGGTGAAAGTCAGCTCTTTCAGGCGTGGGCTGTACACGAACGAACAAACGTTCCTGGGAATCATTCACTTCTTGCGTTCCTCCCCGCTCATTAATGTCGCGATAGTTCTCTCCCTTCCCAGCTCTCGCTAGCTTCTCTACGCCTCTCTCTAGTTATCTCAATCTAATGTTGTGTGTGATGGAACAATTAACTCTTGCACTCTGTGCACTTATTAAAAAAGATTATCAATGATTATAACTCACTTCTCGTCTCGCAGAATTCCCGATATTATCTCTCCGAGTCGTTATCATTGTATTAAATCTTATATTATATATCAGAATTACTCGAGATATAACGTTTTGAACATCTTGTTGGAGACAGGATGAACATTTTTTTTGCGTGATTATAATAGCTTGAGAAAACTTGGATTTTATCGAGAAGGTTGTGTAAATAACGAGACAATATTATAGTCATTATCGAGAACTAGATATTGTGCAATACTATTAAGTATTCAACAACAATTTTTTTCTAGATGACGTTTTTATCGTATTTTTCCATTAGAAACCTGTTAAATAGTTGAATAAAATTATACGATGTGGATAAAAAAAAATATCATCTTTACAATATTTCAATATTTATTTACTAATGCATTCATCAATTACTAATAAATATGGTTCATCAATTACTAATAAATATGATGGCAAATATGGTTGCTGAAATTGAAATTTATGTAGCACTATGTTGCAACATATTGCGTACATGTATGACAACACATAAGTAAGGAAATAAGACGTGCATTAACGATAAATGACAGCGAACTACCGTCAGATGCACATTTCTGTTTACGTCATACCGGATAAATTCAATATTGATGCGAACATCAAGCAAACCTATTGTCCGTCTTTTCTGTTTAAACAAGTGTGCAGTCTCATTTAAATATTTTCCGATCGTCTCATTACATCTCCAATGAGGGCAAGGGAATCCAGGTGATCGCGATATTGTAATTCTTTCTTTCACGGTGCATTGCTGAAGCTAATTGCAAATCCAATATCGAGAGTAATTCAATCTAAAAAGTTTAAAAAGCGTTTTATGCGATATAAATCATTTCCTTTTTTTTTCAATACAACGTAAAGCAATGCTTTCATCATATGATTTATACAGTTTCGGTCTCAAGAAGATCAAATATCCGTTTAATAATAGATTCCGTTGTCAATCTGGATCTTTTATTAGCGGAAACATAAATCGCTCATTATTTAAATCTATCGTTTAATAAATATTTCGTTTGAAACGCGTTCGTTTCTCGTTACAGAAATGCCCAGGATATTGCTATTCCTGGCCATTGGTTTGCTCGCGAGGGTATCGGGATTACCTAATGGAGCACCACCGAAGACATGCTCGAATTTGACGCCACATCATGAAAATACGTCCCCTCAAACGTCGTATCCACCTTATCAGGTGCTACCTGCAGCCGGACAAGGCAGGGTCCGGCTGATCCTCGGAAGTCCCGAGGGCCTTGCCTATCAGGGCTTCATGATTCTCGCCAGAGACATCGACACCGGCGAATTTGTGGGAGAATTCACGAATCTGCCCGATTCCGCGAAAATTGTTGAATGCACCCAAGGCGTAAAGGTACTTCACTAATTTTTATGATCTTGTTCTATTTGCATTTCAAATCGTTCGAAGAAGATAAATTAAGATTTAAGTGTTATAAACAATTTAAAAATTCCATACAAAAATTGCCTCACAATTCGCTCTTTAATTTAAAAAATATGAGAGAATTAATTTTTTACTTTAAAATTATATATTTAATTTTTTATGTTTACGATTTATTTTCTCTTCAAATTTCCGAAGCAAGAAGTGATATCGTCGTTGTATCGTATCAAACACTTGAAACATTAAACAATTGCAAAATCATATTTTCTTTTGATTGTGGATTTCAATCACATTGTACTACACGATATGATTGCGGCATAATGCGATATATAAAGCATCAGAATGCTCCATTTTCCTAAGCATTTTATTTTTATATCTGCATTAATAGTTTCTTCAAGGAAACACGAATCATTTATCGTGGTTCTTTCGTAAACGATGTGTAATTTCAATGATGTGCAATTTCTTATCTGAAGAAACTTTTCCTGTTTCTTGTGTCTAGAATGCTGTGACTCATACTAACAAAGACAAGAAGCAGAATCTGGAATTTGATTGGGAAGCTCCGGTCGATTACGAAGGTACCATTATCTTCAAGTAAGTATTGTATAATAATAATGATTCTTTAACAAAAGCATCGCGCGATTTAACTTGATTGTATCGAATGTTAATTCTAAATAAGAATCCTGCAAGCGATATACTCAAATTTTTTCATGCGCTGCATCTATTCAGTCAATGTCCCGCAAAATAATACTTATTAATTAATATCTCTCAGATTCGAGAAAACGTTATGATGCATTATGCGAATTATACTATACATCAATCATTCAATATAAAATTACTTTTTATACATATCTTTTTTGATTTACCTCAATTTTATTTGTATTTTTCATTGCTTGATTTATATAAATATATTTGCATAATTTATATAAACATAATAGATTGTTTATCACGTTTGAGGATACATACAATCATAAAAGATCACACATTATACGAATTTTACTATATCAATCATTCAATAAAATTATTTTTTATACATATCTTTTTTGATTTCAATTTTATTTGTATTTTATTGTTTGATTTATATAAATATATTTGCATAATTTATATAAACATAATAGATTGTGTATCACGTTTGAGGATACACACAATCAAAAAAGATCACACAGGAATTTGTTTACTTTCGTGAAATTGCAAAATTTCGAAACACCTGTAAAATTCGAAACAAGAAACATCCAGCATCCATGGAAATGGCTTAATTGTTGAGTCACGATTTTCGCGACTGATTTCAACTGAACACATACACACGTACGCGCGTGCGCACGTATCCACGCAAAAGCGCAATGTATGGTATCGCACTTGTGAATCACAATTAGGTATTACTGTACGCGCGGCTGCTCACGTTTGGAATTCAACGTGTTCGTGCGAGCATAACGGTATGAGAAGTGCGCGAAACATTCCTTATAAACTTTTCCTTGTAATAATCGATGCGAAGTAACTAATGCATATTTAGTAGGAAACGCGCAGCTGCAGCCCTATTGAAAGTTCGTAACTTATTTCGAGAAAAATTTGAATTTTATTTCGATTTTACGATTTCACTTGGGAATTTTTCGCTGCTTTTGCTTACGTCGATATTTATAGTTCGTCGCAAGCAGTATTAATAGAAAAATGATAAGGATTTAAGAGAAATAATTGTTAATATATTTAATATCATCAATATCAATATATAATTTTAATATAAAAGTTTTATTATATATAAATCTTATATATCCCATTAAGAAATATCAAAAATGTTGAAATACAATTATATGTACCATTATATTAACACCTGTGTAGACAATAGATGGATTGGAAAAAAATTAATGAAACTGTTATGTATTTGTAATTTTTGACCTCATTAATTTTATATATATGCTAAAAAATTTATCTCTTGTTATTTCTATTCATCTATTATAATTCACGCCTGAGACAATCGAAAATTAGAAAAAATGACTCTCTTACTAAGATTGAATGAAACCCTTATTAAGATATATTAAAATACAAAAAATCTTATTTCTTACTAAGATAGAAAAAATACTATTTCACGCGTTGAGCATTTAAAGTACTCCGTTATATATGTATGTTAAAAATAAAGAGAGAGAGAAAGAGAAAGAAAACGCAAAATGTTTCAATTTCCGAAAGATCAGATACATAATGTCATAAAAATTAATTTTTTTTAATTTCTCATTTTAAATCGCGTAAAAATATTTCTATATTTTTACCAAATTATTGGCTAATATTACAAAAATAATATTATATTTCATAATATATATTTTTTTAATAATGTTCTTTTTTATCGTGATTTATTCTAATATTATTTCAATTACTTTTACATGAAATTTTTGGTCCGAAAATTCTATTTTAAATTAACTAGAATATTTCGAAGTATCTTTCACTCTAGCTTTTTCATTAAAAAGAAAAAAATCTAAAATAATATTTAATATGAAAATGTACACATGTACATTTATGTGCAAATAGGAATATTCTTCACGTAAATTTTTCAATTTCCCGTTTTAAATGCAGCAGAGTATTTCAAAATATTTGACATTAAAGTAAATAAAATTGTATATTTATAATATAAAATTCAATATTTAATACAAAAATGTACACATCTGCATCGACTTTGGATTAAAATTGGAATTAAATTTGATAGAATAATATATGTCTTAAATGGTGCCATAATATAATTATATTCCGCAAGCTTTTTATATCGTTTAAAACCCTAAAGTAATAATTCTGACATTTCCATTTAATTCCGGAGTTTAACATCGCAACGCGCGCTACAGCTGATCATTGACCTCTCATTGTTTCTTTTGCAGCTCCACCTTCGCTCAGGATTACAGCACGTACTGGGTTGGTGTGGAATCGCCTAGAATCACCGTCAACAAGCGGTCCATCGACGTATTGACCTCACCTACGCCCGTCACTACCTTTAGGACTACCACGCCGCCCTACTATGGCCGCACCGTCAATTATGTGGTGAGTATTATATTTCCCGTCGTGTACCCGCCAGGAGGTAAATGCGCCCGACTATTACACAGGGCGTTAAACGATGTAAGCGGCCTGTAAGTCCCGATAGGTGCGGCTTTATGAACATCGCTCGTGGGATGCACGCGCGAACCGATCCGATCCGATCCGATTCAACAGAGGACACTATGTTGTAACCACAGTCAAAGAATTTATTCAGTTTACACAGAGAGTGCTTCAAAATCGTTGGGTATTCTTTTCGTCGATTCATTTGATAGAGATCTCTCCCAATAAAAATTTTATCGAAAACATGTGTTGCTAAAAAAAGTGTGATTCTTTTTAATGACTGAAAATAAACAAACTACGCGAAACGAAAATAAATAATATTTTCGATTAATATTTTAAATAAAATTTAATTTTAATTTGAGGTTTAATTACAGAAAATTACTTGAATATTGTAAAATGGTGAGAGATTTGCCTCAATGTTTTTGTTAGGAAAAAAATTGATTTAAAATTTTTTAAAAAATCTATCTATATATTTAATCCGTTTGTATGTCCCGCGGATAGCATTTTTATATGTAATTGTCCATCACCGACAGAGATCATATTATATAGAAAACCTGTTTGTTAGTTTATATACGATATAATCTATATTTTCATCAATCTTATATTTTTTTTTTCAGTAGATAATAACTTTCAATGAATTGTTCCGCGGATTAAAACGGATTTTGGGTTAAAATGCATTTAAATTCTCATTCGCATCGTGAACGAATTGCAGCGATACTCTAATTAATGAAAATTGTCAGTCCCAAGTAGGTTATATATTCGTGAGATAAATAAATAATTATTTGATACCAAATGAATTAAAATAGTTCACTCATAAATTTCCATTTTGCAGTTTCAAGTTTAATTAAAATCCATTTAATATCCTTATTAAGCATCTACACTCGACCGAATACAACTTATAATTGCAAAGTGGATCATTAACGGAAAATATAGAGCGCACTGATTTTCTACGTCTTTCGTTGATATTATTCGTATAGATCGAAATTTCGAAAGCTTCGACTAATGTGAAAAATATTTCTCATATCTCATATAATGATAGCGATCTGCACTATCGTGGAAAGTAAAAAATTTACGATGCGCACACATACGAAACGTATACAGAGGCGAACATAGCAGTGCGTGACGCGTGTTGCAGATGCATGAATTATGCACCTGTACGTGTATGCATGAATTCATATACATATGAATCTTTTAACGACATACAAACGCATAACGCACGACCGCAACTAACGTTCTGGAATTTATGCTTTATGTACTTTCACCGTTCACTTCCGCGGTCGTTTGCGATTTCGTATCGTCAACTTTTTATTTGCTTTTTTTTTCGCACGTTCGAGAATCATCAAGTGGAATTATTGAATGCGGCCGAAGATAAAAAGAAAATAAAAAATAAAACGAAGAGATATTCTGATTTACGGGTTGTAGCAAGCATCTTGGCAAGATTTAGTTCAATCCTTTCCGAATCCTTTGAATGCAAAAGTACTAAGTATTAATCCTGCATTTCTTGCGTAAAGTTTTTTCAAACTCACTGCATTTCGTTCGTCCTTTTTATGCTGAGTCGTCTTTCTAGTTCTATAATTTATTTTTTATAAAAGCATTTTTTAAAAGCAGAACTATATAAATTTTTTTGAAAAATGTGCAAAAACATTTTAAATCTTTTTTTTTTAATATTTAATGATATGAAAAAAGATATTTTATAGTCTCGATGTAAAATATATTATTTATGTCTAGGAGATAAAGGCAGGATTAATTTTTAATTTTTATAATAAAACGTAAATTTATGATAAATCAGAGAAATCTAAAAGAAATTTAGGAGAAATTTTATCAGGATATATTCATTCTTTCTAGAAAACCTACAAATTTAATTATTTGTAACGATTATTAATTTTACATACACATTTTTCAAATTTAGTTGAATTTGTTAGAGATTTTAAATATGATATTCATGTAATATATGTATCTGTAATTTATGAGCGAATTTTCCGTATTATGTAGATATATTACAATGCATAAATTTTTCTTACATCTTCCAGAGTTTTAGAAATAAGCTGATCGAGCAGAAAAACTTATCGACTGTTTTTCCTATAATATCTCAATAAATTCAGTCAAATTTATTAAGTAACTGTCAGATAAATATTAAAACTTTCGGATTTGAAATTTTTATTGTCGCTTATATGAATTGTTTCCTGTCGCAAGAATAATTTGATATTTTTCCATCAAAGATGATTTAATTCGCTTAAACAATATATGCAACAGATTCATTAAATAATTACATCCTGCTGTGCGGGCGAGTGACCTTTCCTTGAAAAGCGACGCTCGATCGTTCGCGATAAAAAAAACCAAAAAGCGGTAATGGCGAACGGAGGCCATCGGAGCGTGAACGCGCGATTTCGCGAAGCGTATCTAAATTGAAGCTTGGTCGTCAAGCTGTTTCTCTTTCTTCTGCCACAGATTTCCTTTTCGTTCGTTTGTAAGCCACGTTCCCGTAAATTGTTGCGCGCGATTTGCTTCGCAAGGTCTCCCTTATTAAGATTTCTCGCCGAGTCATATAGCGACTTCACAAAAAACTATTGCACGTTAAATCTATTTTTACAAATAATAATATTTATTATATAATAATAATATTAAATATTATAAATATTTTCTGCGTACATGAAATAACGGCATAGCGGTATAATTTAAGCTATTATCACGACTTCGCAGAAATTTATGTCATAATTAATTTCAATAATTAATATGTGCATAATATTTAAATAAAATTTAATAATAATTAATATTTAAATATTTTTTTAATAATTATAATTTCAGTACAGTTGAACCGTAAATAAAATAACAGTTAATGTATATGTGTATCGCGGTACATGATAATATATCAATATTATCAAAAATATATCAGTGCTATCCGGTATGTATTTCCGGAATTATAACTCATCATTCCGTTATATCTTGCTAGATTAAATCTGGTGAAATATAATCTAGTAAGTTTAATTGTACTGTCGTATATTTATATCAAAAGTTTTAAATCAGTTTGATGCTTTGTGCTATCATTGTGAAATCAAAACATGTCGTTTTCTTGTTGGCTCTTACAACAGAAATAATTCTACGCGAAACACTTGGTATTTACATCGTTGTTATAACTGTGTTACTTACGTCAGAGATAAGTGTTAATGCAATCGTGACTATTTTAATTTTATGCCGTCACAACGTGCCGTCAAATTATGTTTGCATTGATAATACACGTTGTTTAATATTTGCCTCTTGTCGGAAGTAGAATTTATAATATTTCTAATCTGAAAACACAACTGTGGTTTCACAAAAAATTTTTCATACAACGTAAACCGCTTTATTTATATAACAAGGTTTTTTAGAAATTTTTAAAATTACTCAGATGACAAAAATACACCAACTTTAATTTCAACGTCTCTATTTTTCTTTCTTATGTGTTTTTCAGTTTTACCATTTAATAAGACGTGTATTTTTTTCTTCTGGATCTTATTTGCCTTGTATACTTAATTAAGAGTTGCTTAAAGTTATTATAATTTGAATTTCCTTTACGATGTAATAACGGAGCAAAATATTTTTCATCTCTAGAAATCGAAGTAGAAAAACCTCGTAAACAAATATAAGCAATTTTTTCACGATGAATCGTCGATTCTAAATATTTAAAACTCCATCCTGTTTTGCTGGTTTTTTTCACCCGTTGTTTAATTTAACGGCGAAAGAATGTTGCGCAATCTCCGCAAATCGCGTCGTGCAGCGCAGAGATCGTATCTCGCGGAATGTGGCATCTCGCGCTTTGACAAAATTCCTGCGTCATACCCAGGTGTGTGTTTTCGTTGCAGACGCAGAATGAGGAGGACCCGTTCTATACGGGCTGTCACATCACCAAGAATTGCTTTGGCGCACCCGCGGACTGTATAAAAACCAAGGACTGCGCCGCCGTGGTGGCCGTGATCGTGCAGGGAGAGGAATATCATTTCGAGATGCAGGCGCGGGGGGAGGCCAAATATGTCGCTGTCGGTCTGTCGGACGACGAGAAAATGGTAATTGCGCGAGAGAAGCTGAGCTTGACTATCTCGCATAGCTTTTTCCCTCGGACACACGTGCGATTTATGTAAGCGGAAATTTGCGAATAGAATCCTCGCGCGGGACTATTTTATTAAGAGCTATCTTTCCTCACTGCATTGTTCAATCGTTTCTTTGGAATTTTCAATCATCCTGCTTTAGTTGAAAAAAAAATTCCTTTTCTTTAATTTTCAGCATTTTTCTTTTTTTTCTTGTCTTTCGAAAAAAATTTTTATTCCGTCTTTAATTATTCTTCGAAATATTAATATTATGGATGAGTATTATTATTATGGAATTTATCGCATCCATAATATTTGCGAAATGAATGAAATGCATCATCGGCGCATAATAAATACGTCTCGATGATTACAGTTCGATGATTGTAACGTAGAGATTTTTAATTGTACTCTAATTCTACATTTGAAATTGGAATTTATTACGGACAGATTTTCTTTATTTATTAAAATTTACTGCGAATGGACTTATTTATTACGCCAATTTATTTATATTACGCCACGTGAAGATGCTCAACATTTATTTGGCAATTAAAATCGCATTGTCACTGCAGAAGTTGCAACGCGAATATATATCTGCCTTACGCAATTAATTACTCGCGTAATTGCGCGAGATCAACGATTAAGTAGTAATGGTTGAGTTATAATATGCGGAATGTGATGCACAGGGCGACGACAGCGTAGTCGAGTGCACGAACGAGGAGGGCGAAATTGCGTTACATACGTCTTGGAATTCCGGAAAGCGGAATACGCGCCATCCGACGGTGAGTATCGTTTATTATGCTACACCGAGTCAGATGCACTTCCGTGCTAATTAATTCGCCCTATGTTCTGTCGTGGGCAACGAGTCTGGCCCATTAGATCCCAATTATTACACTCGCGTAGCCGACGATGTTACTCCCTCTGTTACGGTAATGCATAAATCTTTAAGCTCTACGAATAATTACAAAGTTGGAGGAGGTATTTTCACGTACTTGATGCAAGCTTATCAACAGCAAAAACTTTTATCGCATCCATATTAACACGTTAATCCTTATTCGAGGTAGATTATTTCAAGTAGAATCTTAAATTTAGTTTCCACTCGAAATTTAAATTCAAGTGTTTAATGGAGTATTTTTATTAAGGCGAAATTAAGGATGTTTTGTACCTATTTTCAAAATATTGACAATTTAATGAAAATTGTACAGAATGTCCTTACATATGTTTAGAATCTTCAGTACAATTTTTAAATCGATTCACTAAAGCGTTCACAAGTTGTAAGGATTTTAATTTGCACCGAATTAACATGTGTTCTTATGGGAAACGTATAACCACGTCGATCCAAATGACAAAAACACATGGAAATCATATTCAGAATTTGTTTAAAATTTGCAAAAGTTTAGATACAGAGGAAATATTTGGTCAAATAATATTATACAAGTAATATGCAAGTATAAACTAACTGGTTAAAAAGATATTAAATATAATTTAATGAAGTTAACCATGTCTGTCACAAGACGAAATCTCTGCCAAAAGTTAATCATTTCGATTAACAAAATTCGGAATATTTCAATAAAAACGCAATAAATATTAAAAAATACATCTCTGCACTGTAGCTAAGATCAAATTGTAATATTTCACACAATTTCTCATACTCAAAATACATCAAAAGTGAATATATTCGTCAATATTGATTTTCAGCTACTTTTTGCTGGGATTGTAACATACAAAACATCCTTAACTACAAATGAGCAAAGAATATTTCTGCAAAATTTAACAATATATTTTAGAATTATCATATGTTGGGAATTATCTCCATCTCTCGTTCTCGAGAGATTTATGTCTGACAAATCCCTGCTCTATTCGCGATTTCATCCACAGCCGGAAGGTGCGATCGAATTGGAAAACAGCTCGATCAAGAATGACGTGATCTATTGCAAATTTCGACGGGACAAACGCACTATTATTCAAGGACGTACATACGACCTTGTTAATACTCCGTACCATCTTCTCGTGGTCGCTGGCAAAGATCTGCGAGGTGTGTATATCAGCACGTGTGTATTTGCAATTTTAATAACATCTCTCACTGGCAATTACCTTTAATTATTAAAAGGAAAGAATTTTATCAAGGATCGCGTTAATGCTAGATTTATGACGTAAAGTTTTGCACTTCTCTAAATAAAAGCCAAAGAAACGTCAGCGACTTTGCAAAGTTTGCTCCTCGCATGTTCTCGCTAAGAGCAAAGTGCATAAAAACTTTACAACTTTCGGCGAAGGTTGCGATAACTGCAAATTTCATAGCTTCTTTGTTTTCGTTCCAACGGGAAAGTGAATAAAATGTGATTCGTACACTGATAGATCGCATTTCTACAATTCTTATTTTACAGAAAAGAGAAAAAGAGGACAATGATTATGATAGACAGTTAAAATAAGTCTGTGACACATTCGTCAAGGAAAAATTATTCTTGCTTATATGCGAGTGATTTTTATAGATATCGCAATTATCTTTTTTTTTTTTAGCAAATGGCGTTGACTTTCACGACATTGTCTATCTTGGAACTAGCAACTCGAAGAAATTGGCCGACGTTGGAGAATGGATTCCAGCCAGCGACCTACTAATTCGCCTTCACGGTGCACTCATGTTGGCGTCGTGGATAGGCACGGCCTCCATCGGGATGCTACTTGCGAGATACTACAGACAGACGTGGGTTAACTCTCAACTGTGTGGAAAGGATCATTGGTTTGCCGTAAGTGCGCAGCTTTTCGGGCAATCGAGCTACTCTATGTTTAACATTTCACGCTTTTTAAATTATACAGTCGTTCTCGATTTATTTTCACTCGTCAAATATGTCGCAATTAAAGAATCAACGTGAAATAAAAATACGAATGCCTTTAATTAATTTATTTGACTTTTGTTTTTGGTTCTACAAAATTGCTATACTCATTAATTTTGCAATAATATTGGAATAAATATTTTTCAAGTAATTTTATTCTAAAAGACTTTAAATTCTTTCAATTGATATTTTAATAAATTGATATTTAATTTCTTTAGACTAATTAATACACAAAGGGAAAGCGGTTTTTCATCGATATCTTTCTCTAGCGTTCCTTTCATTTTAATGAAACCCTATCGATTTTTTTTCAAGTGGCACAGATTCTTCATGGTGCTCACTTGGTCGATGACGATCGCAGCCTTCGTAATAATATTCGTGGAATTGGGCACATGGAGTTCCGCGACGATACACGCTTCCGTCGGTCTGGCTACTACAATTTTGTGCTTTATTCAGCCCTTCATGGCAGCCATGAGACCACATCCCGGCGCACCGCGAAGAGTTCTTTTCAATTGGGCTCACTGGTTCGTCGGTAATGTGGCAACAATATGCGCTCGTAAGTTATACAAATGTCCCATATTTTTTTGCCGTATTTGATATTACATTTTCTCGTCCTTTATTTATTGTTGTTTGAAGAACATACATTTCTTTTACGTATAATGTTTTGAAAAATGGATTATAATGCTTCATAAATATTTTGAGACTTTTAATAACCTCTCTCATTTGGTTTTTAACTATTTTCTCTTTTAATTTTGTTTATTTGACGCTCTCAAATATTCATTTTTAACTCATTTTTAAATTTTTTCAAACATCTAGCATGAAACATATAAATTCATTAACTTTATTATTTTCTTGATATATTTGATTTAATATAAAATATATCATGAATGATATCAGATGGAATAAAAATAAATATCTAAGAATTAGTTTTTTTTTTTAATATGAAACTTTTATAAAATTGTATAAAATATAAAAATGTTTTCCTTTTTCCATAGTAATCGCGCTTTTCTTTGCGGTACGACTAAACAAGGCCAATCTTCCGCAATGGGTCGACTATATTCTTACCGCATATGTGGTATTCTACGTTCTGACTCATCTCATTCTAACAGTAAGAGTCATTGTCAAATTTTTGTGCAGAATTCCAAAAAAAATCACGTTCTAAGAAAATCTAACCAAACGATTTATTAATCTAAACTTGCAATAATCACGCAATTTGACATCCGATTTAAATTGATTAAAAATTGAATAAACTTTTCATATTATGTGCTTTTTTGTAGAAAATTAAAATTTTTAATTTTGCACGATATTTCGAGAAAAGCGATCAATATCTAATGGAATTTTTACGTCGAATTGCGTTATTCAAGACTTAATTCACCTTTCAATTGCTGTTATATTTGTTACATTCTTGTCGATTTATGTTGCAGTTCCTTGGATGCGTCTCTGATAGACAAGCCAGTCAGAGAGTGAATTCATTTCCGATGAAAGACATGCATTCTCGCGGTTCAATGGTGCATCCAGATGCGAGGCGAGACGCTCCTGTAAGATTTTCTAAAATAAGAGTGACGTGATCGAACAATCTTCTAACGCGCGTCAATTCGCCTTGAAACATTAATAAGATTGTTAGAGATAGAAAAAGATGATAATATGCTTAACAACAGTTGCATTTATCATTCAGCAATTTTCTCGTAATTGCAAAATCTGTCAATAACAATAGTGAAATCTAATTACAATCCTTTGACATAATGAAAAGGAAAATTCTACGCGCTAAAGGACGATTAGATGTTCTACGCATTCATATAAGATAGATTTAATTTTTTATAAATAAAATAAATTAAATAATCTCTCTTTTTCTCCCTTTTTTAGGAATTTGATTTTAAAAATTCCGGATTCTATAAAATTCCTTTGGTAAAAAATTTTCAAGAAAAATTTATAATAGATAAATATTTCGTCTTTTTTCACGTGCACACATATCCAATAAATTGTACAAATAAATCAATAGCTCCTGATATTATATCGATGTCGCGGAGCAGTACCGCGTTGCAAAATAATTTAGTATACAAACAAATATCAGTGCGCAAACAAAATCTCATTGAATATTTTCCCGACAGCACTCCGGCGTACGCAAGTTCATTTTCGGTGTGTACTTTGTGGTTATCGTCGCATTCGCCGCGATCCTCATAGTGATCACCGTGTTGGCGCCTATCGAGGAAACGTGGGCCACCTTCACCAACACCATATCGAGTTACTGAGGCCGCTAATCAACGTCCGTGGAAATATTCGTCACTGCGCGATATTCCCGAGTGAAATATTCCGACCGGATAGCTCGGAGACCATCGTAGCCGTTGCAGCAACGATATATTCTCTCGACTCGACTTTCTGTATGCAAATTATGCATACGAAGAATGTGTAAATCCTTATTCGTGTAAAGATGCAAATCGCGCCCCGTGGCAGATGCATATATGAGAACGAAAAGATTATTGTTGGTGCGACGAGTGTTTTTTAAGTTTCTTTTTTAAGTTACGAAGATTTGTCAATTTCTGTTTTGATTATATATGATTATATCGTAATCAAAGATGAGTTTTTCTGTATATAACGTTTTTAATTTACTCGAAAGGTGTAAAGCCTAAAATTTACATACTTCATTAACAGCTATTAACAAATGTTTTGCGATTACACACGGAGTATCTTATTGTCTATATGTCTGATAGATTTGAAAATCATTTTTCATTAAGAAACTGCCATTAGATCCAAAATTTGTAGCGTGATTATAAAGACTAGAATAAAAAAAACTCGAAAAATATTTTTTTTTTTTTCCCGAATATAAAATGTAAGAAACATATGTAATGCAATATAATTTTATCTGTAAAAAGTATTTAGAGTCCAAATGTTTGATATTTTTTTTTAAATACTGATATTAATCATATATTTCTACAATGAGCATGATATTAATATACAGAGTCTTTCAAAAATCTCAGAACGGTTAAATATCTCAAAAACAAAGCATTTTTGAAAAAAAATGTTTCAGACAAAAGTTTTAAAGTTTTAAAAATTCTATTGAATGATCATATTCGTTTGAAGAGCTGAAGGTCATATAAAATTCAACTTTGTTTTTTTAATGGTTTTTTTTTATTTTAATGGAATTTCCTATTTTCTATTGCATATTTTTATTTCGAGAACTTTCCAAAACACTATAGTATTTTTTTAATAGTTAATTATTTCTCAAATTTTGAAGCTTGAAATAATTTTTTAATTTTACATAAACCATAAAATATTTCGTAAAATATTCATTTTTCGATGATATTACCTCAATACTTTTATACACAAAATAATGAAAGGAATCAATTGGTGTAAAGAAAACATGCAGTTGTTTTTAAGGAAAAATATGTAATTTGCAATTAAGAGTTACGAATTTTTTTTAAACAACTATGTGTTTTCTTACATCAACTGATCCCTCTAATTTGTGTATAAAAGTATTGCAGTAATAGCATCGAAAAATAAGTATTTTACGAAATATTTTATAGTTTATGTAAAATTAAAAAATTATTTCAACTCAATCGAAAAGTACTTAAACTTGAATAAAAAAATATATTTTATTATAGTGTTTTGGAAAGCTCTCGATGATAAGAATGTGCAATGAAAAATGAGTTTCATTAAAAAAAACAAAGTTGAACTCCATGTGATTTTGACCCTACACCAGTCAAATGGATATGACCATTCAATAGACTTTTTAAAATCTTAAAACTTTTGCCTGAAACATTTTCTTCAAAAATGCTTTGTTTTTGAGATATTTGATTGTTTCGGGACTTTTGAAGGACTCTGTATAGATGCATAATTGATATCGCGTTCTTATGATTAATGTATTGATAGTTGTCAAACATTTGTATAAGTATTATGATATTATATATAGTATCTAAAATTAATAATTTAAGTATATACGCAAAGTTGTAAACTTTGTTGCAACGTTTCTTATTAATTCTTAATATAATAAATTAACTTGCCTATTAACATGATTTTTATCAACTTGCGATTAACACTCATATAATCGAAATAAAACAAGGATCCTGTATAATATTTTATTTAATCGTAAATATCGACATGTATTAAGAAAGCACAAAAACTATTTTTAAAAATTTAATATATATTTTAGTATGTTTATATATTCATATATTATATTTAATTTTAAGTTTGATGTTTAATATTAATTGCTAAGAGATATTTAATATTAATTGTTAAGAGATATGAATGATTTTATCGATTTTCCTCTTTATAAATATTACATGTTAAAATTTTGTAGTAAGATTAATTCTTGTGATTTGATTAATTTTACTTTATTTTCGGCAAGAACTTGAGGAAGATCGGTGAAAACGCAAGAATTTTTATAAGATTTTCATATTAGATAGTCACAGTTATGTTAAAATTTCAAAAATTTTTTGCTTGAACAGTGTTTTTTACTTACATAATACATATTTATAATAAAAAATTTGCAGTATTACCTTTTTTAAATATTTTTTTTGCTATTTTATAAATTTTGATACTTTATATTATTTATGTCGATTTTATGACCGATGCAATTGATATTATGAGTAATAATGAATAATAATATAATGTTAGCCTTATCGATTGTTAATAAATATATATAAATATACACACAAATATACAATACGCTTTGGATTTTGTCAATATAGTCATAAGATAAATGGAGAAGAATTTATGTATGTCCCGGAAATAAATATTTGATAACTTAATATATAGGGAGTGTTAGAGATAAACACCTAACAGATTATAGTCAATTTTTTATGTATATTACAAAGTGGGTAAAAGTTGTTCTTTATAATTTATAATTACCGAAATAATTTGCTAGATAAAAATAATTGTGACGAGTATAATTGTTTTCTTTTTAATATTAATATAATAAAATTCGCAAAGTAAATTTATATTTTTCAATCATATAAAATTACATAAAATTATCTTTAAATATGTTGATTTAAAATATATTATATATATATATATATATATATATATATATATATATATAAAATGGGGATAGTCGTCTGACTAAATAATATAAAGATGACACTTAAACAAAAACGAAAATATTTAATACAATAAAGTTCGTCAAATTAAATTTGTAATATTCAGCTGACAGATCGATTTTTTTTCTCTATCGTGGTAAATACAAGATTGATTCGTTTTTTATCGTTTATTTGATGCTTCAATGATAATTGAAATGAAATTATTGGATTTTCTATTATTGATTTTTGGCTCCGTGTATAACGATAAATATATTCCATGCATAAAATCTCCCAAACTACACTAAAACCAGATGTTGCAATTCTGTACTGCAATGTTGTGGAGACATTATAGAATTGCGATATTCTAACACTGTTGCAGTGACATTGCATAACGTATATTGCAATCTGGCAATTATATTTCTGCAATATTCCTTGGAAATTTTCTATATTGCATGGAACGAGATATAAAATATAACAAAAAAATATCGTTAATTTGAATAACTATTAAATAAAATTATTATTCTATCGAAGGTGGAGGAAAGGGCGAGAATATCTCGCAAGATTGTTAGATTTTCGTAAGGATTATCCCCTTCTTTATTATCCCTGAAATCATCCGTTTATTGTCAGGAGTGTACAGAATAGGTCACTGGTAGAACACGATTAACTGTGAGGTGCTGCTGTTAACCGGATTAGGTGGAACTTGAGTTTTCTGAAGTAATAAAGGGAAGCTCTACAAACTGATGAAATTCATAGCTATATTCTATATACTGGGTGTCGCAAATAAACTAGGTGACTAGAAAGCGTTTGCGATCAAGATTAATTAATATTTAGCACGAAAAGTGTCTTTAAAGATATAAATATATATATATATATATATATATGTATGTATATACCAAATTTATTATCTTTAAAAGTCATTTCTTTTCCAATATCTCATTGTCGAGATTATTATTAATAGTATTTTATTCGTAACATTTAATCGATTTTTCGTTAATATTTAAATTGTTCAAATTAGTTTTTGACACTTAAGGGACATTGATATATAATTATGAGTTAATTTAAAAGAATAAATCAGAACAAAATTTCCACGAATTTATTACCGACTTTTATAAGATAAAAAATTAGAAATAAATTTACGACGTCATTGTATTAATTTTTTTAAATTAAATTTCAAAGATTATTCGAGATAAATTACTCGATACACTTTGTGTCATATATTATAATATACTTTTCTTTATCAATTAAATTCTCAATTCATTTTACAATTTAATTAAAATAATAAATTACACTACAACAATTAAAATAATAAGAGGATGCATAATTTGTTTAAGTTCGTTTTTAAAATTCTAATATATGGGCACAGAATTGTAAATAAATCGGAATAACAAATTAATGACGTGTATAAACAAGATGAATTATGCACTGATAAGATACGACTTATCACAATAGACATTCTCATTCCATTAATTTTTGGCTACAAGCCAGGAGCTTTAAAACTACTACTAATCATGAAGCCAATTCAGTGATAACATTCCGATAATGGTTAAACTTACCCGACACCAATCAACAAAGCCCGAGAACGTATGCAGGACTGTGCATGTGCTTTAGCTGGAATCTTTCTTTCCTGTAAAAAATAACATATTCTTATTCAAATATATTTAATAATAATATTAAGGATTTCAGTTATTATTAATATTATTGAAGTTTTATTATTGATATTCTTCATATGACTGAGAAATATTAAAAAACTAAGGATTCAAAAAAATAACTTTTTCAATATATATATATAAAATAATTTTTTAATGTAATTTTTATTAATAGAAATTATAAAGAGTAAACTTATGCGACAATTTAATTTTTATTTTATTTACAAAAAAGGCATCATCTATACGAATAAAAGTTTTTTAATTTTTTTTAAATACTAAGCTATTTTTAATATTCGTAGAAAAATTATATAAATTATAAATATTTATATAAATTAATTATTATTTATATATTTATAACTCTCTAACAGTATTACATATAATATTTCAAAATAAGTCTAAATTGAATTATATTTTGTTATATGATAAAATAAGTAAATTTAATATATTTAACATATTTATTATGTAATTATTTGTACGCATAAACTTATTTATAAAATCAATTATTTACAATTTATAATAATAATTTATATTAATTTATATTAATAATTTAATAATATTAAAATATTTGGTTATAATATATGTAAGTATGAAACGTGTATTATGTATTATAGTACTAAATAATATATAATAATTTTAATTAAATGTTTGTAGAAGATTGATGTGAAAGATTCTCGTGTAAGATTGCTTTGAATGCTTTCATACTTGAATTTTAAAATTGCTTTTTAATCTTTTGTTCTTTCTTTAAGGCAAACTGTTCTTAACTATTAAAAAGTAATTAATCCAGCATACTTTTACTTTGTGTACATACATATATTTACACATTTTATATAGCAGAATTTCTGTTGAATTTTCAAATATTTTATATCTAAGCAATTGAATATTCTTATTGAATTCTCTGCCATGTAATGGTCAATTTAACATTTAACTAGAATAGTGAAGACATCTAACGTAACTGGAGCGCACAGGTCTGATGGACCAATCATCTATTCTCATATATTGAAGCAAATGTGTTAAAAATAAATCCATTAGACGACAAGTTTTCAGAAAATAGAAAATAGAAACACAGAAAATTGACATAAAATAGAAACATTTATATAAAATACAAAAAAATATTTTACACAAAAAATATCAACGAAAACTTTTCATGATATTTTAAATTATAATTTTAAAAAATTTAGATAAAGCTCATCTATTAATTCAAAATATCAATAATAATATCATAGAGTTTTTTGGATATCTTAAATCCAGATTTTAATTAAATTTACAGTTTGTTAAAGGATTAAGCTCACATTAGTTTAAAGATACAAAAATTGAGATTAAAATCGCACTATGATTAAAGATTATTTAATTATTAATTGAGAACTGGCAGGTCATTGAATAATATATTGCGACTGTACTAGTATTTGAACTTCATAATCTCAATTATCGTCTATATTTTAACTTTGATCGAGCGAAAATTCCAATTTTCAACGCTCGACCTTAATCTTCACAATAATTTAATACAGAATTTGTAGTCCCCAATTTTTCAATCATTTCCACGAATGCGAGGATATCACTCAAGGTGCAGGATAAACGCGACATATTCCTGGCTCGCCTGTTTGCGTACAATTTCGCACCCCCGGCGATACATCCCTGGACGTTCTCTCGCGCACCCTCGATCGGAAAGCACGCATTTCAAAGCGGAATGTTTTCGAGGGGGTTAGTAACGCACGCGACGGCTCGGGCAAAAAAATGGCGGCGGCCGATCGAAGGCGGTGGTGGTAGCGATGGTGGTGGTGGCGACGACGGCGGCGTCCTTCGGCGGCGCCACCGTCGAACTACCCCCGCAGTTCGATTGGAGACACCGGCCGGCACCGACGGCCGTCGCGACGCTCCGCGACGCGTGTGTGCGTTGGTTCGTGCATTCGCATCGTTCGCGTAAAGATACGGGAGTAAAAGGGGATAATAAGAGGAGAGAGATTCGTCTGCGGCGAGAGAGAAAGAGAAAGAGAAAGAGAGGAGCGCGTCGTGCGACAGGTACGAGGACGATCGCCGGGCTTTACCGGCGCGACGTGTATCCAGTGGCGATCGAGACGAGGGGGTTGCGTCGCGAATTCCCTGCGAGAAAAACCCGGGGATCTAGTGGCATCCGTGAAACGGTCTTCGGATTCTCAGCCGCCTCGATTCCCGCCTCGAATCGAGGCGCGGAAGGGTAACGTTTTCCCGAAGGGCAACGCGTCGCGACGCTTTTTCTCTTATTGATTCAGCCCTTTGGTTCGCGGCCCGTGGCGCGATCGCTCGATAAGTTGCGTGTTCGCTCGCACGCACCGTGAGACGTGTACTTTCGGCGCCGAGTCGCGCCAAGTTTGGCCTATCGATCAGAAATTACTCTTCACGAATGATTAATCGTTTTCCTCGCGCGATAAAATATTGTCTCATTCTCTTCGGAGTCGCTTGCTTGTTGCTTACGTTACACGCTACGGCCTCTTGAGGGCTGATCTTTCCTAGGAAATAAATTTTATGCTTAGTTGTGTAGATTATTCGGTAGGTAATTCTTGGATATATTAGTAATAAAAATTAATTTTTTGATTAAATAATATATTTTATACACATATTCCGATATACGATACAAATCAACATTTATTTTTAGGAAAAAAAAAAATATTTAACACGTTTATTTTCCGTACAATTTTCGGGATATAAATTATTAGAGAAAAAATTCCATCAGCAATTATTTTTATCGAAATTTTTCTAGCAATTTGTCAATTATTCTGAAAAATCACCGTATATTGCAATATCGCGTTATCGAACACTATTTCTTCAAATTATATGAGCAAACAATACGCAATGATTTTTATCATCAGGCATGATTTGAATATTCAGTGGCGCAAATAATGGGAAATTTAGAGTTCGCGAATATTTACTCCCAATCAAATTGCGACACGAAATGGCTTTAAGCTACAGATCGAATGACGTTGAACCGTCAGTTTGTTAAGGTTTGAAATCTGTTTGTTATCAACGCCGCCGGATAATGGTACAATGGTGCAACTTGATTCTCCCTTTGTCACATTGTATTTTGCAGCTGGCTGTGAATAGTATCGCGCAAAAAAAAGCTGTTCCGAAATTCTCGACGGACTGTATTGCGCAAATACTAAATTATTACGAGTTGTGGTAAATGTAAAGCCATCTCTCCATATCACGCATGCAATTATTATATTTTGCGTCCATTAAATGTACATTAATTCGTAAAAGATTACGATCTAACTTTAATATTATAAAAAACGAGAGATTTCTCTCTCTTTCTCTCTGTCTCTGAAACATACATACATTTCTAAAATATATTTTATCATTGACTGTTGTATTTAATTATCGCACAACGACTTTGTCATATTCAATATTTATGAGATGTTTGACATTTAATTACGATCTCATTAAATACAATATCAGCTTATGTCAGAAAATTGTTGATTTAATTTTACATGCATTATTTTGTATTCTACATCAAATCCACATACATACATATACTCGGCATATTATATGTTAATGTTTAATTTATAATTGCTAATTTAATTTGTCATAATTCATCTTACAAATAGAGATACGTATTAGTAATACATATACATAATAATACATAGTACAATAAGTTATTAAATAAATGTTCATCAATCACACATAATAAATAAAATTTAATGATATCCATCGCGAGGTAATTTATTTTGTAGAATATAAATTCATGCATTTAATATATGAATAACAAATGTTATAATATTCACACTCACACATTAAAAATAAATCAGGGAAAATAACAACTTTTGAGACAAAAAAAATAATATCTTTTAACACATAGAAAAAGTTTAAATTATATAACAATATCGTGCAAATTATTATACCGTGCAAATGTGGATATCATGTCTGATAGACAATTTTTTAAATAAAATTTCTATCTCTATATTTCTACTCGTTTTGCAAATATGATGGTTTCCATAATTTTGCTATCTTGTATGTGATTGTACAAAATACAAAAGTTGATATAATTGATAAAATTGCAGAAAATGAGCAAATCTAATTATTTTATACTCTTAATTCTTTCAAGATTTAAAAATTTTCTTATTTCAATCACAGCTTTTCAAGAAGGAAGACTTAATTCGTGTCATTTTTGATCTCACGAGTTCAAAATTAATAATACCAAATAGAGAAAAAGATGTGAGAAATAAATCATATTTTTGCGATATATTCGTAAAATATCGGAGTGCAACGCGATAGATATAAACGAGGCGTTTTAGCTGCGACTGCTGCAGCTTACATCGCGTGACCCGGGAATGGAAATTTCGGCCACCAGGCTCTGCCAGGGTAATCTTATCTGCTGCAACTTCGTGACATCACCCAGTGACTTAAGCTGAAACGTCAACTATCGACTACGACAGTCGATATCGAGCTTCGGGTCTACCTCGATTCACGTCGAAATTTTAAGGCCTTGTATAAAAACGGTGTGGCTTGCCTGATATGATCGACAAACCGATTGCTTAACTTTTTCGCGAATTATATGAGCCACAAGGCAAAGGCTTGTAACGATTTTCATTCGCTTTTTCTTTTTAAACTTCACGTTGCGAAAATAATGTGCTTTTCTTACACAGTACGTAATAAACTCTTCTGTTTTTTTTTCTTCTTTTTATTATTTTTCTTTATTATAAAAGTTTTTCTAATTTAGATAAAACGTCGTAAGAAAAGCGTGAGAAATTAAAACGGCGCACACAAACAACGATAAAAATAACGTATATAGTACGGAGAATTCCTTTTTATCGACCTTATGCACCTTAAACTAAGTGCAATCTAAATTGATACAGTCCCGACGAGATAAAAATTTATACGCGATATTAACGTAACTACTATATATTTCTACACAATAACAAGATTACCTGCTCCAATAATATCTCTGAAAATTTAATTTTAATCACAGTACGCGGTGCATTTTTGTTTCTATTACAGCCACGCTTTGCGTACTCGGACCTGACAATGTAACGATCTAGTAGAACAGAAGCCCGACAAGCAAAAACCCAATTCGAGACGCGTTAACATTCGCGAGTCTGCGTGTCGGCGAACCCGAGCGTTAATCCGACTGTTGCAGTAATGTATCTTGCATTTTCCGCGACGCAAACATCTTGTTGGTTGTCCGCGAGACGTCTCGGGGAATCTCCCGGAAGAAAACACGCGATTTATATCCTATCCCCTTTTGCTTCGTGAATTTTGTAAGAAAAAAAGGACGGGGAAAAAGAGGTAGGGCGGGAGAAAGAAAGAGAACGAGGCGAAAACAACCCCTTTGTGCGAGCCCGCGGGAAATATGCATGCACGCATTGATATGCATACGGTGTCAAGTAAATTTGCATCGGGTATCGCGCGAAAATAGAGATCTATCATTTGCTATGATATAACGAGTATAGTAAACGCCGCGGATACTTTGTTACGCGCCATTTGCAACTGAATCGACTCGATCTATATCAATTGACTTTGGCAGAAATGCGAGTGATAATGATCGTCACAAGAGCTAATCATGATAGATAACTAAATTCATATCTCATAAAGTTACGTGGAATTATTAAAAAATTTTTACAATTTTCTAAATATCTGTATTTTTCTCTCTCATTAGTATCTGAACCTTATTATCGGGTTTACTCGTTTTAGAATCCATTTAAAAAGTCATACATGCAAAAGAAGGGGAGAACATTGTTTTTATAAAAGTTTCTCGAGTAATGTTCATAATATGATTGTTGAAAACGTGGGATCACTTTTCTGAATTTATAAAAATTGCCAAAAAAAGGAAAGATTATTTTCCTTGGAATTTTAATTTGATATCGTTATGGATTTTTCAGTTATTGATTTTTTCGTTCACAGAGTGTCATCAGAGCTCGCGTGATCGATCATCGCGTTGTGAAGAGTGTCTCGGGCCGGTGTACCTCGAATCTAGTCTGGTGCTAATAATCGGGAATAATTAGTGATATAACGGATTAAGATAGAGTGTCTCGCGTGTGTCGCGTGGTGATCGACAGGATTCCGCTGGAGCATGCGACAGTAAGGACTTATCAAGCCCAGCGACACGTGCATGTTTATCGCCGGACGATGGCTGGACTACGCTACGTTTCCCGGCTCTTCGTCATCCTGGAATACCTGTCGGTCGTTCTGGTGCTCGCCCAGAACCCCGTGGAGGACAAGACCACCTTCGAGGCCGCTTTCCAAGGCAAGCACTCCCTTTTATTTGTGTCCCCACTCCTGGGATTTATGAACTCTTTCGTAGATGCCGTTATGTATGATATATTGTTGGCCTGACTTTTGTTACAATCGGTAATATATTACTGCGAAAGAAAAAGCTACGAATCATCTCGCATGAGACTGATACGTAACATTGTGTGCTTTTAATATACGACCGTCGTTATTTAACAATGAATTTCGCGTTATGACAGAAACGATCAATTCTCCATTATTTATCATACGTATTTTGATATGTGTATTTCGTAATTCCAGTTACTTAATTAATTTTTATTATAATTGAGATTGAGCCAATAAATTGTATTTGAACCATGGAAAAAGAATTTTAGAACTGGTTGTATTTGTAAAAATAATTTGTTTTAAATTAGTTTTTTAATCGATTATTTTCTTAATTCATAGATGCTTTTAAGTTTATCTTTAATATAATTTTATTAGATTTAAAATCATGCATGCATTGCATTTATGTACTTGCAAGTAAAGTTGCAGTATTATATAAGACTCGACACGTAGAACAATAAATAAGCTTTTATTTTAGAAAAGTGTATAATTTAAATCTACTATTTTTTTACTACTATATTTTTTTTATTTTTTTTTACAACATCTCCTGGTTCATAATAATTTCTTGCGGAAAATATTGCACACAATAGAAAGTTATTAAAGTTACTCATTGAAAGTGAAAAAATATATACTGCATGCAATACGTGGTCGAACGAAATATGAAGTGAAAAATATATATCGAAGATAAAATAATTTTCTTTTCATGTATACCTATTGTTAGTTAACAATGAATCTAGAAATTATGAATACTTTCTTATTTATGTAGCGGGAATTATTTATTATATAACGTTATTATATAATTAAATTATGTAATTATATAATTGTATGTTATATAATTATATAATTAAGTTATGTTATTATATATTTATAATTATGTAATTAAATTTACAAAATTGATATACTACTATAACTATTAAAAACATTTCAAGACTATTTAATTTGGATGAAAAATGTAGTCTAGAAATTTTTATATCACAATCATAATTCAAGTCTAAAATCCTCAGGCCGATAATTATTTTCTTAGATACTAGATAGCTTTTTGCTTCGCTGCAATTTTCCTTCATCGTAAAATGATCATAGTGTGCTACTACAAGATATATCAAGATGTACCAGGCTATATCTCCTACTCCGACCCATCTTCCACTTAAGATTTCTTTGACCAATTTGAAATCGATTACTCTTTAATAAAAGCATTGAGAGACCAATAATTTTTAGTTGTAAGATAAGCTATCGCAAGAGGAAGACACAGAAAGAGAAAGAGAGCAAATGAAATGTTTTTAGCTAATTAAATTTTAATGAAGCAAATAAATAAAATCTTGGAATAAAAAAATTTTTATATAAATTTATAATGAAATTTTTAAATAAAAATATTATGAAATTATCTTTTTATATATTTATATATATTTTTTTATTTTCTTGAATCTACCTAGAAATTATTAAAAATATTGTTACTTTATATGCATTAAGCTAATAATCTAATAATTAGATTAGCACAAATTTGAATTTAATGAAAATGTATCGATAGCATAAAAAATATCAATTAAAAAGTTTATCCATGTAAATTTAAAAAATTATTAAAATTCTTTTATAAAAAGAGTTTACAATAAATCAACATTACATTTCTTCTAAGTGTTTTAATAAATCTTGACTAAAGATGTGAAAAAACTTTAAATTAAAGAAGAAAAAAAATGAAAATTACTGATTGTGAGCAACAAGCTTTTAATACACTTTTTTGTACCTTGCGACTTTTATAGACTTTAGTAACACAATTCACTATTTATAAGAATTATAGACTCAACTTTTTATTATTTTATCTTACATTGGAAGTAAACGTGCCTTTGAAAAAATTACATTGTCAAATAGAAAAAAAACAATTGTCATTAATAGTTGCTACTTTTCGCTGAAATAGTCAATTTCGAATGTGCCGCTTTAAATAATTAAATTTTTGAAATACATTTCTCGTATATCGAAAATTCATATACCTCGACGGTTGGAAAGTTGACGACAAAAGTTCCTCTCGACGGGAGAAATTTCTGCACGAAATAAAGGAAAATCCCGGCGTTCCTTTTGTTATTTTGAAAAAAAATTTCGCAGGTTTACGTCCATTTGCGATGCTCGTTGTTCTCAACGAAGCGGACGGAATAATTTTTGAAAAATTATCTCGCGCGCAACGGTAGCTAAGCTCCATGACGCGGCGAGGATGAAATTCACACGAGCGAGCGAAAAAAAAAAAGAAAGGGCCGAGTCGGCGAGATATTTCGCGCGAGTCAGAGAAATATCTGTTGGCGCCCGCGCGACTGTATCTAGTTAATTGGAGTCTTCGTATCGATCCTCTCTCTCTTTCCCTCTCTCAAGGGAGAGTACGAGGACGGGATCGAGTCGCATGATAATGTTCACAATTTTCAAGCTGCCGTGTGCAAACACTTTCGACCGCTCGTTGTCGCCGCAGCCCGACGACGACGACCGGCTTTTGCTTTCACAGCGCCCGTGCATTTGAATATTCAAAATACTCCGAGAATGTGGTAATGCCTTTCGACGATGTGTCAATATGTATGCGCCTACTTGCGAGCCAAACTGCGATAGCGCTAATCGCGTTAACATGCGATCAACGACGACAACTTAATATGCTTGCGCTTTCAATTAACGCGACCCGTGTTCGCTTTGTTGCACGTTAAATATTGACGATCGTTTCGCTATGCAATTGCAATAAAAGAAGAATTAAAGAAGCCGATATAACTGTCGAGCACAATGAATTATGCGACTGAATTAGTGCATTATATATTTAAAAAAAAAATAATGTAAGGATATTTTTTAATAAGCGAAAAGTTTTAGGAGATGATTCTTTATCGAAAATTAAGGATGGTTTTTCATATAAACATATACCCACATTCCTTCCTGTGGAGTTACACTCCTCCAAAAATGGAAGTAAAAATTAGATTTTTATTTTTTTCTCAAATTGGGAACAAGCTAAAGAAATGAAATTAGGTGGATATTTTCTACTAGTAAAAAGGTTACTTATTAATATTTTTTTCAGCCTCTCGTAATGTTATAAGGAGATAAAACTAGCAACTCCTATTCAATTTTTTATCAGAACTTTTTAATGGTCCGGAATATGATGATTTAAAAATATATGCATTAAAAAGTTTGATTTATTTAGAAACTTTTTTATTTCTTTTATTTTTTTCATAAAATCAGTAGTTTTCAAGAAAAAAAATAAAATACGTTATCGCACAGCACGATGCTAAATAGTATAGATTTCGAATTACGAGAAGTTAAATTTTAAAATAAAAATAAAATTAGAGTAAATGTTGGAAAAATTGAAACAAAAACAAAATTATAATAAAAACCTAATTTTTACCCCCATTTTTGAAGGAGTGTAACTCCACAGGAAAAAATGTAGGAGTACATGTTTATATCTCCATGAAAAATCTCCTCTCAATTTTCGACAAAAAATCATCTTCTAAAATTTTTCATACTTATTAAAAAACATCCAGTATACATATTTTTTTCACAAATGCATCTAATATATATAATTTAAATATTTAACTTTTAAGGAAAAAATTGGATGAATAATTGGCAGTTTAATGAACCAATTGTTGGGAAACGATCATCGAAATGAGATCGTTCTGTGCAAAATGCAGCATATAGCGTAATGTATTCCCGCGATATTGCAGCGGCGCGAAACATGTTGATCTGGCAGTGGAAACAACGGTGTATTGGACTATGCCCGTTAAATTGAATTATATGTGACTCGTTGAAATGAATTGAATTCCAGCAAAGACCGGGGTTATTCCGCGCGATACGTGTTCGATGCGGATTCGTTGCGGCCACATAAGTATTTATGCAACATTTACGATCGATTAATGCGCGGAGTCGCACGAGAGAATCGATATACCCGCCAAAAGCCATTAGAGCTTTATATTTCCGCCATTTTCTCCGACCGACATTGGCCGATATGCCGTATTGTCGCGAGCTGCTCCCTCCTCCATCTCCACCTGCCAATATCCCGATGGCAATAACGCGAATAATGTCGACGTGATTTTTCATCGCGCATGAATGCGGATATGTCAACGCCATAACGCGAAACAGAATGACTTTCATTAATTTCATACATGGCAATCAGCGGCCGTATTTCATATTAGATGAAACTGATAATTGTGTGCATGAGCGAACGAGTGTAACTGACGTCTCGATGCAATTCAAATTAAATGATTTCGAACACAGTTGATGCATTCTTAAATTCTTAATTTTCAATTCCCGATTTTCAATACTCAATTCAAATATATACACTTAGTGTATATTTTTAACTTCAAATAATTATCGATCGAAAATTGACATTTCGTAAGTTTAGAAAATTTTATAATCTAGCAATATGATTTAAAAGAACCTAAATAATTAATGTTATTATATATTATTTTTAATGTTGAAATTTCTCTATTGGAAAGAGAATTCTGAACTTTTGGAATGTGTTAAATACTTTATATCTCTCGAGAAAAACTATACATTTATAAATTAATTCGTTATTTAAAATTCGAAATAAAACAAAGTTAAAAAAAAAAAAAAAAAAAGGCATTTCCGCTTTTGTCGTGAAAAATATATTCCCGCGCGCGTATGAAAAATTATTAAACTTTCTAAATTATGAAGCACGCAGGAAATAATATATTGCAATTTTAATAATTCACACGACTGTTCATAGGTATGTACACGACTGTTCATAGTCGTTATACGCACCATGAAATGTTAGAGCTTTGTTTTCATCTACAATCGTTAAACACGATTCGCGCGCCCAAAGGGGTATTCGCGCATAATTGGCATGTGTAACCGCTGCTATTCTCAGAAAGTTGACCCTACTATTCATTCACCTAAAGGGGGGCACCAAACGCCTGCTATATTAATCGCTCGCTATCCATTAGC